GCACCTAAGTGTCCCCTAACAGAGACCGGGATTTCAATAAACGGCCAACGTATTACAAGGGTGCATACGTTTATCAAAAATTATTGCATTTTCAACCTCAATAGCAATGCGCCCCCTCTGGCATTTGCGAATCAAGCATCTAAACCATACCTTGAATCTTATTAGGCAAATTCGAATTCACAATGATTTTTCCAAAATGATTGTTTGCAAAATAGAAATTCTGATTTGAGTGCAATCACCAAGTAACCAACTGTTGACGCTAATATCCAATCAGCGTTTTCAGGATAAGTAGGAACGCAATGATTAAATATTACCAATTGAATGATCACGCGCAACTACTTAAGTGCAGGGATTCTTGGATTTTACTTCAACTGTCAACGAGGAACCAATATGATATTATAGTCTTACAATCGTCTATGTTCCATAAGACGCTTTTAAAACGCCTTATAAACACCCTAAATTCCGCTAATTTTTCAAAGATACGACTCGAATTGGATTTTTTGCTTTTTCACTTAAAGAGAATAGCACATAATACGGCTTAAAAGGAATTGAAAAATGGTAGCAATCGTAAAATTTTGCACTTTTTATGATATTCGTAAAGTCAGACAGCCCATTCGCTTTTGATTGGCCACGGTATGGGCCAGTAGGGAGCGAGCCTTGAGCAGGAGGTGATCTGAAGACATGGAATAAATTCGCAGTCCCGACAGAAGCATTGCTCCTACTCCTACATGTCGTCTCCCATCCGCTCAATCTCCGAATCCTCCACCATTCCCGACTTCAATGTTGTCCTTTTTGGGGCGGCCAAAGTTGGCAAATCGGCTCTCGTTCGTCGATTTCTCAAAAACAACTTTATTGAGGAGTACCGACCGACGGTTGAAGAAACCTACTCCACGGTTCTTCAAACAATGAGTAAGTTTTATAGCATATCTGCCTCCCTGCAGGTTTTTTAAACTTTGCAATGTGCTAGCTGTTTCTGGATTATTATGCTTCATATCAGTGGAGGTTTAGAAGACTTCTTTCTGTGTTAAAAGCAGCAGTGAACTTGGTTTCATCGCATTCCCCTCAAACGGATTTTAGACTCTTGCAGATAGAGCTACATAGTATGCGATGGCTACTCCACGTGCAATGCATCAGGCCCACACGGGATTGCTCTTTACCAAACATTATATTGCTTCTCATTAAAGGGAGGAGGCCAACTAGCGCTCTGTGAGTCAGTTCCAAGCAACCGTCTATGCGTAACGGGTACTGGCACCCTAGTATCCAATATTACGAGGGCACGGAAGTAGGGATTAATAAATTGGCCGAAAAAAACTCAAGCGTCTGCTAACCCATCATTGAATGTGGTTGATGGTATTATCAACCATTTAAACTCATTTTCCCTTGGTCCAGGCTGTACATGCACACGTCTGGTGTTGATTGACACTGCAGGCCTGCATCCCTTTCCGGCGATGCGCGAGTTACGAATGCGGACAGGCAGTGCTTTTGTTTTTGTTTTCGCTTATGATTCCACTGACTCTCTCCACGAGGCCATCCGACTCCACACTGACCTCCAACGCGTCAAAGGTAAGTTCAGCTACCTTAATCCACACCGACCACACTCAAACAGATGCGACATAACTATGATGCGCAAAAAAATGTCACCGGAGCTACACAGCATGAATTATGCATCGTCCTATCGCACTGATCCCAACCGTGTTTTATAGTCGACGAGGAAGTGTGTGTATGTGCTTCCCGCCTTCACTGCAAAAAGTAATAGTTGAGTTGGGGTTTTGTGCACTTAAGAGGAGTTACAGTAGATGAAAATAAAACGAGCGATTTGCACCACCTATGCCATAAAAAGACACCATGCTTACTCACTTTGCACACATTAGTTTATCAGCCTTTAAGTACACAAAAAATTAACTATACAAGCAGTACCGTAAACAATAGGTTCAGGACACATTAAAACTTACATTTAGTAGTGAATAACTTGTGGTTCAGGGGACAAGTTTGACCCAAAAAGCGTGATCTTTGTGGGGAACAAGGCGGACGTTCTAACAGTCCCATCAATCGTGGAGGATGGAGACGGGGAGCGAGTAGTAGGAGGGATGGAGACGGAGGAAGAGTCATCACGGCGATCAAGCGGATCGGTGTTGACATCAGCAGCGGACGAGCTGCAGACAACGGCACGAACCCTACTGGATCGCCTCGGCTGTCCACTGATCGATACCAGCGCACGCCTCGGTTTCAACGTCCTCGAGGTCTTCCATTCAGTCCTCTGGCCCATGTTACTCGCTAATTCAAACCTTGCTGGTCGTGTCACTCCCGCTGACATCGCTAGTGGACACTGTGGAGAGGACTCACCAAATCGAGGGCCTCAGGAGACTGAGGCTCTCAATAAGAAGATCAGCTGGCCTTGGGGCAACGCCTCAGATCATCCCGTAAGTCACATATGAAGAGGAGGGAGGTGTTTTTCTTCTCAAGAAGATGCTACCCTACATATTTTACACTACTTGAAACTTGGATTTCGAATCCAAGGAGAAGTAGAAAGGGCAATGCTACTGCTATGGAAGAATATGATACTTGGTCTCATTTCATAATGCTCCTTGGGAACTTGATTATTTCGAAGACCATGCGGTTATCCAAACTATCTGATCCTTTAAAAATGTGTGTTTAAATAAACTAACGAAGCAGCGGAAAGCCCGGCTGTTTTTTGATTGAAAATCACTCTTTACCTTTTAATTTTTAGTTAAGTTTTCTTTCTATATTTAAAGTGAAGAGGAAATCACATAAAACGTTGAAATTTTTAGACGTTTTAGTCAAATATTTCCTAAGAATAAACAAGTACAATAAGATATCTACATCAATGTAATTTCAGAGGATCTCACTTCACAATTCCCCTCCAATGGAGAGGCCTCGAATTACTTCACACAATTATTTTGAAAATTTCCTCATACTCTTACCCTTCACTTCATTTTTTAGTTTTGAGTACTGCAGGCTTATCAGTTAAACCCAACTCCTACATTGTGAGCATTTTTATAATAAACTAAAATAACCAAAACGTCCTTCCCGACTGCTGTGAAGATGGGTTACAGTTTCTAGTCTCCTCTCCAAGTGTCTACAAAGCATGCATTTATAAAACGACAATGTTTTTCGTGCCCCGAGGCTTGATTATTTCCCCAAGTGCTTCCTACAAAATAACGCTGTTACACCCACGAGCATTTGCGAAGCTTGCCAAAGGCCAAAGTCTGTCGCTTGATTTGGTTGGATTCACCTGATTTTTGAAGAAGTGTCCTTAAGCGGGATCAGGCTTTCCATTTCTCCTAGTGAGCTCGTCTTTAACTTTTTATGATTAACCGGTTGGAATGCAACAACACCGTTTCCTCGAGGAGATAAGAAACTGCAGGCGCTACCATCGACGATTAATTTCCCAATTCCGTGCTTACCCAGTGAGCACGGGAACCTTGCACATCCGTACTCATCTAAATATATCAGAAATTTTGACCAAATAACTGAGAGGAAGGTATCTTCGTCTTTAAATAGGTAAATCTTTTGTTAATTAGTAATCACATTTTCCTATTTAGACCAGTTCTTCTAAAGTTTAAAAAGGCACTAATTAATTTGGATGTTATTAAGAAGCTAGCCCAAATTAAGCAAGCTAAAAGACCATAACTGGTCTGCTTTCTATTTTTGCCTTTTTTAGATTTATTCTCTGTTTGAGTGAATTTAAATTTGTACCGGTTCGTGTTTGGCTACTAACGTGAACCTCCATTTAGTTATCGTGGCGATCCGCCTTGTCGAATGCCCTTATTCAAAGTAGATTGAATAAGTGCGCAAACTTTGCCGAAGTGCCTTTAAGCAGTATAAAAACGTCAGCTAAACACTTCAACTTATTTGTTCCGGAATATGAGCTGAAGAAGTCGGAAGCCTTGAATCTCTGGTGATGATTAGACAAAAATTGGGGAGAAAAGATATCCGATGTTGCAAGAAGAACGCGAAATATGCAAGAGCTTACACAATATTGCCTACTTGCTTTGTTCTAGAGCGAAGTGGAGGGTCGTTCAGTTATAGCGTCTTTGCACAGAGACGAAGGTAGTTGCACAGTGCTTAAAAGGCCTTAAGTTAGAACATTAGTTGCTCGTTAAAATGGGTAATAACTTGGCTGGGCATGTCTCTAAACTGGATTAGTTCTTGTTGCAAATGTTTTTGGTACCTGCGCTGCTGTAATATTTTACCATTAATTTGTACCTTCGACATGTTGTACCTCCAATTAAAGAGGTGTCACCGCACGCCTATGCTTTCATCTACGACCTCATGTAAACAAGAGCCGCATTCACTTTTTCTCTTAAACACCCCATCCAACTTGTTTTCGAAGTCTCGGTATCGTTGTCTAGATCCACTGCCTAGATAGTTCGGGAACCCAGCTTACGGCAGCAGCTTTCCTTCGAAGCGGTAAACAATTGAAAAGTTACCTGCACTTTAGCTATTATGCTATAATTCCAACAGTAAGACCTTAAATAAATTATTGTAAAGATTTATTTGTGAGGGGCTTAAGTGACTACTTTTGTCAAGCTACAGGGTATGCAATAAGAAGCCTACTCATTATTGCCCCAGCCGAAGTTGACCTTTCCCTTATCAACGGGAGCCATCTGCAAAGGACCAATAAAATCGCCCCACCGCGCTGTAATTTACAACATTTTCGCAACATTTGATCTCTACGATAGCGGCATTTCTTGATTTCACGCGCAAATAGATGTCTTCTAAGGGCGTGGGAAAGCTCATCAAACCGTAATCACTTCGAATAATTCCGCCACTATTCCCGAAATTTCAATTAAATATTGAACTTGTAAGTGAGACCTTGCCCTCCATTTTAAAGTTGTGCTTGACAAAAGGTGGTTAACTGAACTATTTTCGCATTAATGCGTTTCGTTGTATGTGCTTTGGGAGTTTTAATTGGAAAGTGCATGAAGTCTTAATTTGTTACAACTATTTTGCCCTGTGCCAAATCCGGTTTATGAGTTTTGTGAAGGCAATGACGTAAACAGGAAACAAAGAAACCTACTTTTAAGTATTATCATTGCTATAAAAGACTGGAAATCAAAGGAACATAATGGCTTTACTTTTAGCTAGAAAGGCTTCAAATTTTTTTTTTCTAGCTTAATCTTAACGTGTCAGTTTACTTTTTAAAGCTAACATGGCGAAGAATTGGATAACAAAGTGCACTTGAGAAAACCAAATTAGATTTCGATCTCCCAGCATCATTTTCTCCCATTGGTTGCTCACTTAATTTATAAATAATTTTTGCCTTTCCATTTTTCTTACAGGCAGGGCTTTCAATCAGCCCTAATTTCAGTCCAACCATGCAGCCCTCCCCCGGTCGCTCTCGGATGCATACGGAACGTCTTCGAAAAATCAGCTGCGTTGAGAATGAGATTTTAACCAGAGGCACACTCCTCGCGGCTAAAGAAGAAGTGAACCGGAAATTCAGTATAGGTTCACGTCTCCTCCCCTCCCCACATGGTCACAATCACCAATGCCGTCACCCTAACTGCAACAACAATCTTCTCGCCGTTAACAATACCTACAATTTACCCGCTTCTCGCAGCCACTCGGTCGACAATTCACTGGCAGAGAAGGTAGACAACTACCGGGACTCGAACTCTACTGGAAGCGTTTACTCTGGCCGCAGCTACAGTTCGCTCAGCTCGGTAGAGAAGGAGAACTTCTGGAAGTTATCTGTCTCTTCTGACACGCGTTGCAGATACGGTCGTCTCCTCAGTCCCAGTCCGAAACGAACCTCCAGAGATTGCGAGCTGGTCGTGGACACATGTTTGCACTCACTGGACTTTGTTCAGGAGGTGGGTTACTACCTGGATCCTTCACACCGCCCAGAGGACACTAGTGAGCCACGAGTGCCGCAAGCGCCTTGCCTGCAGGTGATGAATATGGGGCGTCGTGGCCGATCGCCACAGCAACTGTCATCATTACCATCAATTCCACGGGAAAGGGTGAAGAAGCGCAGCGTTTTCAGTCAATCGAACTTCTGTCTGGTAGACCAAATCTGTGAGGCGAATGAGTCCACAAGCCCGCGCAGTGAACATGAATTTAACCTCATTGTGCCGGAGTCACATAGGAAGGGGATCAGTGGGAGTGGTAGCAAGGCATCGAATTGCAAAATTAGTTGAATAAAGGTGTGACTTTGCAATAGAATTGGATCTAATGCCTTCGAGCCCTCATGTAATAACTGCTCTTATCCTATACATACTCCGTTGTACTTTACCACGACATTTGATGATTATCCTTTCCTTAAAAGGAGGATTGGACTGAATTTGAGATAGGTGAATGCTCTTTCATGAATCGCATTGTCAGTTAGTAAATTTTTAGATTAAATAAAACTAGATTGGGTGAAGGAGTGAACTCACTGTTCCATAATGCATCTTTTAAATAACAGGCTGACTGATTTCAAAAGTTTCTGATTTATTATCTGCGAAACATCTCAGAAATTGTTGCAAACACTATGGGTCAAAAGGTCACGAATAATGCGGACACACAACTTAAGTGAGTTGAACGTAATTAAGTTGTTAAACAATCAACTTAGCTTCCCTGAAAAAATTGTAAGTTTGCAGTGATGCTGACTACTGCTCGACCTTCTTCATCGCACTGATGCCTCACTCTCATGCCCTCCCTCGGATTTGCTTCATTTATGAAGGGGCTTCATTTTAAATGAAGCATTTATGTTGATGCTGCGAAACTTTCGGTTAATCAAACATACACACAGGAGAATATAAGAGAAGGATTCAAGAATTCGAATGTATATAATGTAAGGTCATGACGAAAAAAATTAATCCCCCGAGACCTCTCTGGAGACGAAAAAAGACATAATGCTCTAGTAGTGTGTTTTTCCTACTTAGAAAAAGGTCGGTGACTACTAGCATGGCCTAGCAGAAGTCAAATGGCGAAGCTTCAATTGTCCACAAAGCCAAAACGAAAAGTTAAACAAATGACCAATGTATTAGAGAGCCCTCTTCTCCCTTTGATCGTCGATTTTGACGCCTTTCTTAGTCAGCCTCCTGCACTGGACATCACAAGGTAGTCAGTGCTGTGAGGAAAACACCCGCCAAACAACCGCGCAAGTCATTGAATTTCCATGCAACCGGGAAGGTACCTGACTGCAGAGTCACTGCTCCCTTTTAACGAGTCTACTGAATCTGGTTATTCGTTCTGTTTGGGAACTGTGATGGTAGAAGGGGAAATGTGCAGATCATCACATATGTCCATTGCTAGGCGTAAGAACACTGGCCTAAAAGCAGCCATCTAATAGGGGGTGGGGGATAAAATAGTTTCGTGGGAATCAGATTTCGCATCCATTCCTCCTTTCCACTTTGTTCTCACTTCATTACTGCCCAGCCACATCTATATGGGTTCTATCCGGCTACTGGAGAGTTGAAGGAGGCATGATGTGTTAAACAATTCGATAGCATGTGCAGGTACAGTAGACAGCTTCGCCATGAACTTTTCCAAATGGTTCACGGGTAGTGCCACTTCAGATGTTAATAGCATTCCTGCAGAATATGAGACGGGGTGACTGATGAATTTAGACCTTATTTTAAACCCATCCGCAGCATATGCCCTTCTTCTGCCGTGTTAAGGTTTAGCAACTGGCTGTGGGAATCAGGGTAATCGTCCTTTAGGTTGGGGTTTGTTTTCCGCTGCCATCAATGCAGCTCTCCAAGACTTCCCTGAAGATGAAGGAAGACGTAATACTAGGGCAGAATATGTATCACTGACTTGCGGGAGGACCAGTAGAAGCACCAAAGCCGAGCCTCAGGCACTCCAGACAACAACAAGTAATCAACCTATTGCACGGATAATGCTGACTAGGACTATGTTGTAAGATGCCTACATGAACTCACAACGGACAGATGCACTTGAAGAATAAAATTCTGCATCTTTAAAGTGGATAATTAGTTTTTCATTGGCTTACTGTCCTCGAGATTTCACGATCACAAAGCGTGTCTAGCTCATGGTAACACACAATCTACTTCCCTCTCGAGAAAAATATTATTCAAATTATGGAACTAAAATGAAGTCTCATTGTTACTTCAGTTAATTCCTCTGGTGATAACCCCTCCTTGGTGGTCACTTGTGACCACTGCTTTAAAAATTATTAATTCTTAGATAAACCGAATAGTCACATTAAATTAATGGTCCAATTTCATCCAAACTGAAGAGTCAGTTGGGCACATAGAATGGAAATATAACAAAACAACCATCTACTTGTGAATTTGCGCTCTTGTGGGGAAATTCCAAAATAATTCTGATGAGGAATGTCAAATGCTACTTTACAAAGAATAATATTTACTTTACTAATTTTGTGAGCTAATTTATCCAAAACATGCTCAACGAGGGTGAATGGCCGAAGGAGATAAAAGGTAATTGGGGCAAGCCTTTGTGAGTAGGCAGGAGATATACTTTTATTTTTAACCTTACAGAAACTAACTGCTCTAGGTAATAATGCATCTAACTGGAGTGTTTGAATTGTATTTAGTGTGTTTAAGGATGTAATAGTGATCTTGATGTGTACTAAAATATATAATGGATGGAAGATTCTGGACGGCCTTTTAATGGCCAAATTATTATTGGGCGTCGGAGAGTGCTGAAACATTTTACTTTGTGCCCTAATTTCTGAAATAATTTACAACTGATTCCCAATAATATGGCGCATTAACTGCCCCACAACTACCTAAAAAGGCAGAATTTCACCCGTGGTAGCCCAAGGTGACAAAGGTAAATCAAAATTGCATTAAAAGGAAAGAATCGGTTGAGCCTTGATGCCTGACATGCAAAGTGGTAATACTTTGTGTGGCTGTAATCATACAATTAAATATACTGCCACATAGTTGATTGCATTCTGCTGCTTCATTCAAAATACATTAAAAGAGCCAGTGGAGAGCTCAAAGAGGTGAAAATGGGCCATCGCTAAGTGACTAGGCGACAGGTGGAATTGATTTCAAAACGACAATGTGCCCTTATGGCATTCAAATACCCAATTCTGTAATAGGCTTCCTCTGGAAAGAAAAATGATCTTATGTTTCCCATCTCAATCAAAAATACTTGTGGATTTACTTAAGCTAATGCTTAACCTAAAGGAGAGCTGCCTTGAACCTTGCGGATGTTGATCTACGAAAATTGAGAACTTTTACATTGTTCGGTATAGCGAAAGGACAATTAATGGATTTCCTCGATCAAGTAATAGCATTAACATATTTTTTCAGGAAATTTTTTCCGATTTTCATATATTTAAAGACGAAAACCAACACTTAGTTGACTGGTACATTTATAAAGTGGTCATTAATCATCACTAATTATTATAAGGTTGTCGGACATGCAAATCTCCTCGTAGACTTTATGCTCTTGTAGGATGTTACTTTAAGTGATAGACTAGGACGAGGTCTCAATGATGCCGATACCTTAAGTACTAGTGTAATAAGCCTATTTTTCGCGTAACTCTCGGTTTTGATTACGATCACTTAAGGGCTCCGCCATTGAACCATCGCCAGGTGGGGTGGTCACCGGGCCAGGCCGGTAGGTACAAGTCCTACTAATGTCCAATATACGTATATTCCACCCCGATATTGTCTTCTTTCTTCTTTAAGGAAATTCTGGGGTGCTACATTGGTGGCAGTGGAATATGAACCCCATCTTAAAGTATATCAGTCCTGAATTCCATTTGCGGGAGCTAAAACCTAGCGAAGAAAAGAAGTGCATGCGTTGCAGATGGAGAGAATCAGTGCAAACATTGGAGAAAAGAGGGAGATCGCCGTCTACCATTGCTGATTACTCCACTTCAATAGCCTGCACAAATGCCTTTAAAAATTGAATCGACACTAGCCGCGGCCCACCCTGAAAAGTTAGGTATGGAGCTTTCTACCGTTCTTGAATAGAGATATCAATAATGTGAATTCGCGATACCCCCTCTACTTCTCAGCTGGCTAAGTAAAACTCAAATGGATATGGCTGGACAGCCCTGAAGCGTAAACGGAGCAACTGGGAGGAACAGACGCGAAACCGTGTTCCCATTAAACTATGTTAAATCTCGTCCTTCGTTAACTGAGTTTGCTTTTGGGCCAGTGTTCATACAAGTATCAATGGACATGCGTGATGGCCAAAACATTCTTTCCTCCCCCCCTCCCCCGAAATCTTAGCGTCAGTGGAACTGCCAAGGGGGAACTGTGACACTGCGGTCAATTATTTTCTCAGTTGCACGGAAATTTGATGACTAGCATGGTTAGATCGTGGTTGTTTCCTTACGGCACCGATTATGTTGTGATGGCCGACGCTGGATGTTGACCAAGAGAAGTATCGGGAATGACGCTTAAAAGAGGAAAGGGGCTATATAGTACCGTAATTGCCTGTTTTTCTCTCGGTTTTAATAATGGGCTACTTAAGGGCTTCGCCACTCTACCTACGTTGGTTGACAGGCCTCCAAATCCATGCCAGTAGCCTCCAATTCCCCTCGCAGGCCGACAATACATATTCTGTTTGAGTATTATGCATTCTTTTGTCTACAGGAAAGTCTCGGAGCCCTGTATTAGGTTACTCTAGCCTTTTGAAGAGGCCTAAGTTGTAATGAGTCAACAGTTTGTTTGAATGTGTGGTTAAATCAAGCACTTCAGTCCCCGAAGATTATACCTTTTTCTCTGCGGCATGACCTTCAAGCCGCAATCATAGCCTCCCACCTATTCTGAAGGTTGGTCATGTATTTCTGTACTACTTTGTCGATATAAGACTGCGAGGAAGTCAGGGAGCTGCATAGTTAAACATGGTTACCTCGTGCGAAATGCAATGCTCATGAAGAAGGCTGAGTTCATTGATAAACCCAATGTCTTGTATAGCTAGGACAGAACAAACGATTTTATTGTGGCATTCGTGTGTTTGAATGCACCTTTTAGGTGAGAAGCAGTCAGTAGATACAAACCTCGTGGCGGATCGGATGTCATCGGCTCTTGAGGAGGAGGGAGCGTTCCCTGAACACACCAAAACCGCAGTACCTTTGTACCCCCTCATTTAGAGCTACCAAGTAAATCACGTCCCCATCGTTCAACTTCTCTGTTCGTTCCAAGAGTATGAGGGCAGAGGTAGACGACAGAAACTCCGAGCCTATTATATGCGTAATAAGTGTAATTAGAAGGTCTGAATTCCACCATTATCGCTTCTGTTAAAATATTCCCACAAAAGTTAAAAACAAAATCAGATAAACAACGTTAATCTACTTAACGTAAATGTTATTCCTAACTTAGCGGTTTCTAATAATAGGCCCAAAAAGTATGTTAGGGTGTGCTTTATTTCTTTCGACAGCGCATAAATTACACCTGCTAAGCACATTTAACGAGTTATTTAGAATTTTTAGTGCATTTTTATCACAGACTATTCAGGCGACAATGTATGCTGTTTCTCAAGTTTTCTGGAGGACAAGTTCAAACACAAGAAGAAAATTAGTTATTAGGCTAATTCGGAAATTATGGAGGACATAGCGTACCTTTGTAGGGCGTCGAGGCTTCCCTTAGGATGTAGAGAGGGCCGTGAGGGCTACTGTCTCGGCCTGAACGAGCCAAGACATGGCGGAGCCCCCAAAGGGTTCGTTATCGAATCGGAGAGATAAGTAAATAAGTGTTACACTTTGCATAGTTTGTGGAATGTTTGCGTGGAAGCTAGGGCAAGATGGTGGGTTAAAAGTGGTATCCTAAGTATCAAATATTGGTTCATTTACATTGCTATTTTTTTTGACTTTTAAATTACACAATGGTTCAGAGATTACGGAAGGCTCATTTGCATAAGGTCAGTAATCATTATCCACCGTCTTTGAGTGGGCGTGTCCTTGGCGCTGTTCCCGGGGTTGTGCAAATTGTCGTAAGAAATGTAGCACAGCGCACAAGAGTAATTCAGTATCACTACTAAAAAGTGTTCTTGAAGGTTAATCGAGGTGGACGCAAGGAACTAGAGATTGGGGTGGCGTAAGTAACTCAACTATTAACTAGTAGTCATTATTTTGCATCGGAGACTTTAAACATAGATTTAGCTTTCATACCCGAGTGTCCATGTTTAACGGGGACACATAAGTTGGCATTCCTAAAATAGCGCGCTGATTCGAAGGTGCTCTATGCAGTAGCACCAGTATCTCTCGTTTTGGGTCATTCCACACACTAATAGTCGGAATTGCAGGCAAAAGTGGCAGTGAGTTCATGGAAGAGCACATAGTGATGAACTATGTTACTTGCAAAATCCCAGCAGCTCAGTCGTCCAACTGTAAAGTGCTTGAATTTAATCAACCTTCCAAATACGACTGTGGCTCTCCCAGTAGCGATTTTTGCAATGGTGCTTCCTGTGCCACCTAGTTGAGGCATAGTCAGCATGGTGTGAAATGGCCTTGGGGAAAGGCATTTTGTAAGAAAACAAACATACTCCCTTACTAACCTTTGCAATTTTGGTATGTTGGCACACTCTGGGTACGCAGTCATGCAGAGTGTCCCGGGGTGGTCCAGTCACACTGGCAAACCTTTCTGTCCCGAGCCCTTCCAAGTGTCAGTTTTAGGACGGGATGAATTGGCAAATGTGGCTGAAGATCGCTCGAACAAAAGTAGATGCTCTGATGATATGAAAGTTCATCACCACAAAATTTACCGCCTGTATACGTATAATAGCAATACGTATGCAGCGATTACCTTGATTTAGGATGATTTTAAAAATTATTGCAACCAAATTGGAAAACTGCCGCTTTCTTCAAGGACTAATTGCCGCCAATTTTCATCATAAATGCGCTACCAATGTTTATTTCGCCTTATTATTTTACAAAAACCCCTTTCACCTGAATATGCAGGAACTCGGTAACTTGATCTCCCATTCATATTTGTTTTATTCAATAAGCGTAGATTGAAACCTGCGCCGATTCATGTAAGTTGTCGATTAAAAAGGCAAAATCGCATTGACGGAAAGTATCAGACTTACTGGAAGGTCGGCTTAGTTGGCTTGATTAAGCGCAGAGGACATGAGTTTTTACAGTTGGGTCCCTCTTTATTACGCTGGTTGATTGTTTGTCTTTTGGTTTTGGTAAAACCACTTAGGTGCTCAGCCATCATACCTTTACTGGGCGACCTGACCTCAGGGTCATGCCAATAGCTCTCTGGTCCTTCTCTACGTCGAAGATACATCCTTTCTTCTTTAAGAAGGTCTCAAAGCAGTACACAACCATGCCCCAGAATTCGCACTCATTTAGTCATCTCTTACCGTATATTTTGCTTACCATTTGAGAAACATTCCACAGTGAAGTAGGGATGCTTAAAACAAGCGGAAGGAAAGGAGGAGATTTGCTTTTTACCCGTCCTCTGAAGTGAAGGGAAAACAGCAGGGTATGTGCGAAGGGAATACTGCAACGCCGATTAAGGTTTTTAGTCATTGTGGTACAAATCGTTCACGAAATAGGAGAGCTGCAGTGAATGTCATGCTATCTGCTCATATGATTGTACATATAAAATGAAACAAATAATATTTCTGGCCCCATCTGTGTCCACGTATTCATTGCATTTGCCTTGTAACTTTGTTAGGCGGTCAATTAGAAAGAAATGAGCTTCACTCGCAAATTATTTCTAGTAATGAATCATTTTCAAGACCGAATAATTTGGCAACAGGATTTAGCTCGCAGAAATTAGTGATATCGCCTCTTGTCTCCCACCAATTAGACAGCTTAGGAATATGTGCCACCGACCCAATTTTCATGTAATCAGACTCGTGAACAGAAAAAAAGGTGTAGTTCATCAAAAGCGTATTTATGGAAGAATTATTAGTATTGTAATACGTTGATTATTTGTTTAACTCTCGGTTTAGGTAACGGACTTCTTTGGGGCTCCGCCATTGTGCCTCCTCCAAGCGCCCTGGCCTTCAGGCCATGCCAGTAGCCCCCAAGCCCTTCTGCATGTCTGCTTTCGTCTATAGGCCATCTCGAGTGGCTACAAGTGTCATTTACATTCCCGTCGTAGCATGAACTACTTATCAATGATTGTTGTTGTACTATGAAGGAGTAGCATTGAAAATTTCTGATCCTCTTTATTTAAGAATATATTATGGTTAATAAGTTAGTGGTCACTGACTGATTGAAAATTATGATTAGGTTTCTAGTTCACCTAGAAATGAGAAACTTTACTTGCAAACCTGCCTGCAAGTTTTTAAAATAAAACCAACTAAAAAGTAAATAACAGCCAGTGGTGTATAAAGAACCAATCTTTTACTGCATTTCTTTAGGTTTCAGTGCGAAATCCTTAACTTTGCTAGGCTTAACTTGAGACAAATGCATTAAATTTGATGGTAGGAGCATTAACATTTTACGATCATGAATTTTTCCAGAATACAATTACAAACATGGGATCATCCGTACCAATTTGACATTATTTTTTGCTTTTTCCTTACATACATGGGTAATTCGGTCCACACAGGTTGTTTTTCTCACCCTGCGGCATGGTCTTCGGGCCATACTGATATTCTTCCAGGTACCTTGTAAGCTAGTTGTACGTTTTCTTCCATACACTATTTTTATTACGGCACTAGAGTGGACTCAGAGAGCAGCATAGTAATCACATATATGAATGCATGTAAGGCAGATTTAAATACACACGAACCGATGTGAATTCATTGCCTTTGTGAACATACAATTTCATTTCCTTCATTCCTATCCAACAACTAATCGCTTGAATAAACTTTCCTGATTGAGAAACTGTGAAAATTACTGTTGAATCTACATTTATTTGTTGTTTTTTAGCTACCATGCTAGTTGCAGCATCCCGATACATCACTAAAGACAAAAATAATACACAATACTTGGGTAGAATTTACATATTCGACATACCGAAGGGGTTGGGGCTACTAACATAGCTCAGAGGCCAGGTGACTAGGTAAAGGTACAATGGCCAAGACAGAAAATGGCCCTTTGCCTAAATCGGGATATAAACATACAATTAACGTATCACATAGCCCCTCTCCTCTTTTGGGCGTCGTCTCCAGCGCATCCCTTAGTCAACATCCCGACTAACCCATCACAACGTAATCGGTGATGTAATGGAAACACCCAAGCGCCAGACACATCAGTCATCGTATTTCTATGCAACTAAAAATACACTTGACTGCAATGCCACTAAAATGTCTTAATAATTCAAATGGGTTTGCATTTTTGTCGTGTAAAGAAATTAAATTCGGGGACGGGGAATTGTACTGGCCATCACGATTGTCCAAAACTAGACTTAGGGACATTGGCCTAAAACCAAATTTATTTAAGGGAGGACGGGATATAGCACTATTCTGTGGGGATAGGGTTTCGTGTCTGTTCCTCCTTGCCAATCTTTCGCACTTAAGAGCCACCCAATTATGTCTAGTACCTTCCCTACTCTTTTGTGAGTTAGTAATATGTGCTGTTTCACAGTACTTTGGGTTATTACGAATACAGGGAGATTCAGAGCTCTGAACGGGTATGAGATTAAAGAAATAGGTGTATTTATAAAGCACACAAAGGTGAATGGTATCCGAATTGTTCGTCCCAAATTTCCGTGTAATAGGTGTAATTTTCGCGATACTCCTAGTACAGCAAAACTGTGTACTATTAAAAACGTGATAAACTTTTGAGGTCATACTTAACAAGATATGCCTCCATATTGGGTTTCACAATATAATGACGATTTTTGGTCTAGCTATTAATACCATAACGTACATTCACCAAAACGATTTTTAGCAAAATTGCAGTTTTGGAAGCTCACGTGAAAGCTTGCAAATGATATTGCATAAAGACAATCGCACGTTGTTGTGATTTTAATTTAGCTTCCTGCTTCCTATAAATAAATCAAACAGTTTTTGCTCCTTTATTAGGGACTTCAAGAGAGATTTTATATGTTTAATCCATTGGCTTGTCTAAAGGTCGTTCATGTGTTTGTCGTGTGACGCAGTTCAAATTTCAGTTGGTGGTGGTTGGCACACCGCTAAGATGGCGGAGTGTCAGGTGTCGGCGTTGCTACTGGAGATAAAAAATGCTCTTTATCCAGAAGTTACTGCCAATGTGGGTTTGTCAGTTCGGCTGAGGTCAAAGCCTGTAATGAACAAAGTCAAGAAAGTTCATGGTTCTGCATATATGCTTGCCAACATATCTAGGAATTTATGTTCATCGTATGTACTTCATGCTTCTTCAGTAGCTTCTTAGCATTCAGGAAAGCGTGCTAATCGTACCATTAATGGCTCAAATACGAAGCCACCTATCTTACCCTATTGAATTCTCCTCCGATGGTAAGTTGGATTTAAAAGTACTTGGTATATTAAGTTCACGTACTTTGTGCTGATGACAAAAAGTTACTACTCCTATTTTATCACATCTTACAAAGCTGTACAAGTGTACAATTTTCGCAACATATCGTCAACCTGCTTGTAGTCTTTAGGATGTGGCTTGAATTATTCATAAAGCATGGGTTATAAACAGACTTTTGAAAAGCACTAAAACTAATCAGTAAGTGATATGGGCAACATGTACGATGTGTAAACTAGTAGAGGTCAGACTCTGTGTAATCATAAGAGTGGCCTCGTTGGATTACGTAAACTATTGTAGTTGACTTATTTAGGTTCCGGATTTTGTTCATTTGACGAGATTCAACGTCGTGGAATGGACAATCTGAAGCAGGCCCTTTTACGGACAATTGATAAAGCACAAAGCACAGGGGACTTTCCAACCGAAAAAGTTCCTACTTCTCGGATCAAACAAATATCTGTCTCCTCCGTTGTAAATAAGCGTCGAAGACAGGAAGATCGATGGTTTTTCGAACCGGATCTTGTTGCTTATGCGCCCATAGACGGGGTAGGTAGCTCTATTTCTCCCCTAAAATCAATGTATACTATTGATAGACTGCTTTTCCCTACCTTTCTGGAACAGGTTTTCAATCTTGGGTTGCGTCATCATCCTATTTTGAACCAACTTTTTTCACCATGGTCTGATTTATTTTTCATTCCATTGACTCATCTACCATCTCCCTGTTCACATGTGTTAACATCTAATAATCCCAGATACAGCATTAGCCTTACAATTTTTATCATATTTCAAAAATCTCACATGTGGTAGCGCTTGTGGATATATCCAAGCTTCAGCAGCATTTTAATATAAACGTGCGTTTGCCATGAATAGTAAAGTGTGACTCAATGATAGTTCATTGCTATCGTTTGTCTTAAATAGTTGGTATTAATGCCAAGACATATTCCGTGCAATTTTGACGCAGTAATGATGTCCTAACCTTCTTTTATCTGTCAGCTAGTTTATACCTTTTCAGTACTCATTTTTACTTCTCAAATAATATCTTTGTTAATAAAATAACCCACTCTACCCCTATTCAAAATCGAAACTTGAAATTTCATCCTCACCTGATTGGTTTGGTGTAGCTCAATTCAGTAAATGCAACTGATCACGTGTCTTGTCACGTGTCACCTTGTAATTACGCTCCCGTGCTTCTTTACTTTTTCTCCATCTTCAACTTGCTTAGATTTTGCTTTGGTGCAAGTTAAGCATTTTTACCTCGTTCTCTGTTTTTGTCCACTCCTGAGAACTTACTGATGACCTTGGTGATTTTACCCTACCGTCTTCAATATGCTTTTTGGATGTGACGTTTCGATTTCCTCGGTCCTAGTAACTTGTGCGCTTTCATTAAATATACTAGATAAGCATATTCTTTTCGTAGGAAATAGGCATATGTGGTAGCACAGGCTTCATTGCCGTAAACTTTTTCACTCCTCCACAGTCCAACATACATTACTTTTGATGGAACACGGTTCTCTGATCATGTCGAGTATTATTCCCTAGGGTTTGCGCCCGAAACGATGTTTAAGCTTGATTTTGATCGGTAGCCCCGCGTGTCATTGCATTGTTCTTCCCATAAACTCATTCCCACGGTTTTTCGCTAGAAATACTCTATTCTCATCCTGTGTGGGCATAAACTTTTCGTGCACATCAAATTGGTGGACAGCCATTTTAGCTCATCGACAGTTTGCATTAATTGGTTATACGTCGGTCAAACATGATACTTATCCGATTAAGTCTTCTGAGACAGTTGAACGGTCATGCTAAAGTTTTTTTTTGTTAAATCAATTCACTCACCTTTGTTTTGGCAAATCACTCCCGCACTTCAAAAAGTGTCTTGCGGCTAAGTATGATGCAGTCACTTCCCCCATATCTGTTCCGAGAAAAGTGAATACACTCATCTGTAATGAAGGGATCAGTGTTGGATGATGTTTAAAGTAGGACATCTTTTGAAATGTTTTTGGTCCGCGTCACTTTATTTTCAATGATTCACCCATTTAATCATGGAGGAAACGTTAAAAAACAAATCCCCTTTCATCGTACATGTGCTAACTTTTTGTGCATCTAATGTACCTTAATTTGCCTAAGTGATGATTGGCCGAGTAAAATAATCTTTTTTTCGCCTTATAAGGGTTTATAAGTTACTATTCTGGCTATTCATTTGGGGTAGTGAAGTTTACTTTTTGTCGTCTAGCCCGTACTACTTAAGTATGATCTCCAATCGCTGCCTAGTCGAAAAAAAACCTCTCTTCCTCTTCTCGCGCGCCCTATATACTTGAGTTTGCTTTAATTCCCCTTTTTCCTTTGATGCGGTAGCATTCAGTATAGGAATTTACACCAGTTGTGTGGCATTTTGTCGGTGGGTTTTAGTCGTTTTGACTAATCTCTCTTGGGATTAGACCACAGTGGTTGCACGTGCGCGTGTATGTGGTATTCTGACGAGTGCCCGTGGTTGGGGGAATCAATGATGCTGGACGCCTTAATGACGCTCCGGATGAATCATATGTTTGTGACGAGGACTTTCTTTTCCTGCTTCTGATCCTTTGCCCCACTGCTTTACACTGCATTTCCGTGACTGGATTCTTAATCGCAGTTCTCCTTTGATTCAAAAATCTGAAGGTGTTTTTTCCCATAACTAATACTCTCCCATTTCTCACCTATCCACAAGAAATGGCGGCTCTAAAAATGAAGCCCTCCAAGTCGCTTGCAACATCTGTGCCATGAACCATGCATTAGACATATATATTCATCTAAAAGTGATTTGTTTGGCGGGTAAATTTGTGCTGGGCGCACAGCTGATCAGGTATACTGGCTCATAATGACCTCTGTTGTGTGTGTTCATTTATCCGTCACTAGTCATTGTGTATATCATCCATTTATAATACATGTTGCATATATTACGCCTCCAATTATTTTAATGGTATTTTCAAAGGCTAATTTATGTCATCGCTTCTCATTCGCAAATACTTTGAGGGGAGCTTAGTTTGTTTTCTAAGCACATTATTGTTTTGATTCATATAAGGACCGGGAGGAGAATCTGTCCAAGTTGCAGTGTCATGACTATCCCCAAATTGTCGGGTGTGGTGTTTTCGATGGTCACGGGGGACCGGAGGCAGCTGAGCACTGCTCAAACCTGGCGCCTTTTCTCCTCAGTCGTCATCTGCAGCAACGCTTCCTTGAGACATCGGCTCTTCGCCGCTCCTCCGAAACCATTCCCGACATCCTCACAAGGGTCATCCACGAACTAAACTTTTCAGTTGCAGAATGTCATCGGCAGAAGGTGAGTACTGCTTGTGGCGTTTGTGCTGCTTCTCCCCCTGCGTCTTTGAAGTTGTAGCATAACCGGTGACTAGACATGTGAACGACAACATCCGGTAATGCTGTGGATTGAACATCCGAACAATTTCGCATCTAATTAAAACAAGTATCAACGTACCATTGCGTCTTACTTCGAGTGTCATCGTCGACCCCCATGGTTCTCTCAACTTTGCCTTAGTCATATTAACACTAGACAATTGTTTCGGTATTGCTGACGAGACAGAAATAAGGAAGAAATGTAATATCAGTATTAGCCCCGTATCACGTGGATCTACTGGGCATTCCCCTTTGCGATACCTACACGACATTGCATGCAATCTGCATTACACGAAAATGTCTGACGTTTAAGCTTTTTTAAATGGTCCGCAACCAAAACTATTTTTTGTTCCTCCCTTCTAATCTTGTTGTGTTGAGGCTATCCAACTATTTACGCAAGTCATTCCGTTTCTTAAAGCCTCGATGACACCAAATTTTTGAATTTCGACAGTCGATCACCGTTGAAGACAACATCTTTTCAAGTGAATGTTGAGCAGAGGGTGCCTTTTTATCGCAGTGACGTTTACATTCTTTACCCTTTTCTTCGAAGCCTCTGTTTCCAGTATTCATCGCTACCCACCTTTGCTCCTTACCATTTTATCGTGGTGACGATTAAATTTAATTTTCATTTAGCCTTTGTCCTTTTTGGAAGTGTTATATAAGAAATGCTGGATGCTATATCCGTTTCTATCATGCCATTTCTTCGTATAAAAGTGATAAATAGTGTTGAGCACACCCAGCCATCAATGCAATGCTTGCGCTTTTTTTTCTGAAGACGTAATGAGATATGAAACTGTTTAAGAACGCTCTATGTAAGTAGCCTAAGTAGAGCTGAACCCGTATTCTCAGCTGTATGAATAAAAAAAAGCCAACGCACTAGAATTACAGCCCTTGTTAGGCATGCCAAAAACGCAAAATGAATTCCTTGCGTTTTCCCATGTTCGGTTGCTTCGCGCCTATAGTGTCTCAACACCTTTTAGTGGAGCGCTCGTGTTTACTTGCGTGAATTTGGCTGGTGATCCGTGTCTTCCGACTCTCGGATCCCATCGTCCTCGCTCACTTTACTTTGTTTCCATATCGTCCTTTGGTGTTCGTGTGTGCAGGCGATTTTCGGCTCGTCGGATTTTGAACCGATGCTAGGTGTGCAGCTGTTAAGCTCTCTCTACCCTCTAGCCTTAAGAGGTCACGACAAACCTTTTCTTTCCCATGAACTAACTGCAGTTCGCTGTACTTTCGTGCCTTTTGTCATTTTCACTTTGGACCATCGAAAGCGAATGCAGTTTTGGACCACTTTTTGTAGAGGATAAAATCGGATATTTCATTAAATGTTCCTTAATGAATTTATATTTTGTGTACAAGCGGAGGTTTAGGTGTATGTTTATTGTATGTTGGTGAATTCAGTAAATTTTTCCTCCTTCACAGAATTGAGTTACAGAACTTCGAAGTTCTTAAAATGTTAATATGAAATTGTTTTGTAATAAACTGTTGCAATTAAAATTGTTACATTAGCCTCTGTATTGAGACTAGGCAATCCTGATTTCCTAAAGGCAGTGTTTCGAACTGCCCAAGAACACATGCGTACACTTCCACGTGCTTTTTCATTCGATGGTTCATTTGAAGTGATTCACTTTGCCCATAACTGGGTCTCGCTTTTGCTTACCCACTTTCAAACCTAGAACATACTCTCTACTCTTGTGCCCACACTGAAGACTGGAGTCAGTAGACTTTTCGGACAATTTTGATTCACTGGACTCCCTAACCATTCCTTGTGCTGGCTTGGAGCTTTTGCGATTCGGCTGAACTGTCAAGGGGTCTGTAAGTTATGTGGACAGGTGCAGGCAAATCGCCAACCTTTTATGCATCTAGGCAAGTTTTTTATTCGATCAACCTGGGTAGCCTATCTTGCCTGCGCTCTCACCCCACATAAATATTCACTAATTTCCGCCCATTGCAGAGTGGATAGTGTAATCTATTTCAATGCCTTTCTGATAAGCTGGTCATGCAGTTGGAATCGAAATCGTCATGGCACACCCCATTTTGTCCGTAATTCGAGGCACCAGGAGAGTGAGAGGGAGGAACAGCTGGCGGATCGGTCTGGTGGGCGAAAGCCGTGTAGCCAATAGCTCGTGTGTCACATCAGCGTTAAAGATTATGATGTGCCCGTCGCTCTTGGCACGACGAATACTATTGATGCCGCGTTTCTCTCCGCTCAGGTCATCTGTCCGCCTCTCCTTCGTAGGTGCTCTTGCGTGCCTGTGTAACTCAGACACTGGACCGATTCCTTGTGCAAATCGTGCACTGATCGCTCAATTTCGGATCATTTTTCATGTCGTAAGGTTGCCTTTTTCATGTTTTGAAATGCAACTCACTGTTCCGCTTGTTAAATCCCCATTCCTCTCCCTATTGTAGGAAAGTTGTAAATGAGTTCAGAGTTGTGTGCGTGAATCATCATACCCTGCGCATAATCGAGTGTATCTTGCAGGAGAATGTGCCATAAATTAATTAGATGCTCTGCTCCTACTGAGATGGAGTGCAATCGTCCTCCGTAGACTTCACCGATTGGACTTTCAGTCTTGCACGGGTGTTCACCACTGATTCTGCTGCCACTTTTTGTTGCCTATTTCACGCGGACCCAAAGGGCCGTATGGACAAGGTTTTGTCCTGGTTTTTTCTGTTTAAGTCAAGCTTACGTCACTTTGTTGCAGCATTTTTAGTTTCAACTTTATTAACGTGTTCATCACCAATTTTTTAGGGGAGAGCAGGTCACTTTAACCGGGACGTTTTACTGTTCTTGTGTGCAGTTAATTGCCACTAAATTTATTCAATAACATTCCACCTCTATTTTATTGTTTTGAACCCAAATAATCGGTCTGCGAGAAGTTTTATTGCGACCAGTGATAAAGTTGTAAGGATCACATTGCATATGTGCGAAACCGGGCCCAGGTAAGGGAATCTGGGAGTCACACGTACGTGACACTGATGAAGGACTTGTTAAGCTCTCTGTTTGTGAGTCAATATCATCATGACATTCTGCTTTGTCATTGTTTCTTGCTGTCAAGGTGTATCATCGGTACTTCGGACTCACTGGATCTGGTTTTTGAATCTTTGGGGATTAATTGTTTATTAAACCATGGTTAAGTCCGTAAAAAACCCCATACCGGTTTTCATTAAGCTATTAGTGAAGTGATTTGTAGGGTTGTGGCTATTTAATTCAGATCACTAAATGCCGACTATTTGCGAGGTTAATGAATCTCATTAAAGAGCAAGCAACAGGAGATCTTACAAATGGTTCGCTTTAGCTGATGTTAAGAAATGTTAGCTCATAGATCCTGGTGGCTTGATTCAATTCAACTGATGTCACTTGCTTCGTCTCATTCACCCGGTTCAAAGGTGTCTCAAACAAATCGCGGAAGGCCTCCGTCACCAATCCTAATAAAACCAAATCATCGCCTTTCGCACAGCCATGGATGCTTGGTTGCTATAGCATTACATCCTCAACCTCAAGTTGAGAGCTCCTCATTCGCCTCTTCGTTCCACTTTATTTGTGAAATGGAGGATAGTTTACTTGCTGCGACCTTTATGCAACGCAAGAAAAAGTGTTGTGTCTGCGTTCTTTTTTTCTATGAATGTGTAGAATTGGCACCTATTATTCTGTATATTTGTGTTTTTTCACCGCCGATTTCGTTAACGTAAAGACATGCATTAGTGCCTATGGGGTCAACCACCAACATGCAGTCTTTTTCTACCTTTACGGTGTTTGCTGCACGTTCGGTTCGTTAGTAAAAGTGAACGTCTAATCGCTGTACCAGGTTTATTCTCTTCTCTTCCTCTTCATCTGACACAAAAATACCATCTCCCGCTCGTCGCAATAGGCACGTTCACCTTTTCTTACGTTCGGACGTATTTGCTAGTATTTATCCATTTGACCACCTGCACCTGGGACCTTTGTGTGTAACCGCATTTTGCTCTCACCCAATTATGAACGTCGAACGCATTTTGCAGTGTAGACTGTTTAAACTAGCAATGCTTCTACATCACTTTTGTTCGAGGCATATCCAGATTTTAGTACTCAGTTTGGATCAGATTAATTGCCATGCTGCCCACATAGAATTCTGGCATACTTGGATGGTCATCTGTCATAGAGTGGGATTCTTGTGAAAATATTTTCACTTTTAAATTTCGTTGCTATCGTCACAAATATGTGACATACTCTTTATTAGTTTGTAATAGATATTGGCTTGCTTAAATCATTTCACCAATGGATTAAGTTTAAAACAATAAAGTAGATATAGAATGCCTCAGATCTGAGGATAATTTGGTCTTTTAGTCTGCTAATAATGCAACGTTTAATGGAATAACCAAGCATTTGGCTTGTGATGGTCGATCTTCCTCTGAGACTCTGGTACCGAATGTGTTGCTACATTTGGGCAACTCAATTTCACATGCGTTTCCCGCTCTTCACAGTTAGCGCTGCAATGCGCTTTCGATTAATTTTAGCTTTGTGAATTTCGTCGAATTCTACCAATTTCAGTCCTCTTATTAATTAATGCTCGGCTTTTCGTGTGGAAATTTTTTTGAAATAAGTGGCATGAATCAAGTGAAATTCAGGTCTCTTCTAATAAACGGTATGGTCAAAGGCTATTCACGGAACGAATTGTTTCGTAAATTTCTTACAAAGTCTTTTTCTATTGTTTCATTTCTAGGTGGATTTATTTATTTTTATTCTCATTTGCTGCATTTACGTGTCATACATTTCCTTCAACTACAAGATCTACCACCTGTGATGTAAGGATGAATCTGTCGTCCCAAAATCCCCTTAAGAATGTCTATCTTGTACTTATTCGGAGGTTTAATATTTGTAATATATATGCAATGACATTTGAAACTGCAATTCAGTTTTTCTTCACTTCTGCCCTACTTCGTCATCAATTCCGGCTCTTGTCAGCATCTGCTTTCCATCCGTAAAAGGCGCGCCTTTTTCTTCTGACCAACTATCGAACTTTCTCCTACTTCCTTTTTGACAAGACTTCCACTACATTTCCGGGTATACGAAATGGTAAAATCCCTTATGCTTTTGATTACCACCATCCGAGAGATCTTTTTTTCACCGTGCCTTTCTTAATTCATTCAATATTTCAGTGCCAAACGGTTTAATTACTAACCAGGTTTTGAATAAGAAATCATATTACTTTTAGGAACTGCCATTTGCAATGTTGTCATCTCGAGGCAGGGATTTTGACAGTGCTATCAACCAGCTTAAAGATAAATATCAACTTTTCACTAATCTGTCAAACACTTTTGCCTGATTCCGTCCGCTCAGGGGCATGTATTGGGATTTATGCCACCTATTCATCACTTTACCCTAAAGACTAAATAATTCTACATGGACTTAAGTAGAGGGCACTTTACAAGTGCCTTAACTATATAATGGTGGATTCAGGTGTCTTGTTGGTGTATTAGGCCTAAGTTTTTCGTGGAAACCTCTCATCCAGTTATAATTTCGTTTTTTTACGGTAAAGAACTTAGCTATTGTCAGTAGCTTATCCTGGGTGGAATCAATGCTTGTTGCGAAGCGGATAGTCGACATTGTTTTCCTTAACCGTTCATCGGAAGAATTAGTGATATTTCTGAATTTCTTTTGAAGGAGTTTTTCGTTTGCCGACTAACTGTTTCTTAATGAGAGTTCATCAGAATGGGCCTTTGCTAACGGGGGCCACCCACCGCAGTTCATGTGCCGAAATCCAATTTATTGGCAATTATCCGTGTGAAAAATGTCTCATGTGTAAGCGTGTGTAACTAGTCCTTTTGCCCTTTTATGTGCTTTTCACAGTTATGGAACTCGGGTACAACGGCGACCATCTGCCTGATTTATGGTGATTACATCTACACCGTTTGGATAGGGGATTCCCAAGGAGTGCTTTTTGGCCACGCCAACAATGCCACCAAGTCCACGTCCTCACACCAAAGCTCCAATGAACCAGTACCACAGAAAGAACCCATTCGGCTCACTGAAGCATCCATCCTTCAAACTGCACCGTCTTCAGCTCCGGGCACCACCACCATCGATATCCCTCACATCGATGAGGCTGAAATGGCGAAGAGTGGAAAGAAGCATACTCCGCGACCCCTCATCATGGGGTCAATTGAATCGCCCTCCATCGCTGCGAGCGCCCTCATCTCCCCGACCTCTCCGCGCACGAGAGCTGCTCGCTGGGGTCTTTCTTTTGCCTGGCTCACCTCCCTGGTCCGCGGCGGTGGAGGCAATAGTGCCAGTAGCAAGGAATTGAGCCCCTCAGAGGTGCCGCAGGCGCAGTTACGAGTTCGCGCACCTCTTGCCACGCAGGAAGTGGAGGAGTCTGAGTTAATGGAAGTGGAAGACCAACCGACAACGCCGGTACCGGTGTCGAGGGCAGTAGTTCACAGCGTTGCTCGAGTGCCCTTTCGCTACGGCTCGTTACCCATCGGGAAGAAGAAGGAACGCCAGCATAATCATCACCAGCAAGGGACAGGGGGCGGAGGAGGGTGGATAGGAGGCGTTTCGGTAGCAACAAAACGATTAAGTGCCCATTTCTCAGAGCCCTCATTGAATGTTGCCTCCGCCGCGGCTGGTGCCACTGCCACTGTGGATCCTACGACTATCGCCCTCTCAGCCGGGCACAGAATCAGCCCCGCCGGCGATATGCGTGACAGTCGGTCAACTTCGGTGGTGGAAAGATCACCCTCTGATTCGCTCGCGTCTGCCTATAACATCCTCACTCCCCGTATGCATCGACCCGAATATGCGGTAAGAGACTCCTCGTTCAACAGATGCCTTTGATTCCCGTACCTTAGTGCTATTTACTTGGTGTCAATCTTTTCATTCTTTTGTCTCCAATGCGAAGGAGTGGTTTTTTATAGTGGTTTAGAATTTGTAGCTAAAATGGCAACTTCCAAGAATCAGTTTATGCAAGTGATCAGGTGCTACTGGTGTACACGTTCAAACTTTAAAGTGGATTTCATGTTGGCATGCAATCATGCTTGGTGATGGAAAATTTCGTGAGTGGTAGATTTATTCATCTTACACATTGCTTTGCTTCCCTTTGGCTTTTTATAGACTTCTAGTGTGAAATATCTAAAGTAACATTTCCTATCACTGATGGTTCTCGCGTCATTGCAATGTTGTCTCTCTATTGCCATATTGTATGTGCAACTTGTCCTCCATGCATAGATTGTCAAATCCTTAATGTTTAGGAACTCCGAATATTTTATGATTACTACACGAGTATTCCTGCTTACGCCTTTGTCTCGCCCATTGCCCCTCTTTACTTTACGGATACACCATTGGCTGCCATATTCGACAGGGAAAACAGAGAGTAGATTCACACAACAACATGCAGTTGATACTTGTGGCGTAATAAGTAGGGGGGTTACGGTCAGTGTGTACGGTCCAGGAGGATAGAGAGAGGAGAATGGCTGAGTGAGTCAGTCAAGTATAATTATGGTCACTGTTGGACCCTCTTCTCGGTGCGGCCGTCAGCGAACCTGGAACTGGTCCCTGCTTGATGCAAGTCCGTCAGGAGGGACTGGGCAAGATCACGACTCTCTAGAACATCCTGAGGCCAGCACTCAATCAGAACTTCTAGAACATCGAACGGGAATGCCTTTTGAGGGTTGCAGGTATACCCAGTAAAAATACTTTCCCTTTGTCAAAGTTCCAGATCATGCGCATGCTTCAACACATTAGCGCCAGTTCTACTTGACGGCTCACCATTTAGTATATCTACTGCACCCGTATTTCTAGGAATCCAATCTTTTTACATTAATGTGCTCTTAGATTAATTAGTGATCAATTTTGTTGTGTCAGAAGTCTGTGTTTGTGTCACAACGACCTGTGTTGCTAATGTTTAATCATGATCAAAAAACCTCATAATTGATACGACTTACTGTCTAAGTTGCCAATCACACGATATTTCCTTCTCTACTTGCATACAATATGCTTCTTATCATAATGTAGAACATCTCCCGTTGAACTGACATGCTTGTCTCTTCAACAATCAATTGTTATTAAGAATAGGAATGTTTTGGGATTGAATTTGAGAAAATGATATGGAGTCTCGGATTTGTTGGAGAAATTCTTTCCTTATTTTTTTCTCAGTTCTAAATTGACCTTGTTTAGCAGATGACATATATCGGAGAGGCTGAAAGAGTTCATTTGCCTTTCCCTGCCTCTTCAGGTCGAATTTGTGTCAATCTTGCGTGCGGGGGGTTGCGTGACTTTCAAGGCGTCAGAGGACTACGTGGGTGGTGGTGAGGAAGACGACGACGAGGGCGAGGGAACGGAATCGAGCCAGCCAAGCCGCATACCTGCACCGGTGATGAGCAGTGCGCAGCTCCTCTTTGTCCCGGATCTCTCTGTAGGCGGCACCTACCGGGTGGGTGGTATATCAGGGGTGACCCGTTCCCTCGGGGCTAGCACTTCCCTCATACCCGGTCTCTCTGGCCTGCCTTCGCTCTCTGCCCACCGTTTCTCTGTCTCCGCCTGCCTCATCCTCGCCACTGACGGGTTGTGGGACACCTACGGCTGTTCTCCTGACGACCTTACACACTTCTTCAGCGGCACGCCGAATCGAGAGTTTGCCAAACTCCTCACTGCTCGTGCTGTCCGTAACGGTTCCAGTGACAACGTCACCACTCTCGTCCTTTGGCTGGGTGAAGGTGGCACTGACAGTGAAGCGATGGAGGTGGACCTCCGTTCTCCCACTGCCTACCCGGCGGGCACACGGTGCGCCTCGGTACCCTCTCTGGGCAACTCTCGGCTGCGTGGACCCCTAGCAGCAAGAGCTCTTGGTGAGACTGACTTCAGTCTACCCTGCTATGTGGAGCCACGGGAGCGTACGCTCACAAGGAGTCACTCGTCGGAATATTTGGCCGATGTTGATCGTATTCGGGCCTCTAGTCCCATGCGTGTTCTCCCCTGATGTGTCCTTTCTGTCTGGCTGTCTGTCTGTCTTTCAGTCCCTCTTGAGTGTGTGTGTGTGTGTATGTGTTTGTGCGAGCATGCGTGTCTGCATTTACATAGATGTAAACGAGATCTATGCTCTCAATTCTTATTCTCTCCATGCTGACTCCAATCCTCTTATTTCTTCTCATGATTGTCAGTTTTTACCTACGCGCCGTACTGCGTGCCAGAGGTTCTTTTTCTGACTTACTAATGGCCAATAAATGCCTTTTGCATTGCCGTTTGGAGGGCGTTTGAAGTTGGCTCATATCAGACAGAGTGTGGTGGTGGGGCTCTGTCCGCTTGGGGATTGCGCCTAATAGGGTGTCACTCTGCATATCTCATGAAGGATTTGCACGTACACTTCATAACATTGGAAGAAGTTGGCCTGAAGTGGTCTAGATAATGAATTTTAGTCTCGGTTTTATACCAAGAGCTAACGTTCTCAAACATGATAAAATAGTAGAAGTGTAAGCCTCAAAAGTGTCAATTTCAACATGAAATGTTGAAAATTTTGCGACTAAAATTGTAGTGGCTTTTTAAAAGCAGAATTTTACTTATCCAGGTTGTGAAGTCAAAAGGGGACCATGCAAAAGCTGTAATAAAATGATTCGTACTATTATCACTGCATCTTGATTAATTATTTGTAGAAAAAAAATACATCAGGCTAGTAAATTGTCAATAACTCGTGTTTTGGGTACTTACACATTGCTCACTGCGGGTTTTAATCGATCAGCGATGCCAGTGAAGTTATGTAGGTATAGAAGCGCCTAATTTCAGCCGGTCGTTTCTGTGTCAGTTTACCTATAATGAACTGAATCTACTGTAATGTCATCTACATGCCAAAATCAAACCGCTGGAAGGAGTACCCATTGCCATCTAATTGGGAGGAGCGATATGATCCAAGCACAAAATTAAAGTAAAAGTCGGCCCACCACTTTAGTGTAGTTATTTTGTTGACCATGCAAAAAAGCGAGCCTCATGGACGGATCCACGGACTTGGTATTATGACAATGATGTGACCTCAACGGGTGGCGAAACCAACCTGCGGGAGAATAACAATGAGGCCCTTTCTGACGTAAGCGTATGAGTTCCTGAATTGATTTGAAGCTCTTTAGCGCCCTTATAATTTCTTAAGCTCGGAGGGGAATAGATCTGTGAAGCCTTCATACGCATCCAAGACCAATTCGATTGTGAATAAGTTCTTGGCAAAGAGGTGAACTTGTCGTCCTGTTTATGGTCATATCTATTAAAATGATTACTTGACTTCTAATTTTACGACTGCGTTTTCCATCGGGATTATCTTATTGAGCAAGACTTGACATGCGCTTTCCCTCACGATTTATTTTCTTTAAAACACTGGCATTCTTCTGTTTGGAACGTCTTGGCGCGCCCCCATTTTAAGAAATTGAAGTGTAATGTCCTTAGTTTTACATGCGTTCTCTGTCTTACAGTCAATTGACTGCTCCGCATTGGAGCATGCTGCGTTTTAATTGTTAAATATTTGCCATTAGTTAACCTGGTAAAGTGTATCTACACTTGCCCTTTTTATTTTGTTGACGAACATTGTATCATCGCACTAATCAGAGACGTTTTTTGGTGTACGTAGCTACGAACCGAAACATGATCAGTTACAACGAAGACGTAAATCCTCATCAACCTCTCGAAAAAGTAATGCAAGGTATATTCTATCATTATTTTTCCAACTAGTGACTTTTCAGGAGGGCCCGACGATGCAGTATGGAGCCGCACTCCTGCTCTTCACGTAGGTCGTCTTGATCCTTTTGTCTCATCTTTATCCATTTCCCTACAGCGCTTTCCCCTACCGCTACTTCTGCACACGTATCCTGCCAGCTGCGGCACCATTCCTCCCACCGTGTCGCAACCGCGAACCCGGGATCGATAAAGGATGATGCTACGCTGGGCGAAGTTGTTGTCGGAGAAAGGGTACCGAAACACGAGGTGGTGAAACAGTCCACACCTGTTCCTGAGACTAGGGAGTTGTGTCTGGCTCCCTTGCACGTGTAAGCTCTTTTTTCTATTGTTTTACAACTGGTTTTGACCAGGCTTCTCAGGTGGTCGTACAGACTTCTTAATAATCATTGTCGACCCTTTCGCATTTAAGATTTACCCATTTAAATCCTTAAAACTATCCTCAGACGGGCTTATCGAAGTGAATGAACATTGTTGGTGTTTACTTGATCGTCACGCATTTGTGATTTTTTTGTCTGAGGCTTTATTTAAATTATCAGGGGGTCTGCTCCAGCACAAGATGATGTCAAGGGAACTCGGGGTTTAAAAACATTCCATTCCAAAGGCGATGGTAACCCCGAACGTATTTGTGAAGTGCTCGAACATGTGAGCTTTCATTGCATTCGACTATTTTCGGTTACAGTCAACAGGCAATACCCCAAAACTTATGCTTAAATATATGTCACCACCCTTCAAAATTGCTGAAAACCCCCCATAAAATAGAAGATCGGTTGATTCTTTAGTTATTTATCGAAGGATTAAAGAATAACCTAAAAGTAAAGTTAAAATCCGGTCACTAACTGTGACTTATGTTGCTAAGTGGATTATTGCCCATTCTTTCCTTAGGATAAATGAAATCCCCGCAGTTTATCACCTTAATTGAAGGAAATGAATTGCATTTTTGCTTTTCCAGGCTTATGGTTTGAGTTTTGCCATAAATTTGTCCCATAAGTCGAGAGACTTATCACAATCAATATTTTTTATTCAAACGTACAACTATACCACAACCATTATTTTTAAATTTGGCGCCTTAGTTATGAAAGGCTTCCTCCAAAAGGGATGCAATTTTTTTGCTTCTGGTTAATGGCCCAGTAACTTAGAATTTACAAACAAATAATGCATGGATGTTTTTAGTACTAATATTCTGCTTCATCAATTGCTGCTTTAAACACGTACCATTGTTTCACTTCACCCTTTTCAGTGTCGGCTGAGCAAGCCAAACAAAGCGGTTATCCTAAGCAGTCTATTGATTCGGGCAAAAGGTCCCGATCAGAGTCTCCTCTGTCGACGGATTCCCGCCAGAGGTCCCGACCCCAGTCTCGGTAGGGGCCCCAATCCTTCGCTGGTCCGCGGTCCCAACCCTGCCCTATTGAGGAAAAATCAGCCCCAAGCCCTTTCCTCCGCTCCATGATCACGTGCCCCGTTTTCGTTATTTAAAAATGGTTTTATTGTTATTACTTCTCTTGTTGATGTTGTTGAACGAAATACTTAACAAATCGCATCACAGTCCTATTTATTGGTTGATTGCCTCAACGACGCTCCCGGCGGCGTCTATGCAATGTGTTGGTGGTGGCAGCGGCGGCCTTGCGAGCGAGGAAGGCGCGGGCGTAGGCGCCAACCACCCGGCAGGCCTCCGTCACTGCTGCGTCACGAGCGTCCGCTGCTCGTTGTCGCTCCCTTTCCGCTTCCTCGTGTGTCAGCATTTCCTCATGTTCTATCCATAGAGTCTGGTGAAGGTGGAAGGGAAAGTAATCACGTTTCATTTGTGCTATCTTGTCGGACTGGTTATTGACTTCGGTTAAAAGAACATACACCCGTCTTGGAGTGAAGCCTTTTTATTTTCCAGGTGGGGAGAGTGCGGATGTGTCCACTTCCAGTTGTATGATTTTTTAACTAAGCGGGACTTTTAATTAAATTTATTTGTTAATATCAAGTTGGACTAGATTTGGGTTTGTTGCAGGATTGTATCGAAAAGGCAAAAGCAGGGCTTGCACACACATCAAGCGAAGTCATTCTGGAAGGATAAAGCGCGTTGATTTTATATCAATTGTATTTGGTGAGTATCACCGGGGTTATGTTTGCTTGCTAAAACTAAGTTATGCAAAGTAGCAATGTATGGTCAGTAAACCCGTTTGATTCTTTCTGCCGATCAAACCATTACTGAGCAGTGTTTTAAACTTACCGCCATCTTTTTCTGGAATTCTTCCATTTGCTCCTTCTCATTATCGAACGTCTTCTGCAATTCATCGTACTTCTCCTTTTACAAAAAAACAATGAAATAAGTATAAATAGTTTACTTAGGAGGCAGTGTAAGGTGTTTCTCCCTTAAATTAGTGGGTAAATGCGTTTTTTTCATCAAAATGCAATATTTGCACCCTGGCCTATTTTGCATACATATGAAGGCTTAAGCCTTGATATATTACTTTAACCAAGGAAATAAGAGATCTCACGGCGATCAAAAACAATAACAATTTACTCATAGATATAGGGAATTAATACACCTAGAGGAGACAAATTTGCCTTAAAATGGTCAATCTTAATAGCAAAGCTCGTACCTGCGTACAATACCTGATGAGGCCATTATTCACCCACGCGTTCTGACTTAAAATAGTATTGCTAATTTTAATTTCTAGAGTTAGACCAAGTTCGGGATAAATGAACCTGGGGTAGCACCAAGCACTCCCCATTCCATCCACCGATCTTCTCTAGTACACTCTGCCCACTAGTAACTAGTGGTAACAAGCGCAGAAGGAGCACAAATAGCCTACCTGCAAGGCAGTCATTTCATCATCGTGGGAGGCAATTTGAGACTCCATTATGCCTTCCAGCTTGTACTTTCTGGATCGAGCATTCTTCACCTCTTTTCGAATAGCTGCCAGTTCGCCATCAACCCTCTCCTCCGCCACCGTCAGCACGGTCTTCAGGTGTTCCTGTCGAACTACAAAAAAATCCCCCTTTGATACAATGCCACATATCCTGAAGGTTCGGTTAGGGTTAATTCAATCATGTTTACTGGAAAACTAGGCAGATAGTTAAAGTGTTGTCGTAAAAGGTGTTGCGGAGTATTTTTGGGTTTCTAGCATTGATAATAAATACACAATATTTGCAAATTAGGTGTCGCTTTATTAAAACCCACAATTCGGAAAGACTTAAATGTGGTGCGTAGAAAGCGTTACTAAGCCGAATATTAAAGTGTAACTATTTGGAAGGACGGAAGTTTTAAGCAGACTAAGCTGAGACTAAAACTCGTGACGCTTAGGGTGTTTTCGACAAAATAAGGCTGAAGTAAGTTTACCACCATGAAGGGCTAGTAGATCATTTCTTTTAAAATCATTTGTGTATGAGCATAGCCTCAGATAAGTCATTTTATGTAAAATAAGCATTTTAAAATTCACTTTCTGATCAAGCTTTTTTGGTGAATTTGAGAATAAGTATATGTTAGGCTAAGTAACTAAACTAAGGTTTTAAACGTCTTTTACACCCACTTTCTGACTGCTTTATTGTATTCTCGTAATTTTCAATTCCTTTTGAGGTTATTTGTAAAATCGAATTTGTAAACTTCTCCTTTAAGTCCACGAAATCGCCTTGTAGAACTCTGATTTGTGAATCCAAAGCCTTAGCCTAAAATAATATCAAAACAAACACCCCAGATGTGCAATACTTGTGAACCAACAATATAGCAGTTACAGTGAGTGTTAATCGAAATCATGATTTCAATAACTGATACTCATGTAGCTACTAAAACATTGCAAGACTTGATACGAATAATCTGGAACTAAGAATCCAGTCTGCAGAATATGCTATTTTATCGCATTAGTGTGATGCAGCTGAACATATTTTATGGTTCTTTCCATACTAGGTACAAACACGTTTAAAGATAATCAAGGGTCTAACTTATTCATTACAATATGAAAAACTTACCTTACTTTTTATTTGCTGCCTAATTGTTTCATACCCTCCGTTAAGTAATTCGATATTTGATCTTAGTTCTTGACAAATTAGCTGCCGTTCTTTGATTATTTTTCCTATACTTTTGAGTCCTTTGATGCTGTAATGAAGTTCATTGGAATTGGAAATGTGTAAATGATCCAAAAGGGCTAAAATGTCCAATTCATGTGGTAAACAAGGCCACTGTTGCTTCTCTAGGTCATTTGTCTCGTAAGATTTTTCACCATTCTCAAACAAACGTCCTGGCAAAAGACTATTTACAATGTCGGGGTGACTGGTTAAAAAACGCCTTAGTTTCCGCGCATTGAACAAGTGGTGATCGATCAGCTAAAACACCAAAATTCTGCTAATTACATCTCATGCCTTAGTTTTAGCTAAATAAAAATGCACTGACCTATGTCACTAGCATACAACAAGAAGACTGAGGGCAGGAGTATGAAAAATTTCGTTCTTGCACAGTGTAAGATATTTTCCAAATAAAAACATGCGAGACATGTGCTTTAAATATGCTTTGGTGATACAAATAATTAAAGTCAATTAATGTAACCTCTAAATTAGGGACTAGGTTTTATATGGTAAGCTCAGCGGCAAAACCCTAAGTAATCTCCCGGTAAGCCTTACTTGACCAGTAGGTTCATTTTGGGTTAATTGATTGAAACCTTCCTTTGTCGAATTAAAAAGCAAACTTCTAGTTTTCAGAAACTCATCCACCTCGATAATTTTTAAACCCTTTGACAACTACTTGTACGTGGAATTTGTAAGTCCAACATACTTTGTCGCCAGTCCCTACATTTTGAAGCAAAAAAAAGAATGCCACCAGTTTCTTATGTTCTCCTAAGATTTCTACCAACAAGCTTGCGCGCGAATCATTTATATTCCTAATGTCATTGGGTTGAATAACATTTTTTAGAAACATCCCTGAAAGCATTTTGAAATTGTGCAACGTGCAATAAACATTCATACTCCAAGGTCAAATTCAGGGAATCAAATTAAACACCTCCGCGTTAATTAATGATTCGTTTGTCACAAAATAAAATAGCTTACCTAATAGTTTATCACCATATAATTATTGTTTTCCAATCATTTTGTATTAATTTTCTGGGGTATCTATTGAGAGTTGTGCCATCCAGGGTAAAAATAAATAGAACCTCCTAGTAAACTCTAGTATTCTGTGAGCATTATTTTGAGTCTCGCAGCATAGAATTAAGATTTACAGTTGCGTTTATGGCAGAAATAGTCAAATTTTGCCCATGATCAACTGCTAGAATGTCCTTGAGTCAGTTACCGAACTGATATTTAGGACGGATTGAAGTGGATGTTTGTTGTAGTTGCCGTTTGTAGCAAAATTAAGTGAAATATTGGGATGCCGACTTCTGTTATCTAATTATTGTTCGTTCAGCATTAACAGTCATATGTTAAGAACATGCAAGATTAGGGCATTGTATGCCTCAACACCATTTAACCTGTCCAATCTCGCATCTCACCACCTTACTTTCAAAATAAACCTATTGGCTTAACAAAAGAGTTTCGAGGGACTTCTTTCAAAGTTTTGCTAATCTTGATGCTACCTATACATTACTTATTAGGGTGCGCCCATATTTCCTTCCCAATGTGTTTTTTCTGTCGCATTATATTCACAACCTCTTACTAATTTGGGCAACCCAACCATAAATCAAGGCAAAATACGAATTTGTCCCTACATTTTACTAAAATAAACTATATCTATTTGAATGCAGAACCGAAACTTAATTTCCTCGGCTGATTTTACATTGTTTCCGTTTTTCCATAAATAAACTGATTTTATATTATAACCTACGTGTATACTGGTGAGTTTTTCCTCTCTTGGTTCTAAGTAGAAAATCGCGATCAACACAATTTTAGTGTTACCTTATTTGATTAGCACATTTAGAAGCCGATCATAAGTAATGCCTTAAATTTGCGACTAACATATTGTATGCAGTTGATTTTACTAATGCTTACGGATCACACGGGTGCTTACATTGAGCCTAAGCCACAAAACGTTGTCAGATTCAGAGCGCATGCACACGACCTGTTCTGACGTGACCACTGTCTACTTGAAAGACACGTAACACGTTAATTTTCTTGCTTTATTATCATCTAGCGTCTTTCCCATCACACGCCTTCTAATGAATACAATGTATTAAAAAGGGAAACGCCCAGTTTTTCGCCTTGCAACACTCTACAGGCAGATAGATACCGTATAATTGCACATTTCCATTTTAATAGCAGCCTAAAAATATGGCTTTTTATCGCTGGTTTAATTAGCTTTATTGGGTAAACACTCCCAACGATTGTTACTATAAATATTTCTTGAACTTTGTTGGTACATGGTAATTGTGGAAAAAATAAAATAAAGTCTGTAACATTTCACTACCGTAATCGAGTATGATGGAAGTGTCTCACCCCAAAGGCTGGCTTCTGAAAGCGGTCGGTGCAAAGACAGATGATTTTGAGATCCGATTCAACAAAGTTCAGTTTAAATGCGTACTTGGATCAAAAGTAAAAAAGATTCGTTACATTTGTCCTCCTCGTTATCGGAGTGAATGAAGGGAACCCTCTCAACAGGAAGCTCTCCCAAAATTAACATTTCAACGATGCGCCATCATGATTTTTGTAAACCTGAGGGGAGTATTTGCACAGGGTTCGCTGTTTCTTGATATTGTTACACAAGTAAACCTCGTAGCAATTTACCGTGTTTGTGATAATCCCATTTTCTTAGTTCAAAATCCTACCATAACAATACCGTCCCAGAGCTGAGATGAATAGAAACTCCCCATCGGACAAGACAAGATCATTACCTATCAAAGCAACTTGTTATATCACCTAAAATGATTCCATTTTTTAACGCACAGAGACCAAGTAAACGCAATCTGCCTTGCGACTCCTTTATCTCCTTCCTTTTTAGTAACCCTAGTCTTTCGTGTGAGTTCCCCACAAGTCTTCAGACTTTGCAAAGCGGAGGCGTCTGTCGATGTGTCAGCGTGGTGCCATTGCTGCTTCTAGTGCTAGTGGGCGTAGCATACGACCTTGCTTTCTCGTTCTGTCTGGCAATTATAAGTTTCTGTACCCTAGATAAAGGCTGAAATATGCCTACTTACTTTAGAGAACTCTATTTTATTACAGCTAATAGAATTATTCTCAGCCATTGAGATCAGGCTGCCGTGCAAGTGGAACAGGGTAGTTCTAAATGGTGGTGTGATGTCACTGAAAACCTAGAGTAAGTAATTTGAAGTTAATATGGCCTTAAAGTTTATAGTTTATTTAAACTTTTAGCTCATGTTTCTCCAAGGAAAAGTATTGGGAATATTTGAATAAAATACGAAGGCAGATTCTATCTACAACAAGGGGTTTTGTAGACCAAGAGAAGCCGTTTACACCTTCCCAAATTATCAATGTTGACTAATTCACTAAGAAATTTGCCAAAAACGTTATTAGTGTTATCTCAATTAAACAATCCTTTTGCCGAATCAGGACACGCCAGTCGAACAGACATTTCTGTCTCAAGATCAAGAACGGCTAGTCGAGTCAGATGCTACTTTGTCCTCGCCCTCGGTATCCTCGCCAAGGGAGTGGGGAAGGAGTGGGACTCGAGACTGTGAGAAAAACGTGACCTTTCACACGATTTTTCTCGCCTAACTGACACGTAGTCGCAGCAACAGCAATTGTTGATCCACTAGTGGCTTGCCTATCTTCAATACATGCGAAAACACTCGTGCATTCACCTAGGTTGCTGGTGCTGAAACGACTTTGCCAATTCCCAAATATTTCAGTAGCTACTTATTTTTGTCAAGGCATTTCGAGTCGACTCATAGTTGTGCGTTTGTTAATGTAACTCTCTGCTAATACCACAGTATAAGTACTTGATAATCATTTTTTCAAGCAACTGGGTTACCGACACTGATCTTCCAAAGGTTTCGTATACTGTTTAACACAACTCGATTTTAGGTGGTGTGTTGCCTTTGGGATAATGGTAAGTACAAATTAGGAAATCACATTTAAATGTCACTATGGCAAATGACATACGATAGCCATTGATTTAGGGCGACGTGTCATTAATGTTACAAGGGACAAAGGTTTTATGGCAGCGAAACCGAAGGTAACCATTCCATAATTTAAAAATGCAAAAAAAGTATTTAAGGGCAATTATGCCTCACATTTTTGCAAAATTGAGTCACATTCAACAAATCAGCTCAAGGCCAAAAAAATCTCGGCTGGATCAAAAAGATTTGGATTTGGCTAGTGTTGAGTGCATAAAATCATTAACGTGTAATGTGATGGAATGTGGGTTCCGCGAGTTTATGAAAGTGGTACAATAAAACTAATCAGTCCCAACCCTAGTGCACAATTGTAATGTATTGGCTGTTTTTATTCCTCGGTTTTGGTAAAGGGACCACTTATGAGCCCCACCATTATAGCTCCGAGGGGCATTCTGGCTTCCGGACTATGTCAGAAGCCCCAAGCCCTAATGTACGCCGATAAACTGCTTTCTATCTCAGTAGCATGGCTTCTTTCGTCTTCAGGGTAGTCTCGGGGCACTACATAGTTGTGTCACTCTTGCACTACGGTCTAATTTCAGGTAGGCTTACTCTGAATGCATTCAGCAGAGGTATACATAATCCCGGCCGTCGTGGCCTCTCTATTCCTTGCGCAATCAGCATAGGGTATAGATGAAATCATCTCAAAATTTTCTTTCTCAAATCAAAAACAACTTTTCAATTTAGCTTTTAAGGCAAAATCCGGAATTTAATATGCTAAGAATTTATGGGGCAAAACTTGAAATAAGTCGATCATTTTCTCTACTTCATCAATCAATCAAGACATTTCCGCCTCAACAATTAAGTAAGAGGGGATAAAAATAGAATGCCTCTGTAATTCCTAAAATAGTTATAGGTTTTTTTCGAGATAGCTAAAATACCTTTTCTGACAATATACCCTCACAAATCTCGAAATGCACGAGTAGACACCCACACGAAGGTTACTGGTAAACACCCACACACCGTCAGATCTTCTACAGAATCTTTACCTTCTCAACTTCGATTGCGAGGTTCACCTGCACTACTGAGGAGTCTGGCCAGTATAACTTGGCTCTGTAGTCGAATTTTCCACGAGCTTTATAACCACATATACATATTTCAGCTTCAAAAAAGAGGTAAAGGATGCTTTGCTAATACATTAGCTGCATAGGAACTGATAAATGGTTTTCAAGAAGGGAATACTTGATAGGAAAATAAGTCTGGGAAAAAATAAGGCGCAACTATTAATGCCACTTAAAGGCATCGAAAGAACTGTCAGGATCGCCCTTATGAATACGCTTTCACGGTGTGGTCAATGTGAGCTACCAGTCAGGCATTTCAAATGTCAAAATAAGCTCAACCATGCCCCTATCAGCACGGACCAATGGACGGGAATTCTAGATTTCCCACTTTCAAAGATAGGCAATGTAAGAGAATTTGTGAGTTGAGGAACTTTACTATGAATTTGGCGCGTAGATTCGATCAATTCAAGATGAAACGTCACGCTAAAGCGTTTGATGGCATTAACAGAGCCTCTACAACCATCTAGCAGAAATTCCAATGATCCTACTTGCTTGAATGGGCAAAAGGATTGAGTAAAACCGACTTCCTCTTGGATCTTGGATTTGCAAAATAAATTATCTTAGTATTTTAGTAGCAAAGAATGCCACAGGTATACCAGTCACACGAGAGTTCTGGGCCACGTTTTAGGCCTCTGATGTGATTGTCTTCTGCAGTATGGTAACATTGAAGGCTGCATAACCGTGGTATTTTACTCTGAAATATTTAAAATAAGGTGAACTTCCAGTTCAGCAAGTAACCTATCCAACTTACCATCTAGAATTCACAACTTTTTTGGTAGGCAGCAAATAGATGCTTTGAAGTTGCTGAGTAGGTCATATCTGAATTCTAACTCTTGAATTCACCACAGAAAGTCTCTATTCTTTCCTGAAAGTTCCACTGCCTGGTTTGGGTGTAGTAAACTATGTGAAAAGACCAGGCAGGTAGCAGGGGTCGTCGTTGATGGGTCAATAGGCTTTGGAAATTTTCCAGCTAGATTGCATTATCATTGCCTGAAAAGTTAGTAAATTAATTTATCATTTGCCTTTCAAGTAGCACCGTCATTTTTTAAACTCTTTTCTTTGTATTTCTTGTCAACGGTAATGGAACCTAAAATCTAAATTTACAGCTAAAATTAAAGATATGTCCTCACATACAGACAGTTGAAATTGTAAAATGTAAACGGTTAGGGCGCAAAATTAACATGAAAAATGCAGACCGAAATTCGTCGAGATCAGGATTCTGCTGTCCCTAAAGGACTAAATTCGGCAACAAAATTGCTACAGAAAGAGAGGTCGTAGGGGAGAGGCTGCTTCATCTAGTTGACATTCGTGAGGCTTCAGACTTATTCGCCCACGCGGTGGTGGTCTCGCAAATTCACTCACCTATGGTTCCGCCATATTTTTACAATAATTTTTGCATTTGTTCAGTGCCTCTTGAGTGAAGAAAGAGATAGTGAGCATTCTGTCTCTATCTCTCCATCTCTCTACCCAACATGCAGACTTATTAGGACTTCACTAATGATAGCCCTGTAGGAAGATAAAAAGTTGTTTCTGGGGAAACCTTTCACTGCAAGCTGTTGAGATGCAACAAAAGTATAAAATTCAAGACTTAAGCCCTTCATTTAAGCCATTCATTTGATTGTCCCCTCTCGATAGAGTGTGCTGTGGAGGGGGTGGAGCATCAAATTCTTGGAGCCTTCCTTACACAAGCTACAGCAAGAATTCACTATAGGTTAAACATGGTGACGTTTAATTTTGGCGCTAACTGAAAGGTGAAAAATTGCTCAGAAAACACTTTAAAGTCATATAAATTTGAATTTAGTGATTAATAAGCTATTAAGCTAGGAGTCTGAAAGCTCCTTAAACAGAGACTACCCTGTTGATCCTGTTGATGAAAAGCCCCAAAATGGCCATTTTCGGAACAACTATGAATCAAAATAATAAGCTCACATTGTGTTAGTGTCAGTGCAATGAATCTCGTCTTTGGATGAGGGTTATTACATACTAGAGGGATGGAGTAACCAGTATGCGCGGGGTGTCTGAAAGAGCCTGATTGATTTTTGAGATTTTCTTTCTTCCACAACACCCAATCGCACCAATTTGAAAGGCGTCTCTTCATCTTTTTTTTACCAGATCCGTTAACACAAAGTAGGCTGTTACATTTTCCTCTCAAGTCGACGTCAGTACAAGCGCTAACATCCTGCAGAGAAGTTTCTTCATGCTTGGGAATAGATAAACAGCAGTTGTAAGGTTTTGGCAGCGGTCTTACAAAGGGAAATATGACAACAAGAATAAAAAATGACTAATTTCGGGAAAATAGAGCTTAATGGAAAAACTTTGCCTGTTTTTCTAATCTTTAAGAACATCAGACTAAAACAAGACTGTTGATCCCACTTAGAGCTTCACCACTGGCGAGTTCTACAATTATTGTGATCTACGTGGTTTTCATCATCCCTGAGAACACCGATTCTACCCTAGGTCGATGGGGTATTTACATCTTTAAAAAAACAGTACCATGTACATGCAATTTGCCCATACAATGGAACATGTGAGTGATTAGTGACGTGGAATTGTTAACGCATATATCTATGTTTTCGTTGGCGATGCTTTCCCTTCATTGCTTCAAAATTGACTATCCTTTTGCATTTGAAGCTTTGGATGTTTAATCCATTCCCCGTCGTGTGATATCTGTCGTGGAATTGAGCGGTTGGCAGGTGATTTGCTATTGAACCACAATAAAAGTACTGTTGCAATAGCCCTGACAATAATCCTACCAACACCATGTTTACGATGGAGTTTGTCTTTAACAACTAAGTCCCCTCTGATGTAATTGAGTAAAAAGAAGTGTACTTTCACAGATCGACAGTCGGGTGGGACTAGAGTCAGTGACCACTCCAGACAGTTCGATTAACCGTGTAGTTATTTATTATCACTTATAGCATTAGACGAATGTGCTAAAACCTCACTGATTAGGCAGAGTTCTTGGTAAGACGAGGACATTCTCTCCCAATTAAAGCAATCTCAGCTGCCTATGCAGATAGCCCGCACATCTAACTACCTGGCTACTCACAAGAAAGCACTCACAGATGAAAAGCGACAGCCCACTTGAGGTAAAAGCATCGTGTGTACAAAATTAGTTTAAATATTTTTGTTTTAAAAATGCACGATCGCGATGATTTGAGCCTGTGTGGGTGAGTGTGGGGAAGTAGGATTGAATTTTGCGAATCCTCTTCCTGCGATTGTCTTATTTTTGCCATTTGCGAAGTAGAAGAGGTTTACGGAAGATTGACGTAGAACTTGTAGACATCTCGATGACCTTGAACCTTGGTCAAGATCTTCTTGCCGTAGTAATATCTGCAAGGAAAGCACCAATGCACTAGATTTCCATTAAAAAGATGTGCACAAGAGAGAGATAATCAGCTCACCTTAGTGATCTCTTGAGATTCTCCTCACTCATGTTGGGTTTGTGCTTCTTCTCGCCCCACAGTTGAGCTAGCAGTCGAACGTTGGTGAGTCGAAAGACGCCCTGCTCCTTGCAGACCCACTTAATCACTGCAGGGTTGCATTGTTCACTGTTGAGACATTTAATGAGAAACTGCCAGAGCACAGGGGAGTTCCTTATGCTCCTTTGTTCTTGGACCATCTCGGTAGCTGAGAGCAAAAATGTCACACAGTTAGTCATTTATATAGGATTTCACTCCTGCGAGCTTTGTGTAGCTCATAGGCTACATCGACGAACCTCTCTAGAAAAGGCGTTCACTATAAAGTTGTACAACCAAATGTACGGAGGAGATTAATGCAAAATGGTTGCGTTGAGCCACGAATGTGAGCCCATAATCAGAACAGGAGATCTTTACGTAGTCCAGAGATGCGAAACGACAACTGCTAACGCTTAGGTGTGCATTATTTCACAAAATCAAAATTTCTTGATCATGCAAGGATTACGTTCCCATCCAAATGACGAATGATAAGACACATTTAAACTTTTATGCATTTGCATGAAGGTAATGGAATGGAGGTCGAGGAACCCACAATGGGAAAGTCCTCCGTCTGGGGATCCTTGCTCGTACTGGTCCAAATGCTGGTGGAAGAATGGATCATCAAGGTTCATTTCGTGGATTTCTTTGAGCCTCTCACCGCCATTTTTATAGTCCAAATCCCCTATTGGTGACAGATCCGTCTTCATGGAGAGATCGAGGGGCTGGTCTGGATGCTTAGCTATTACAGGCTCTGAGACAGGTGGTAGTGGTGGTGGCTGCGGTGTAGGCTCGGGAGAATTGGCGGCAGCAGCGGTGGTAATGAGGTTTCGAAGTATCTGTTCAAGCAGAAGTACATTCTCCAGGCTCACTATAAGAAGAACGGAAGAGAAAGAAGGATCGAAAGACTGTGATAGTATGTGAGGGAGAGCGGGTTTCAGATTCATGCACACTTACTGATCTTGGAGTCGATCTGCCATCCATCCTCTGCCATGGTACTGCTGGAAGCCCCTCTTTTTCATTGTAAAAGGTGTGGAATAGCAGAAGGGTATATGTGCAGACCTCTACCCAATGGCTGGACCAGGTCTCTAAGCAGTCAGTCATGCAAGAGCGGGGTCACCTTTCTGAGCGCACACGCTAACACACACACATGCGTACAGACATACGCATGCACACACACCTTCAAGATCCTTGCATTAAGGTTCAAAATGTTCCACGTGCTCTTGCATAGTATCGCGGTAACTCCTATTCCACCGTCAACTTCTCTTCGCTCTTATAATTGCTTATTTTTCTAGGTACGCAATCAGCCAGCTGAGCATGGGCCCATTTGTCTTCCTGATCTAGACCCTTCTTAACCACCAGAATTGGTTTTTGACAATTAGTGTCTGGCCCTCCTTTGGCGGTGTCCTACTCACTCTTCCATGCAGCTTTACACCATCCAAGAGGTCAGCGTAGTAGCCTATCGAGTGGCTACCTTGCCGCCTCCCACAAACACACCATTTACTTCTTCGCCTGTTGATCTACCTCTGTCCTTCATTGACACGAGGACATTACCCATAACATCGTGGGTCTATTCCACTTTTTTACTCCGCTTGTGAATGTGAACCAGTTGGATTAGACGTGAGTGCTGGCACCTGACTGAAAAGATGACCTTAACAGCAAAGTCGAGCCTAATTTGAGGTGGCGGCAAGCTGCGGAGAACATGATCTTTGCACTCTTCCGGACTTGTTTGCGTATCCTTTCTGTACCTATGGCCTAATGACATCAAATAAACACGTACAAATGCGTACTTTTCTCAGCCCTATTTTAAAACGACTAAAACTTGTGCGAATCAGTTTTAATTCCTGTGGAAGGTGAAAATTTTATTAATAATTCTAGTTATCAGTGCATTTCAGTGAGTGGCGGGGAATACTTTCCACTCTTGAATGGATGTGCGCTTAGTCTTCAAAAATAAACCGCTTAATTAAAATATTGAATCAGGAGTCAAACTTGGAAGCTTGTAATGCTTTTGATTCCAAGATATCTCAAGGGCGGAGACCACTGCGAGCATATAGTTCTTGAAAATATCTAAGGTAATTTTGGGGGAGGAAGGCTTCAAAACAATGGGTGAGGAATGCTTTTGTGTACTTATGCTGCTTTTGTATCTGTAAAAAAGTGTTAGCAGCTATTAAAGAGGCCATCATCAAAGAATCACTGAAACGATGACGCCTAATCCTTATGCCTGTCGTTTATGATGACAAGTCTCGAACACACTTTGACAGCATGTAAATGACGGGAAAGTGACAGCCAAAACGAAGGAACGATTTCAAAACCAAGACTTATTTTAGCAATGTAACAGAGACCCTGTCACATTTTTCTAGTGCACCTGTACATTCACAGTTTCACAGTTTGAATTCATTGCCCGTGGTAACCAACTTGTACGACTGGTGGTAGAAGTAAGAGATTAGGCAAAAAACTGATTTTTAAGCACTATTTTAGTTCTGGAGGGAAGAATGGCGAGACGGCAGTGGTTGCACGCCCCAGAGATGTATATGGTTTGGGAAAGAAAAACGTGCTTACCCTTCAGCTAGAGGCGAATGCACATCTGCTCGATTGGGTACGCTAGAAAACCTGGGAAGCAATAATCCTTACCTCTATAAAAAAGTTTGGAACGCCCTATCTCCCCTAAATTTAGGTGATCTTGAGAGCTTATTTATCACTGATGGAAAAATCCAGGCCGATTGGCGAGTGGGCGGTGGCAGCACAACCGCGGATGCAGCGGAAAAGGCGAGTCATGCACCCTCAAAGTCGCGCGAGAGGGCGTGCGTGTAGGTACACGTCGGCTTTAACACCACACCGTGTAATGGGAAGGCAGGCAGTGCCTTCTGAGACAACGTTCACATTGATTATCAAACCTAATTACTTTCACGTGGCGAAGAAATGTGGAAAAGCTTTGTGCACTTAGGTGCCATTGTCACGCTCAACAATCCAAAGTAGCCGTCTGTTGCCAGGTGACCAATAAAGCTTGCATCGTTTGCCATTGCGCTCACCGAAATACGATGTTGTAGATGTAGATGGCACATCATCCCAGTGATCTCAGTGCAATGAAAAATGCTGTCTGCGAACTGCCTTAGTTTTTTCGCAAAAGTAGGCTGTTATTCTAATTCATTTCATTAGGGGTTGTATTTTTTTACAAACCCTTGCTATACGAGCTTTGGGCATGTTGCTTTAAGGTCCCACTTGCCCCCAGCTTCGGGGGAACAAAAAGGCAAAACACATTAAATAGGAGTCACAGAGAGCTTATCTGGTGTCACGAGGTAACTTAGACTTTTTGAAAAATAATCCATTCTAGTAATAAGACCAATTGCGGTGAGTTTGCTGCACGTCACATGTCCTGGGAACACAATCGCCTGGCAGTTTTCGTGCAGCGCTCACCGGTTCCACCTCTGCTATGCTAACACACACACGCACACACACACACCCCTTAAAAAATCTAAAAACCTGTGATTTATAAATAGGGCCGAGCTGTGCCGCCTCCGCGAAGGATGGCTGAGGGCGTATATAAGGCGAGAGCTCCTCACGCTATGACAGCCTTTGAAATGTATTGTGACAACACCAACGGTGAGATCTCTTGCTTGTTGCCTACCTGCTTTCACACACACGCATAGTCACACTCACCCATACTCCGTTTTATCACGCCTTGTCATGCAACGTGGGTACTGGCATGGTTTGCACGACTTTATTTTTCTCCTTTCGCCCTTTCAGTTCTTACGGAGAGTCTCTTCATGTTCCTCAACAGCCTGCCTCCTGGAGCTTATTTGGAAGAGACTCTAGATCAGCCTCTAGACCTTTCTATCAAACGTGCCTCCAACTACCATGATAGTGACTCTAACAGCAACAGCAGTAACAGCAGCGATAGCAGCTATGGCAACGATGACCGCACTGACGAGGATGCAGAGAAGATTGAGGATCTACATCTCTACAACCTACTGCGCGAAAACTCAAGCATTAATGGTGAGTTCCCATAACTTTCTCCTATTTTAATTGCGGCCTTTTATCCTGTATGCTATATAATATGTTCCTGCCTTCTATAGAAATGCACCTGAAAAATCGGAACACACCAGTTTTGTGGCAGTTTCTCCTCATGTGTCTGAGTAATAATCAGTGCAATCCGAGCCTAATTGAATGGATCTCGAAGGAGAATGTCACCTTCAAATTGACAAATGTCAATGCTTTGGCAAACCTCTGGGGCCAGATTAAAAAGCGACCAAGGATGAATGCCGATCACTTCAAACGCTCTTTGAGGTGAGCACCTTTTTCAAGCCTTGCCTACCTTCATATCATGATTCCATCAGCTCCTCATCGTAATGGTGGTGTTTCTTCCCTCTCTTACAATTAGATCTTATTACTCCCGGAATATATTAAGGCGAATTGAAGGCTACCCAGACACCTACCAGTTCATTATGTGACTCCTCTGCGTCTGCAACTCTTCTCAAGCGGGCATTTATTACTCAGAGACATGAAATTACTCCTTTATAGCTTTTGTATTCATTTTTCATCCTTTTTTACTCCCACATTTGTTATTTTCAGTTACTTTGATAAAATTTAAAATTTAGTGTATATATATCGCATAAACAATATTCATCCAAGTCCCTTTCCGAAGTCCTTTCGATTTTGCATTACGGATTTACACAACCTTTCGGATTGAATTGTTTAAGATTATTTACAAAACCATTCCCTCATGAATATCACTGATTTGAAGACCTTAAGGGTAGAACTGTAGTTAGCTTAATCGTCTAAAATGATAAGCGGGCAACTTTCTAATCAGATCAGCATATGATTTGCAGTTATCATTTGCACAATGGGAATCCCATAAAAATTCTGCCATTTTCCAACTACGAATATGTTTTCTCAAAGTGTGGTCGCGCCAGCACTTGGCTTAAGTTCCATTGGTTAGAGGGTGCAACAAAAACTGCCCTGGATGGAGCCGTAGATGGAAGATGGCATCACATGGCTAGAGAGATTCCAAGCGTGTGTGCCCTTACTGAGCGTGAATTGAAGATTTCCAACTTGTGCCAGTGCCATCTCTATTCGCTACAAGGTACTTCCTTTCCAATTTTGTCTACAATTTAGTCGTTAACAATTTTCTCTGGGATCAACATAATTCCTTTGAACATATATCCGAGTGGAAATAGGACCCTTTCATCCTTATTCACGAGAACAATAAAAGCGGTCCGTGTGTAGAGAACTGAACGAAGCATTAACTTTAAAGAGGTTTTCAAGTAAGACATTTTCAATGATAGATTTTAAACTGTCAAGATGGCACATAAATTAAACGCACCTACGGTAGTTTTATGCGTGTATAAGGGTGAACAGAGTCACTTTGCAGTTCAGATTGCGTAATTTTACAGACCTTCCTGAAGACTGCTAACCTCTTTGCACCTGCGTACACGGCGTTTGCAGCCGCGCGGTTAAACGAAAGAAGTCGCCAAATCTTATGGCGCTGGTAATTGCTATTTTCACCAAGGGGTTGTGGGAATAAGACTAGTGAAGAAATGTGACTAGTGAGGTCAACCTGTCTCCTGTATGGTAATGGGGTGACAGTGTCGCTTGCTTGGACCGACAGACGCAGGAGTCGCACCACCTTGGCATGGCCTTGGATCAGTACAACGATTGCACCAAACTGCTGATTCTTACAGTTTTTCCTCAAAAACATTTGGTCTTATTTGACAATTTCAATTATTCTACCACTATTGGGTAGCATTGGTCGGTGAGCTGCACTTCTAGGAGTGAACTTGTCGCCTTCCCGATGGAAAGAGACCCCAACTCTCTTTTAAATTCTCGTTGTTAAAGTTCGTTTAATTAAACGAAAATGGCAATTTAGTTTTATCCATCCAGAAGGGGAAGCATTAATTTGGATGCTTCCTTATCCTCTTTTTAACAACGGCCGAGTTAATAAGTAAAAACCAAAACTACTGTATCAGATGGGGATCACCAAGAGCCAAGTTTGCTTAATTAAAATTCTTAACTGCCCTTGACTAGCGTAAAGCAGAATCTTGTAAGGTAACAATAATTTGTACTGGAATTGCGTAAATGTTTAGATACGTGTAAAAATTTAGACATATTGTCTACTTATGATGTCAGATCTCTATTAAGCATTGTTGAGACATTTGGCCCTGGAGGAATAATTTGTCCTTAAACCTAAAGTTTACTTTTACCTGCCTACGTGCTTTGTTGTAGGTTTTTGAAAATTTCCATGTGGCGTACAAATATTTTTAGGCATTTTGATATCCACTGCTGCCACTAGCTGCCTGATTATATTTCGCAGGACCCACAGGCAGTGGGGAGCTTGGAATCCTTCACGGTGCCTTAGATCTCAACATGAAAAAGAAAACTTTTGACTAATATTTGCGGGAGTTACACACGAGTTGCCCACTCATTGTTGCATTCTCTTTTGTTTCCTTTCGGAATTGAAGAGAAATGATTCATTTTATGTGTGAGATTTGCAATAATCTGTCGATTACACTCAAAGTGTGCAACTCTCATTGTCATCCAAATTTGCAGCACAGTGCGGCGTTATGAAAATCTTCGTGAAACGGTTAAGAATATGGAAACACCAACAATAACCACACTAATCTCAAATGGTTGACTTCATGCTCAGTTGCTAAATGTGCCATAAAATCCAACGACCATCACTTCTCTACACTTGCTGCATTTAACAAAAGTAGCTGTCCACAGTTTTGAGAAATCCTAGCGGATTACTGATTAACTTTGCGGCATGATTAGTTATGTAACCTCCATGTAAGTGAAGGAAGTCGTGTTATTGTGAAAATTTAAAATCATTATCAGAATGTCATAATGAAAGGGTGGTGTACCGGAAGGCATTTGACACGAACGTCGAGGAATATCGTTTTAAGGGTGGTCAAATATAATAGCATTTTGCTGAAAAGAGCTTACAAAAAACTCTTCTCGGGGTAATGTGTCAGAGGCAGGTATGAATCACTTTCTAGGGCCACAAATTCATACACACACATTTTTCTCAGCAAAAAAGGGGTATGAGGAGGATTGGCGGAACCGGAACCATCAAGATACTGATCCTTCTTACTTAAAGACAAGCTTTATGTAAATTTATAATTCTTTAGTAATGAGCGGCTCTCAAAAGATTCAAATTAAGTTAGCATTGTTTTTGTCATATCGGCTTTTTGAAACCGTGCATGAAATAAGGAAAAACCCATTTAAAATAGTAGCATCGGTGAAAAATAAAGTGCAAAATTCACCTATCTTGTACCTCTGCGATTTTATCGTACTACCCACAAAATAATATTGAGAAAATTTTACTTTTAAATAAGTTTACGTCCATCAACCTCCATAATAAAAATCCACGTTATAAGTTGTCCAACAGTCCGAAGAAACTTTATTATCCCAAATGACATATAAAAGTGTGAAAACTAGATTAATATTACTCCCGAAACCAGCAGTTCCGGCGTTTGGTTTATCCCCCTCTCCATCCCCTTTATAATTTGAACTCGAGGCAAATTCAATGAGTTTTCAGAGCAAAAAAGCGATTTAGCAATGGCTTAACTTTACCACACTACAAGTCAGCTAGTCAATCAGTCAGTCGAGGTAGAGACTTAGTCGCTTCCACATGAAGAGAGATTAAGGTACTCACGCATTCGTCAGCATTACTAAACATTCCCACAAGCGCAGGACTCACCGCTGCCATGGAGCCGTGGTGCTATCACTCACTCACTCACATACACTCAAAGTGATGCAATGGCGCTGTCATCCCAAAAGTCGATTGGAATCGTCGGAAGCCACGCTGCAACGGTGTGCTTCCTTACACTAATCATTCACCCCGCCTCACATTCTCGCACCATAGGAAGTGGTAAGCAGTGTGAATGGAGGAAAGTGTGCTTCAAGACAATCAATTGGGTGTGCATTAATCATGTGTGAGGTACCATTAAGGGAGTAAATTATCGCTATAGCCCAATGTTTCCACAAAAGGGATGGAGGAGAACCGTATTGAGTCGAGAGCTCAAACTGAAAGGTGGCGCTCACCCCAGTGAAACGTACCGTGCAGTCTCCTCAGATGGATCTTAAGGAGAAAGTTACTTATTCTAAGACTCTCATAATGCTCGCATCTGTAATAGTTTTAATCAAATCCACAGCCATTTTATATCGATAATTTTACCGAGGTCAATTACAAGTCGAATGCTCTCCCACCATTTTATGGCTCATCCATCAAAAGGATCTTATCAAATCTTAATACTACACCGTTTATAAGTACAAGGAAAAGTGAAGCAAACTGAGGGCATAGGATGTGCGAAACACCGTTTGGTTAAATTAGAGAATGACAGACATATGGATGAAACCTAATGCTTTTAAATCAGCTTTTCGGTCTAAATACCGGAGCTTTTGTTGCCATCTTTTAAACTGTAAAGCAAAAAATCATATTACCACTGAAAAGACTGAAAAGATAGAAGAGCGAAGCCCAAAGTAGAAGTACCATAGCCTCTGCGAATTCAAACACCATTATTTAGTGCGACAAACAATTATGAAGGAAATGGGTGTGAGTTTTAAGTGTTATATGGCTCATTTTTGCGTAGGCTGTTCTGTCTGTGCTCTATCTGCGCTGAAAACTCACTTGTTTTTCAAAAAGCGGTTAATATACCTGCATAGTAATTACTAGATGACTAATAAGTTAGGCAATTATGCCAGCTTAGAAAATAATTTTTAATGGTTTTAAAGTCTGCAAGTTTCTTTAGGCTATGTCCTGTGTACCTTTCAAATCACGAACCCGGAAGATATCAGCAGACAGGACTGAGGATTTGCCTCTATTTTGCTTTTGTACAGCCACTAAAATAGGTCATTTTCTCGGCAACAATATTACATTAGCAGCAAATCGGGTGGTGATCTGGTGTAAGCTGACAGGAAATATTACTTCCATTTTGTGGAATTGCTGCGAAATGTTCAACAGGTTCTGTACGGATGTAGAGACAGTCAAGTGCTGAATGGTCGCAGCTATCGAAGATTGAACCTCCTTACTAGCCTAAATCTTGGGAAAAAAGTTGAAAAAAAGCACCGTATTTGCCATTTAGACAACAATGTGTATGACTCAGAGGGGCAAAATCGAGCTAAAACCAAAATTATGAAGTACTGTGTTAAACGGAGCGTGACGAGAATAAGATACATCACACGAGGTGATGCCGAACCGCCGCAAGTTCTCGTAGTCTGACATATGCAACGCCAAATTAGGTGCGTTGGGTGATTTGCAGAAAGGTGAAACTCTCTGTTTTTTTGAGTTGGTAAGCTATTGCTGATAAAGTGGCCACGGCGCATTTGCGTCGTCCCGTGCAGGTTATTAGCCAGCCACCCCCGTCTTTTGAACGGGGTCGCGTGGGCGCCGAGGGAGGTGAAAACATCCGCGCGCTAGCCCATGCGAAGTGATAGGGAAATGTCCAAAATGGCTTAGTTACTAAAAGTGAAACTTACAAATACTACCCTTAAATTCACTTCTCCCGTCTAGACAACCAACTTGGATAAAAATTATTGATCAATTAGCTTACAGAACCCTCTTGCAGGATCCGAACTAGAGCTTTTGATACCTGGACCCAACAAGCGAAGCATTCTCTGTGTTGACGGATTACTTTATGCATGCCCATTAACAAGTTTTCAGTAAGGAACAGGAATAAACTAGGTGTTTTACAAAAAACATAGCCCAACATATTCGAAATGTCTGTCATACAAAGGCTATTTCTGATCCCACATAGTCCTTACTGCACTACAAAGAATTTTACAAAATTTCTGGAATGTAGTATCACACTTAAGGCACCTCTTACTACCTTTCTCTCCCTATAGACAAAGTTAGCACATTAAATTCCTTGTGTTCGCACGCTATTTTTCCCCAGATGTAATCATTTACGAGTTCCACATCATCATCTTGAGGATTGGCGGTAGAAAGAGAACACTGGTTTCTCAAAGAGTCTAAAAAGGAGTTGGCAGCTTGGTTTGAATTTTTACTTTAATCAAGTTGTTCTCCCTAATTTCGATTTATATGGCATTTATCAGAAATAAGTTTCAGCCGTTGGCGGTTCCTTTTCGTTGAATCCTCGTTTTCGCTTTTCAGAGCCATAAATTCCGACAGTAAACAGTAAATTAGCTTATTCGCTATTCAAGGGAAGGATATCATGCACTTTGGAGCCTTATCACACCAAAAGTTTAGGAAGTGGGTGACTGAAAAGCACTTTACTACACGGTAGTACACACCTCTTCCCTCAACGTCCTTTTAACAAAGGACATTGAAGGAAGGGGTCACACAGTGCCAAGGAAAGAAAGCGTCCTCTCCGTGATGGACAGAAACCACTGTGTTTATATGCACGTTTGTAAGTGCGCACTACTACGGCGGGAGTGAAGACACACAAGGCTAGTCTGTCTCCTTCGTCCTGTGTTCGTGTATGCAGTTCCAAACCTCGATCCTTGTGCTAAGGCCTCGAAGGTTGCTCGGCGCTTGACAATTAGAATTGCGCTATTCTCTAACCACCATCCTACTTGAATCCCTGACGCTTGGCACAAAATTCCGAGGAGAAATATGTGTTCTCCTATTGACTGCGTATGAACAATCAACGTAACGCGATTGACAGATTGACTGGACAAGTAGGTGTTTCTTTTGATCAGCCGGCAAATCACACTAGAGAGGCAACTCATCTTTGCTCACCGAGAGCGGAAGCTTTCTACGAAGGTGGTGGAGATTGGTCAGTTACCTCAGTGATGATGACAAAACAAAATCGGGGTGTGCTGTGCAGAACTGCGCTTAGGTGAAGGTGTTGTGTCTTAAATTTAATGCATGGGTTACCAGAATTACAATCACGGTAATTTAATTTTGAATGTGACGCTGATGACTGCAATGCGCGAGCGATATGTGATCACAGTTATTCCCTTTCATAAAATAAAAATAGCTTGAATATTCTGAACTCCAATTATGACATTCAAAATAAAACTGAATCGGCGAAGTTCGACAATGGCTAACAAAAGGAGACTTATGAACCAAGCGTCTTTCATCCAGTGTTACTTAAAGATTTTGTCCTATTATACCTTACTGTCGATACAATTAACAATAATGGACTCGTTTTTATAAAGAGTTGCATGAATTCGAGCTGGAAGTTACACTTAATAAATTTGCGACCAGTGTCACATATGCGTGACACCCCAGTTTTCTAACCCAATTTTGACAGTTTATCGAAATCAAAAAAATGAATATACTAAATCCTAAATCACAAGCAGAGTGGTTTAATTTAGAGCAGCGATTATATTTAAGAGTTCTTGATCAGAAGGCAATTTTACTTTTTTACATTTGACCAGCACTGTCTTAAATGGAACAACGTAACCTCTGGACTTTGTGGTCGGTTTGCCCTGAAGGCTTTATAATATTGTGTTATACGGTTATTCTAAGGCATGTAAATTTGTTGCATTCTGGGATGTTTGTCTTGTGACTTGGGACTTCCCTAAAGACTGTAGGAGGCAGAGTATCCGGACCGGATGTGTACTGTCGGCATACAGAAGGGCTGGGGGCTACTGCTATGGCCCAGGGACCGGGCCCGCCCAGGCGAGGGTACAATCAGTGGAGTCCCAAGTGGCCGGTTATTAAAGTCGATAATTAAAACGAGCAATTTAAGCATTATGATTATGATTTATTTTGACATAAATTGACCTGCTACTGCATGCAGTCAATGCAGATTGTCGATCCATAGCCAAAGAAGCTCGATCTTAGTTCTCATTCTGCATTAGTGATGCGATCTACTTGACTCGTTTAATTCACTTCGAAATTTTTATTAATTTAAGGAAGTACTGTTTACTCTGCTGGGAGGTGCACGCAACTGTGACAGGTACTGGTGGATATTGAGCCAAGTTTTATTACCTTTTCAGCATAGTTTGATAACGCCTGACAGGTTTTTTTTTGTGGGAAAAAGCCGAAGAAAGCTTCAAGCTCCAAGCGCGCAAACACTCTAATAAATACTAGAACGAAACAGTTAGTAAATACACCTAAGCGTTTAAATCTGCCTCTTTTGGCTAAACTAATAGTTAAACAGGCTAGTATTAACGTGCTCTAGTGCCGTGTATTTATTGTGCTAAATATCATTACCAAAATTTCAACGCGTCTCCTAGAATGGATAGGCCTAGAGCCCACTCCGAGTTGTCAGAAAATCTGTACACTGTTCCTCCACAACTATTATAGTCGGCAGCTGTGAAATTACTTCCCTTCACGATTTGAATTCTAGCTTAATCAAAATTAGGAAGTAACCTGACATTGTTCCACATCTTTCAGTCTTGAGTTTATGTTTTCTTGCTGACTGCTTAGCCTCATGTGAAGGATGGGTTAGTGCAACAGCAATCAAATTAAGCAGTTTCACACTTTTCCGCAAAAACTTTTCTCTCTGTTACCAATATCCACGTGCAAGGGGACACAAGCAATGGGTGTGGAGCGTCATGTGGCAAATGGAAGAGGTTGTTGCCCTTCATGCATCCTTTGTTGGGATATCCGTCATGTGCACACAAAAATGATCATCTTCATAAACTAGCAAATTTATGGAAAAACACAACAAAAAAGTAGGAAAGAATGGATGCTGCCAGTTAGGCTAGTCAACGCCTAAGCTCTTTATTTTTTGAGCAAGTCACGATTGCAAAACCCTAGGTTTACTTCGGTGAGTGGGGCGTTTCGGCGATTAATGGTAAATCCTCTTGTCCTAGTAAAAAAACTGTTTTTGTACTCAGGATCGAGGTTAATGGATCACATGCCGACAATGCGTTTCTGAATTTCCGACTAAATTACCACACTTATGTAAACGGTAAAATACTTTCGAAGAGGGAAATGTCGCATGTTTTAAACCTACTTGTTATAGCTTTTAGACGATAGTGCTTCCAAAACTTTTATAAATAATGAAACGGTATTTTTTGTCGAAAAGATGTGTGAATGTCGGATTAATACATTTATTCTCATGGAAGGAAAATGAAGGGACTGTCAGGTTTTGGTTACAATACCCAGAATAGCCACTGGATGCCAACGAAATTGAATGGTTTAGTAGTTTACGCGCAGAGTATGTGGTGTCCTAGGGTGCACACTTCAGTTAACGAAACGACAGGGATTTTTGTCATTCCAGTCCATTTCCCGATACGAGCTGTGTCTGTCAGTGTGGATGTCCTAAATGTTATCTTACCTGCCTAACTCATGACGTGAAAATCAACTCTGAATCAAAATGAAAACTACAAGATAATCTTGTACTTAGGCTAATGAATTATGGCAGAATTTGAATGAAGCCTGGGTACCATGTGAGACATAAAGTGCGTTTTTTGCTTTTAAGGTAAAACTTCAAGCCGGACAAACTTAAAAATACCTTATAAAGTACTGAAAATCATCAAACAGGATGACAATCGACTAAGAAGTAGCTTAATTTCAAGCTGCCTGACTAAGGTATCCATAGAGGGCAAATGAACTCGACGCAATTAGTGCGCATTATAATGCCCCTTAAAATTCGTAAACAATCACTATTAACATGGAATTATTCTGTAATATTATTGATCTACTGATCCGGTGATGTTCCAGTTATTTATGACAAATTTTGGCGAAAATTAGTTTTTACAAGAACAAGTTTTAACCCATACAATCCAAAAACCTTCTCTAAATAATTACAACTCTTGAATTTGTTTGGTTAAAAGGATGTACACTTGATATACGAAAACAGCATTTACTTCCTCTTCCCCTACCTAGGTCTTGTTTATAAAGTAGCCTACTTTTTAGTAGGCATTTTTACAGAATTACAGAACAGACCATATAAAATTCTTAAATGTCATTATCCCCTGTGAAGTTTCATCACCTTAAGCCTAAGGCTTAGCAATTGTGAATAATAAAATTAATGTGGTCCTTACAAAAAAGCTAACACAAATAACGTCTTAGAGGATAGCCAGACCTGTCTTACTCTGTTACATCTGCACTTGGCTCTGGCGGTTTGTTTAGCTGGGCCGGGACTCACTGCGTGAATTAAACCGCCCCCCCGGCCTCAACTTGCCAAACACCACCCTGGCGCCCTTCACTATGCCACATCTGTAGTGCTTTGTTCAAGTACTTATATCCCAACCTTGATCGCTGCCCATTTTCTATTAAAAGACACTTTTGGCTCAGAGCTGGATTATAAGAAAAGTTACTAGCTGCCGTTGAGAGATGCATTTATTTCAAAGAGTCAGAACCAGGTCCGTAAAAAGACTGGCAAAAAAATTACAAAGTGGTAAACAACATAAGAAAGATTGCCACAGATAACCCAAGAAAACCTGTAACGCAGAAGGTAGAAGGCAAACTTACCTACTGAACTCAACGAAAAACGGACGCTTGATCTTACTAACAATCCGTAGGAAATCGGAAATTGACTAAGGCACAATTAATTTTCAGTTCTGTTTAGCCTAATTCTGATTTGCCAGATTTACCTGATTATTGATTTCCCGTATATCCATATCTGGAAGGTAAAGTGGGAGGCGAGAGCTACTCAGAACACAGCATTGAGGCAGAGACCGTCAATTTTCACCCATTCTTTTGAGAAGGTTTTGGAAACGCTTCACAATCCTTGTATCAGATTTTGAGGATTTAAAGCTAGCAACTCTTCAGATGCGGAAGTGATACCTTTTTAGTGGCTGCACACGATCACCTCCACAGTTTTCCTCGTCAACATGGAAATAAGGGTAATAGACATAGCTCGGGCTATTTTCTGACAATTCTAGATGCATTTCTATGTTGAGAAAGCAGAAGTAAATGGATCTACCTCGAAATCACAATGTTTGCTAGTCTGCTTGAATTCTCACAATGCCTTAACAATTTATGATTAAATAGGTTATGGGAAAAACTTAAGCCCAATCCCAAAAGAACTGCACTAGATGCTCTAGGCTTAAGAGACTAAATAACAGGACCTATAAAAAAAGCAATTATGTGCATTATACTTGGTTTCGGGGGTTAAAAATAATATTCTCGGCATTATAGTTCCCCTTAATGTTTTAGCGTAAATTAAATAACTTACTATAGTGGTAGAATGTAAAAAGACAGTTTGGCAAATAAGTACTTTAGCCTTATAATATTTGAATGAAATATTTCAACCCAACTACCTTTTTAAGTAGTGAGTTCCATTGCACAGAATAGCTTAGGTGATTCTGTTTTGCTTAAAAGGCAAAATTCAGCAAGGTATCTGTCTTAGGGCCTTGCCAATTCATTTCGTATGACTAAGTGATTATGAATCCGGCTCGACTACCTCAGGCATTCAACTCATTTATTGCATAATTCTGCATGAAGTTGCGAAAGAATGACAATCATCCACTAATGCAGCACTGGTGGAGAAATTAAGTTTTGATGCAATCATAACACAATAAATCATTGACACAAATCTCCATGGGTTCCGTTTGTTTATCGTGAAATAATTTTGTACTACAATAAAATTCGGCCTAATGAAAAATGAATTTCACTAATTCGTGCCAACTTACGTGAAGGTACATTTCGTTATAGGGAGGTCTTTAAAGGTCAAGCCAACTGAAAGTAGAAACAAAAGCAGCAAGACTTTAAGCACATTGATAGAAAGGAGATGCAATTTTGGCACAAAAGGGTAGCCTAATGCCTTTCTTAACTCCTTTTTCTCACTGTGCTTTATTTAGAATAAAAACTCGACCACTCTAATAGTACTTGTCTGCAGACAATATAGGCGAGTGCAGTGGCGACAGTGACGATGACATCTTATGAGGTGGACGAGATGACAGGCTAAAGTACTTTGCAAGCCAAAGCTAGACGAGGCCCTTGTTCTTATGACTTATGCACTATATCTAGAAGACAGCTGAGAAAGACCCGTCGGTTGGACGCAGTCACTGCGCAATCCGGTATCACAATACGCAAGTAGCAGAGCTTAGAAAGGGAAAGAGGAGGCGACTAAAGCAAGAAAACAAGGCGTTGGAGAATGAGTGATGGGTTTTATTATCTGGTCGTCGTCTATCCTCTTCCTTCAGTTCTAATCAATTTCGGTAAATTAGCCAGTTGCGTAAAAATCGTCATGATCAAGCAAAAAGGGTATCATGTTATTTACTTTTCCCCCTTTTGGAAAAAGAGGAGGATATTAGGATAATGCACATCAAGACAATGGCTCTAAATACTCTAGTACGAAAATGATGAGCGGCGTGTCCTGAGCTGGTGTGATCATAATATTTCATTCTATCACTTATGCAGGATGTTCATATGGTCATTATTGACATTTTGCTGTTACTTTCTGTGCAGGATTAACACACCGAGATTTGGAAAATGATTTTGCTATAAACTAGAGTTGCAATAAACATCAACTGCTTCCTGTGTGATGGCTGAGGCTAAGCCTATTTCTGAAACCTGGTTTTACTGAATGTCGAACAGTGGTTAAAATTGTAGGATTAAACATTTCACAGTAGCATTTGGGTTTGCACTGGAGACCCTCATTCAAGGTGGTTATCATTCCGCTTTTGAAAGTCGGCGCCGAAATATCCTGATCAACAATTTACGATAAAAAGGTTGCCCAAAAGTGCCATGACAGTGTTGACAATGCAGAGACAGCAGAAATCTGCTTTTGTGTGTGCTAGTCTTTTAAACACGATGTCTCACGAATTCGATACTAAGGGATTAGTGGTACGATAATTCACACGATCTCGTAAACATGTTTTCACAAACTTGATTTTGTCCTCTATTTCGATTTACTCGAATGATGCTTTCAATCGGAAATGCCAATCATTCACCGATTTCCCTAGCAGCTCACAAAAGTGATCTCAACCTGTATGTTGATGGTTAAAACAAAGTAGATGGAGATGCATCGCAGTAGTGTGGAAACTAAGTAATGAATCAGATAAAATTGCATTTTATGTGATTTATTGAATTCCAACTCTAATTATTTGTTTCGAGACTTTCCATCCACTACAATGTCTGTCTATCAAACTGGGTGTAAAGGGGCTGAAGCTATGTTAACCGATATGAAAAGTGAAGAAACAACCACTAAAGCCATTAAAGTAGTACTTGAAGACCACTTAGAAGAGTTTGGAGTTCGTCGTCGCAGCCTCTATGGATACTTGTTAACCCAGAAGAACGGCTCGGGTGGCAACATGGACTGGCAGGAATCGAAACGTCTGCAGTCAAATCATTCTCCATCACATCATGAAAGCACTTATAACGTTTCTAGCATCCTTCTTCCACATGCATGTTTTCCCCTAAACCTTAATTCTGGAAGCCAAGTTCGTCAGCCATGAGTACTTGGAGGGAGACTTGAACGAGGGTAAAAGCCAATTCATGGGGGAGGCACACAAGTGATTAAATAATCTGATAGAATCCATGACGTCGACAATGAAGATATTAGCAATGCATGATAAAAATCAAGAATAATAGTAAATTTAGTAAAACTACGCCCTTTTAAAAAGTATTAAAATTCCATTCGCACAGTGGGCAACAAAAAACCCCTATTACACCGGCAATTTGAACTGCTCGTTGAGGGAAAAAGTGCTTTAAAGGAGACGGTACTCACAGCATACGATCGACAGCCTCCAATGCATAGAGTTCATCAGAACCAGAGATGGTAGCGCTAAAAGTTACACCGATGACCAATTGCACAACGCCTTTGTCCTGTAACACAGAAAAATATTAGCAAATCAGTTTCCCCAGCAAAGTCAGTCAAGGATGCGCTCAGTAAAAAAAAGTGAAAAGAGATCTCGGTCTTCGCGACTGGATGAGACCGCAATCAGATGAAAGATTGATACCTTCTCTACTTCTTGTCGAGGAGATACATGAAACAATTCCAGAGCTACCATCAAATCGTTAAAGTTCGGTGAGAGTATGGTAGTCCAGGTAAAGGAGACATTACCCCACTGTTTCAGGCTCTGTCACAGGTGTGGACGTGCTGGAACCAGCGCAGGCAATTTTGCTTATTTTGCAGTCAGCCAGAAATCTGATGCGAGTCCGACATTTTGAAGTTCGAGAGCTTGAAAGACCCGGTCAACTGAAACTTGCATTTCTTGATATGCAAACTCGATCCTAGGTTAAAAAAATCTCGACATAACGCCTGCTTAAAGTTATTTAGCCGTGCCCATGAGCCGCAGACCTATCAAATCTGTGACACCTGTGAAGGTGGTATAGCCAAAAGAATTATCCACAATCTTCTCTTTTTTTGCTAAAGGCACATCTTCTTAACCTTGGCTCTGAATGATATTTGTGTGACCAGTCTACAAATGATGTTGCAGGAAGAATTCTCTTATGCCCAATTTGTATAGAATGCCCAAGCAGTCGATACTTTCAAAGTGACGATGCACAATTTCAAAGGTGTTCTAAACGATCGCTAAAATGCATAAAATATTTACTTATTGTTGCATTATTAGTTAAAAGAGAGAAATATGATTTTTATGGACTAATGTAGCTGAGTTTACGTTTACAACGCTACTTTGATCAGAAAGAAATATACCCAAGAAAAAAATTGAGTTGTGATACGGATTAACGACAGAGTCTTGAATTTTTCCAGAATTCAATCTTACTGTTATTGGCTTCAGTAACAAACTTCGGTCCTAATTAAGGTTGAGCCTAATATTCCGGAAAGGAATCAGATTTTGCTTCTCAGATGATGGTTATAGCGATTTTGATTTGTAGGTTGATAGAATTTGGCAAACAGTAAAGTCCACAACTTATAAGCTGTGGTGCCATCATCTTACTTTGTTTAGTAGAGAATAAGTGAATATGGTTTAATAAATAGCCTGCCAAGAAGCACAGGCCGGAAGTCAGCATGCAAAACATCTCCTTTTAATGAAATTGGCAAATGCTCATTGGGGAAACTAACCCAGACAAAATCCTACTTCACCTGACTTTAAAGTTGAGTAGGTTAATCGCATATAAAATTCCGGTTTAGTGAAAGTAATCAAAAAGTATTGATGTTCTGCATAAACCTAGCAAGGGCAACAGAAACATCAAAGCATTTCTAGCCGAAATCGACCTTTTGTTAGGACCCTTGTCCTCTTCAGACCCACAAGATGTGAGTAGTATCAGGTGTCCAAAGAAGTTCACGTGAATTTTTGCATGATATGCTGTAATAAATTCTCAAAACTTGAAGACTCGCAAAATTCCATCGCTTTTATACAAAATGAGACATTATTATGCATCAATCTACCAGCGCTCCTCATCCCTCTCTGCACTATTTTTTGTAATTTGGAATTCCCACGCAATATGGGTTAAAAACCTGATGTCATTTAAGCTAGTCTGTTCTGGAAGCCTAAAGTTAACTCCAAAATGGTGGACTTCCCGTCAGAAGTGATGATCAATCACTCAAAAGTGGAGCTATCACCATCAGAAAAACCCCCATTCTTGATAATAACGAAGCACTATGTATTGCTGTCGGCGCAGTAATTCGAAATGAAAACCAATTAGTTGTGGGTAAGACCAGTCTATCTACTCGATACAACTCTAAATCGTACAACGAAACTTTTCCACTAACGACTAGAACAGCAAAAATTATTCAGCCAGTCGAAAGAAGGTTTTAGTATTATTCTTAAGAGGCAGCGCAAGACCTCATACCGCGAAATTTATCCGTGGAAAGGTGAACTCTTTAAGATAGAAGATAAGGGAGGTACAGCCCATCCAAGGGATTATCACCCCCTCTTGACATTGGACAAGCATGTATGAAACGGATTAGGCGCCTGAAGAAGGGGATTGGGATAGAAACGAAGGTAAATGGTTAAAAGTAGTACGTTTTCTTGGAATCTAGAGACACAGTGCTTTATAAACACGAAACCGGTAATGCCGTTTAAATCAACTAATGTAATATTTTGGAGATTGTTTTGAAAACAGTCACCAACCTATCTGGATGAAGTTTAATAATTTTTCCAGGTGTCGATTCACGTAAGTTAAAGAGGCTACAAACTTCATCAAATGCAACTCATACATTTACTTATACGACATCGGATGTAGGAACATGCAAAGAATGATCGAAATGCTCAGAATGCCGGAAGGAAGGAAATCCGGATTAAGGAAACTTTTTAAATTTGTAGAGGGAATACAAACAAAATTGTCATCATATATCATGCTAGTAACCATGCTGTAGGTAGGAACGTCCTAGAAATGCAGAACGGTTGGATGAATCAGCAGGTGGTGGCAAGTCAGAAGGAAAGAACAGAGATTTACGGTATGGTCGCAGCGCAACAGACTTCCAAGGGAAGGATGCGAAGAGCAGCAAAACGGATTTAACTTTAATCAAATGATAAAGTTTTGAGATCATCTTGAACTTAATTCCACCATTGATTTACCAGCTCATCACCGTAGATGATGTCAACTGGTGTATTAAAAGTATTACCTCTTCGATGGCATCGACGACGATGGATGATTCGTTTTTCGCAATAAATACGAGCCTATTGGCAAGAGAGGTTCTAGCAAGGCAAATAGAATGAGGAATTTTAGTACGTTAATTGAAAACGACGTACGATAGAAGATAGTGCAAATGACTGCGAAAAACTCGGACGCTGGAAACAAAGCCCTAGTAGCGTGAACACGCGGTCATGGGCAGTAATGAGGATAACGCAAAGTGTGAAGCAATTCGCAAGGTAGTTACAATAAACAAAAATATTTAAGCGTTAAAAGTTTGCAGAAGACTTATAAGAATAACAGCTCAATGTACCAGCTATGCCACTCTATATCGTATGAGTAGATCACTTATGCAATAAAAAAGAACTAGCAGGTTTTGCAGAATAGCTAGTAAATTGCGAGGTTCAAATACGATTTAATTACAATTCAATGTAGCTGATTGTAGCACATGTAATAGCTAAAAATTAGTGCCGCATTATAAGAGAAATACTAACCAAAAATGACGTTTCATTAAGAACACCCATGAATTGGTCAATCAGTTGGTACAAGTTTAGCAACAGACAATTGTGACATATGCCTCCTCAAAAGTTGCAACAGATCCAAAAAATTTAACAACATTTTATACGATTTATCCTTGACAACTTTGCCGACTCAAGAAAGCGCGTTCTGCGCAGATAATGACCCAAGTACTCACCACGCATGGCTTTTGCTAATACCATGCTGCTGTTTGTTCCATGACGTTTGGAATTAACAGAGCATGGCAATTTCCTTTAAGAGATTCACATACCAAATGCACATTTAGTGGGAAAATACTCATACCGAATGAAAACAGTAACACATCAGACAGTGTATGAAACCTTCAAATAAAGCGGGTGGTTGAAGGTCCTTTGCATTCCGTGAAGTGTTCAGTAAACTTTGAAAAGTGGCGCCACTATCCCCAAGTTGTAAAGTTAGTGATAAGATTCTGGTTTTGCTTTTATTTAAGTTCTCACAATCTATGTTGGTATCATTTATGGAAAGTTGCGTTGATTTCACTCTCTTGCACAATAGAGCTTAGCCATGGTAGATTAATCTTTCACGCTCAACCAGTGTGACCCATTTACTTACTTTTAAACGTAACAAAAATAATGGCATTAAAGTAGACCAAAAAGTCCAATACCTAAGATTGGCTTTCTGACCCTTCTTGTCTACTCCTACTGTTTTTGTGCAGGCTGAAAATTGTTTTATGCGCCCGTAACTGTATCACCCTTTTGTCTCAAGAAAACAAATCTATAGAATTTTAGTAGTGTTTCTCGAATAAGTTAAAATTCTACATATCGCTAGAGATGCCTTCATTACTGAATCAAGTCCAAACAACTAACACATGTCTTCTGGTCAATTAATTTGGTGGCGGCCACTACTAAGTCAAAAGTTATTTTATATGGCTCACTCTCTGTTTGAATAATGCTCTTAGTTCTTGAACTTACTTTAATGTTTTCAAAGTTCCTTTCTATCAAAATTTTATTATATGGTGTGTACACAAATACCTGTTTTATCTTATAATGCACATGTATGTAGAGACGAATTTCATTCTGAAGAATATTTTTCTGAGTTATCTTTAGAGCCGCATAATACATAAGAGGCGTGACAGGAAAATTTGATTGTTTGGGAGCCTACTTTTCTAATATCAGTAAAATTTTCTGCATATTTTGGTGGCTAGTGCTGGTTTGCCGATTTGCGTCAAATTGCCTAGGCGACAACTCTATATCCTAGACTTCAGTCCTAACATTAGTTTGCTCTTCTCAGCCTCGTTCCACCTTTTCTCTATTCTGATTTTGAGTCATCTTTATTTCTTTCACTATTGTAGCAGTAGACACAGCGGGGGTTGCGCTAACTTCGACAGGTATAGAGGGCAGACATCGATTGGAGAAGGTGGCATGCATGGATAAGGGATTGTTTTGCTACCAGTGTCTGGATTAGTAGTTTTCTAGTCTTCAAGATGCTCATGTTATGAAAAGGCCTTTGGTGTTCCCTTGTACTTGTCCTTTTTTTAAGACGCCGTGTTCTGGTAAGTGATTAGGTATTTTCCTTAGACTGCGATTCTACGGTGCTTAATGGCGCTAAGTAAAAACCCAAATAACTTGGTCCGAAGTCTCAGCATGTCATAGATTCTGCTTTGAGAGCTTTAGTAAAATGACCTATGCAACCAGTATGTATTTATGTGCATGTTACCTTTTTCAGCAGAATGCAAAAGTCTGATTTTCCAGCCATCTTCGCCACTGCGAGAGACAGTTAAAGTTGTTCATCTGTCAATGCCAAATCTTCGTCGCATGACTTTAAATTTAAGCACAACTTTGAAATTCTCACTTTTCCTTTTGAAAGAGAAGTTGCTTAAAATCACGTCCACGGACGCCGCTGAACATCATCAGGCCTGCTTTGAGGACCAAACCGCAAGCATCTAAGGTACACAGCGTAAAGTTCTTTGTGCCAGTTTTGTAGGTTTACTTAGCAGTAACGTGTCTCCTTCATGAAGTACGGTTGAAATCGGTTCGTAACTGGGCTCAGCCACCAGGCGGGGGTGGGGGGGGGTTATGTCTTTATTTGGGTCCCCACTTGTGGCACATCTTTACCTGAATAAAGCCTTTATGCGAATACAAACAAGCGTTCCGTGACGATAAAAGGTGGCATCCATCCCCCAAGAATGAAGTGTACCCTAAAACATGTCCAACACTGACCACTCCACCCTATCCATAATATTACTTAAAAAAATGCTCATATTTAATTAGCCCACCCGTTCCAAAGAAAAAAAGGATAAGGTTGAAAAGACAAGCGTCTGACCATTTGCACCTTAATAACTTCCTTATTATTTACTAAACATTTGACTTAAAACGGGATTTGTTTGTAGGTAATCCAAAATCTCTTCACATTAGAGAGACAGCGTAAGGGTGCAAGAGTTTTGCTGCTTGTTGTAATCACTTAACTCACCTTAAAACAAGATTTAAATAAATAATATCATCCCATATTACACACAGATATTGTGTCAGAAGGCAATGTTGCTAAATAACACTACTTAATGCAGCTTGGCAAAACGCCGTTGGATAAATAAGGATTAGTAGCTGTAATGTTATGCGGCAATTGTTTGTATCTCACTTTTGGTAACGGTCCATTAGAGGCTCAGACAAAGTACCATTGCCGGACATCCTGACCTCCGGACCATGCCAATAGCCCCGAGCCCTAATGTATGTCAAAAAATGCTTATTCTGTCCGAGTGTTTTGCCATATTTACGCAGGAAACGGGTAGGCAACTCTAACCTTGTGAACGAAGAGTTGTCGGAATTCCCTGTGCTGAATCCCATCAGCTCTGACTAATAAACATGCTCCTATCGAATCGACCTATTCGCTCCAAGGGTATGAAAGCCAGGGAGGAAGAATTAGACGAGTGTCCTACCTTGGTGGCACCGCCGGTGAATCCTCCCCCTTTCAAAGACGGCATGAACTTTTAAGAGTGGCTCAACGGCAAAGAATACCTCCAGGATTTGTTTGCAGCTGCAATTGACTCCGGCATCACCCACGACATGGACATCAAACAATGCTGCGGCACGAAGAGCAGGCTCCAGCCAGAGACTTCTTCCTTTGCTACTAAAAAGCTGGCGAGGATGACGAGGAGTAAGCTAGGCTCCTATAGCATCCAGTAGAACGTGCCTTTAGAGGCTCACTACTAAACAGGATCGCCAGTTGGTTAACCGTCCAGATCAGATACGGAGTCCAGCCACTCATTGTAGTATGGATGCTCTCCGGTATAAAGACCAACTTCCTAGGCCAGCTTGTCAAGTTGCAACCAAGTTACTCTAGAAACTCCGTGCACAATTACTTTGCTACAGAATTGACGGAAGGTCAAACCCAAATCCCCCCATCGTGCCTTTTGCGCCATAGCCCAAGATCAGGTAAGCCTTCCTTTTCCCTATCCCATGTGCTCCTAACTAGCTCTTATTCATTTATGCGAGTCTCAGGTAAGCTGGAAGGACTTCCATGCAGTTTCCTTCTTGACTCTGGTGCAGCTAAATCAATAGTAAATCCTCAGGCTTTTTCCATCCTTTATAACAAGATTAGGATCATTTTTTTTCTTCTATGTGATTACAGCCAGAAGAAGGAAGAGAGACGGCAGTAAAAGGGGAGATGTCGTTAGAACTCTGGATAGGGAAAGAAACTCGGACAACAAAATTTGTTACATTTCCAGAGCTGGCTTGGGACGTATTTCTCGGTGCTAATTATCTACATTACGCCAAAGCTGTCCTAAATTTTACGAAGGGCACCTTTTCCACTCGGCAAGGCACTGAAGCCGGCATAGCTGTTCCACCACCGAAAGAAGACGTAGATGACATTTGCAGCTCTCTTTCTGAATCCATAGCCATATCCATGCACAGCTGACTCACATTACTGATAGCGGAGGGAGAGAGCTTTGCAAATATGTGCGCATGGCAAGGAGTTAAACTTGAACGAACAAGTATCGTCAAGCGCATAATAGATAGCGGCAAAGCTAGACTCATCTGGCAACCACCCAGACACACACCACCTGCTTGAGACAGAAGTTACAAGACCATCAAAGTCGCTATGGGCCCCTCTGATCATGCCGGTAAAGAACGACGGTAGCTTACGATTGTGCGTCGACCATAGAATGTTAAACGCCGCACCTAAGATGGCTGTATTCTCGCTACTCAAAGTAAACGATTAGCTAGACTCCTTGCATGGGCCAAAGCAGTTTTCCGCCCTAGTCTTAAAATCGGGAAATCGGCAAGTGAAAGGGGTTGGAACAGACAGAGAGAAGACAGCTTCTATATTACCAAACGGACTCTGTAACGCTGCGACCACCTTCCAACTCCTGTTTCAAGCAGTATTAATTGGTTTATTCCCGATGACATCCTCGTCCTTGGTGGAGATATTTGAAAGCATAACGCCAACCTGAAACTAGTGTTGGACCGCCTGAGAGACGCAGGGTTGGCCCTGAACGCGAAGAAGTGCCGTTTTCTGCAATGCACATCTACCTACCTGGGACACACGGGACATGCGAGGTGACAGTCACTGATTATCGTACAAAACAAATGAGAATTGGCCAGCACCAACTATTCAGACGGAACTCCGCGGTTTCCTAGGTTCGGCAAATTACTACAGACGTTTTGTTAAAAGCTCTGCTCAGATCGTTAGCCCACTGCATGAGTTAACTCAAAAGCAGGCAAAGAATTTCAAATGAAAGAAAGAGAATAATGAGGCGTTTAAAGAACTGAAGCGAATGCTCTGCTCCGCACTGATTCTAGCATTACCCAACTTTGAATCGAAAGCCTCGGCGTTCGTACCAAATACGGACGCGAGCGACGCAGCCGTGGGCGGTATGCTCTCACAACGGAACAAAGAAGGAAGGAAAGGAACGCATCATCGGCCACAACAGCACCGGGCTTAGCAAAAAGAGGCAGAAAAGTGCAGCACAAAGTGAGTTATTGGCTATGCGCTCAATGGTTAGACAAATCAGACTACGTGATGCTAAGGAATTTCATTGTTGGAACTGATCATTAGGCACTTACCTGGTTAAAAACAATGAAAGAGATTGATCGTTTAGTTGCACCCTGTACAAAGAACAGCAGCAATGATTTTACAGTTCCGCACAGAATAGGGAATACGGATAGTAATGCAAACGCTCTTTCCCACAGACTGTTCGCTGCAAAAACAGGTGACGTTGTGGCGCGTACCATATTTTTGAGCGAACTCGCTAAACATCATTGAAAAAATACGCAGAGCACTGATAGCGACACAACTCTGACGCACGAGAAGTCCCTTACATACTCTTATAAGTCCACAGCGGAAGTGATGACTGCATCCAGCAAGGCAATTAGACGGATATAGTAAGAATAGTTGAAACATTCTCTAGAGGATGAGGTTTAATGATATTAAGAAGACGACGAATCTCCTAAGCACCTAGTAGTTCCTGGCTTATTAGTACAAACAGGTCTTTAAGAGTCACATGAGCAACTGGGCCGCGTGGGTGAATAAAAGATGCTAAATGCCTCGAGCAAAAGCTACTGGTGGCCTTCGCTCACTCCAGACATACCTGACTTCTGCCGAACCTGGAAAATGCCCATTTCGCGTACAGGGCCACAGCCCATGCGTCAGCAGGCGTTTCGCCGTTCAAAATACTCACAGGTCGTGAATTGAGAGTGCCCTCCGATACCTTTCTACCAAGGGCAGAAGTAACAATCAACAGTGTTTCAGAGTATGTGCTGCATCTGAAAGAAGGCATAGTAGGAACTTTTAACGTTGCAGGTAAACACTTGTGACTGTCTTATATCGAATAGAAGAAATAGTACGACACAGTCGGACAAGTGCCTGCCGAGAAGGAGACTTGGTACAAACGTACAGACTGATTCTCCCACCCGGAATGCACAACAAGTTTCATCACCCTTGTAGCAGCAGCCCATTCCAAGTAATCAGAGTTCTCCCACCTAAAAACCACCTCGTCTGCAACGCACAACTCCGTACTCAGCCGCAACAAGCTGAGACCCCACAAAGGTTTGCCACTGACCGGATACGAAGAGGAGGTCTACGCAGTAATGGAACAAAGCAGAAGGCCGATGGCATATGCAAAGGCAACCTATAAGGGGGGCAAGAAGTGGACAAGCACCTCTAACCTTGTGATAGACGAGTCATCAGAATTCCCCGAGACAAAGAAGAGTTCAGTGCCCACCTTCCTCTTAACTTGTACTGATTTCTGCTAACTTTGACTAATAAACGGGTTCCTGTCGAATCAATCCTTTCGTTCAAGAGATTTGAAGACCAAAAAAGGAGAAATAATTAAGAAACGTGCTGTACTTATGTTTTAATTTGTTTTCAGGAAAGTCCCGGAACGCTACAGTAAGATGCACACAGTTCCAATTATTTGGCTTTAGAAATTTACGTGTTGCTTAAAAGGCCATAAATTTGGTCCGGTCACTAGGGTAATTTTATTAAAAATTATGACATCTAATTTAAATCCATGGACTTTCATAAATATATTTTGCCTGCAATCATTAAACTCGTTTTAATGGTCTAATCTTGACGTCCATATTATTTAAGGAGGCTGGTTTCGGTTTTATGAAGAGATAATGAAAGGGGTAATATTGTGTTTATGCGGTGTTATTTCTTTTCATTTCGCCTAAATCCGTAGATAGAAAGTCAGTTTTAATGCATTCGCACTCGCCTTCTTGTTTTTTAATAGTTGTAATTGCTGTCCAACTAAAACAATAAGATGTCTTATTTGCAGAGGCGCGGTCGTAAAAGGGCCCGAAGGTCAAGTACTCGGGAAGATGACGAGCCCTCTGATGAACCAGTTTACTGTATTTGTCGATCTTCTGTGTGTGATACGTTCATGATGTGAGCAACTTGATTTACCTTTACCTGTCTTAGTGCATGTGATGCTTGTGAGGAGTGGTATCACGGGGAATGCATAAACGTAACTCCTAAGCAGGCAGAGTGTATCCAGAAGTTCTACTGTCAGGCATGTAGAGGTAAGGATTTTGTCTACTAATGTGAGTCCATAGACGAAAAACCTGAATTACAGATCGAATTCAAACCAGATCACTTGAACGGGCGTCACTCTTATGGGAATCGGCATAAGTCTGTAGATGTTCCTTGTCCCGCCGTGGGTGATGTGGATGATTACACAGACAGATTTGGCAGCATTCAGTCGCGCAAGCGAAGTCGCAAACATTCCCAACCTCTACAGCCCAAATCGCGTAGAGCGCCTGCCGCAGTACCTGTTCGACTTGGCGAATCCTCGGAGGAAGAGTTTGATCTTGACCACTCCCAGTTTGCATCTCCGTCATCAAGTTATTCGCAATCCCACGCTGCGCCTTATTCTTCTCGTTCAAAGTATGGTCGTGTTACGCTACCGCCTTATGACAACTCAAATGACGTGGATTTCCAACAGTCACAACAGCAATCTCAGCAACAATGGCGCCGTTCACTTCCTCGGAATCGATCCCCTCAGCCATGTGGAGAATGCGATAGCTGTAAAACTAGGGATAACTGCGGTACCTGCGAGGTTTGTAGGAGTACAAAATTCAAACAAGGTCGCAGTCGGCAACAATGCTTACTCAAAGGGAAGATGTGTCTGGCAAATGATCCTGAATTTCAGCAGCCTTGGCGACGACAGCCATCTCGAGGCCGATATGCTCCACCATGTGGTGAGTGTGAGAATTGCAAAACAAAGGGGAATTGCGGTACTTGCGAAGTATGTAGAAGTCCAAAGTTCAAGCAAGGGCGGAGTCGTCAGTACTGCTTATACAGAGCGAAAATATGTCTTGGTAATGATCTTCAGAGGCAGCCATCAAAAATTACCTCCAGTCAAAGGTACGATTATATTTTTCTCCTCATTTTCCATTTATAGCCATCTATCTGACCTCGACTACGAGACCCACTTTGACAACTTTGCTCCATCCACGCGTTTCCCGGCAGGGGCGCGTAAAAGTGTAGCAATAGTTGGGAGTAAAATGCGTAGGGGTGATCATTTGCCTGGTGGTGGTATGGGTGGACCTTCAGGCCGCCTTATCCATGAGCCTCAGTTTTCCAGACGCGGTCCTCACTCGGATTTGAACCTTCTAGATAGCGCCGACTTCGTTGACGCTTACAACATCTCTCCTTCCCACCGCAGTGATCGGAATGGCTCATCGCGTTTTGTCGGTTCTCACAGTCGTCAAAATGACATTGAACCCCGGATTATGCGCAATGTCGGTGGCATAATGGATGCCGACGATCTTCTAGGGCCTACAGATGCTCCCCCTACCTACGATTCCGACGAAGATGTTGTTCTACCGGAGATGCGTCCTTGTGCTGGTCCCGCATGTTCCAAGCCCGCCATCCGTTCGAGATACTGCTCGGAGGAATGTCAATTGCGCCATGAAAGGTAAGTTTTGAATGTTGTTTTAATCTTTCCCCCAGCGATAGCATTAACAGAATGCACACATCATCCCGCTGTTCCAGTGTGAAAGACCAGATCAAGACACCGTAAGTCCTCTAGTTTGCTATCTCATCGAGTCTCCGTAGATATGCTTTGCCCTATCCGGACCACCTGTACTGTCGACATCACCGTATGTACAGTTCTCAAGTCTACAATGTGGACGCATCCCTAGGCGCACAACAGAGTGGCTCATCCATTTCAGATATGTACTCTGATGTTTATACCACTTTTGTAAGCAGTAACCAATCTGCAGTCATGGATTATGTCTACGACCCAATGACAGGCTCTTCTCAGATTCAAACTAGCTACAGACGGTTGTCTGCCGCACAGGGCAGTGGTTCTGATGACTATTTTGCCTCCTATCCTCAAGACAACCATATTCCCAAAGTTGGTTCTGGTGGCCACTCGCGCAAATTCCCCACTCTGGAGGATATGCGTGGACGCGGTCCGCAATCTTCTGGTCATCTGGTCGGGGGTCGGATGCTGCCACTTGCTAGTCGTCGGCAGGTGCATTCGTCACTAGGCCCTGCCGGTGGGAGTGGCAGTTCTGGTGGTGGCGATGTCCTCTCTCCAATTCCTCTAGAGTCTATAACCCCGACTGTGCAACCCATTCGCATGTATAATGGTCACTTGGGTGGTGGACCGCCTGACTATCGTGTGAATTCGGGTGATGGAGAGAGTGCGGCTGCTGCAGAGTTACTTACAGCGGATGCTAATGATTTGATAGACGTCGACGGTACCTCCTCATCGGGAGTTGGTGGCAATGGCAGTATGAATGCGGTCGCGTCGGCCAGCGCTCCCCCCTTCAGACAAGGTGACGAGTACTACATGATGAATGAGAACGAAAATATTGAAATAAACTGGCCGACTTCTCCGGGAGGTGTAGCCACTGCCTCTGCTGGCACTGTTTAAGTCTCCAGTAGTTATTCTATCTCATTGTATGTTTGTCCTGTCCACGCGCGCGCACGCGTCCATCTCCAGTGAAATTTTACCCTCACGCATTAATTTTGAGAGGTAGATCGCGCCGAATTGATATATTCTACACCCATGTTTCCTGCTGTAGCTAAAGTGAGGCAGCTTTCCTTATCTCGTTTCTCACCTTCAACAATTCATTCAGAATTCTCCCTCACAAGACCACTTTCCGTCGAACTGTGTATAGTGACTATGCACTTGGACCTCCCTAACTGTGTACATACAGCATTTCACATCCTAGACAGTGTCTTCGGGCAAAAGATTGTACATTTATAGTATTCCGTTGAGGCCTTTTCGTCCTAGTCGAGTTAGCTTTTGCCTGTCTTCCTCTAAACGTGTAAAAATTGTGTATGTTTATATTTATTTTTGGAATATGTATAGCACCGGCCCCCGTCATACACTCATTATGTTCAAGTGCTTGTGTATTTGTTTTAGCACTGCGCGGTAGTCCGCACTTGCCGTTTTTCCTACCGTTTTTTCCCCGACGGGTAATTTTAGTGATTCGGTTTGACGACATCATTGATAAGGACTGGAGGATCGTGCAGTTAAATCAGATTTCTCAGATTTGACACGCTTACTGCTAGCATGTGGGGGTCTCTTGACATCGACCTTTGTCGAATGTAATTGTCGGCATCCACTTCGTCTACTACTTTGTCGATTCGAAAGTGATTGTTTGTGGTGCTATGACCCGCTCGGTTCGTACTCTACCGGTCGTAGCCTGCTTGGTGAGGCTGTAAGCGCGCCATTTAGACGGGTTGGTGCTATTGACGTTAAAACTGCTCAACCCAATTTGTGACCGATGGTGGGTGTTGGTACCCCGCTTTATGTGAACTGGTGGCTCCGCCTCAGCCATGATTGGCTACCGGTTAGTCATTAATTTTGGTTACTGGCCTGCGTAAGGCCTAGAATGTCACAGGTTGGCTTTGTCCAGAGGCTGAAGGTGCCTTCTGTGTGGTGTGAGTTCCGAGCGAATTGGTGTTTCTCCGACGGGACCTCGCTGTACACAATTGGAAGGGGTGACGAAACTGAGTTGCGTATTCAAATGACGGGGGCTAGTGTCACTTCGTCTAGTTTTGAGCGTCGGTCTCGGTGACCTCCCTACTGACTTCTACCTGGATTAGCAAAAAGTAATGACATATGCGGAAGCCATCTGTGGAACTTCTCGTTGGAAGCGTCCAGGTTAAGGTTAAGGTTGATAAAGCACGCAATGGGACAACTTGGTTTCATCCTCTGCTTTTGTTAGCCCTGGTGTGGTACTGCTCTAGTGGCGTTCTCGTCTATCCCGCCATTTCTCATCCCTCTGCAATTTTGGGAACATTAAGCTTTCTTGTAAGTACTGTGCGTGACTTCTTCGGTGGCAGCATCTGACATTGAAGTGGTTGCGAACGTAAACACTGTCGGCGTTTCTCCTGTGAGTCCCTCTACACTTAGTCCCCTATGAAGGGTGATTCATCCAGCCGGCGCAATCGAGATTGTTGTTCTTTTGAGGTGGCTTTGCTTGCTGCCGCCAAGTCTGGGAGTCAGAATTAGTGTAAACGCACAAGAGAGCTTGAGAAGTAGTAGCCAACCCGCATGGCGCCGGCATGCAGGTCGGGTGGATGGACGGGTTTGCGCGACCCTATATACAATTGCAAGAAGTATCGTCACGCTATAGCTTCACTGATACGAGGTGGGGTTCGCATTGTCATCAACGATCAGTCACCTAATTGTTATCGCCATTCTCTTGCAGCAACTGTTTCTCCCTTTTTGTTCATATGACATTTTCAAGTGGCATCTGAGTATTGTGAATCATTTCTTTGTATTGGTTTGTTTATATGGCGATTAAAAATGTGCACATTGAAGTCCCTTTTGAGTTCAACAATGGATGCCAAATGCTTAAGCCTGTTTGAGATGTCGGAAGTGGTTGTGCATCAACTTTCGTCACCACTTTCCGCAAGCGCAAAGAAAACTGGGCATCTTTCATCTCCTCATGTAAAATTTACTTGCTGAATTGGGCAAATAACTGCTTCGAAATGAAAAAGGTGGATTCACAGAACAGAAGTGCCTTTTCTTGGGGCTAAAGATACTGGCATTCATTTCTCTCGAAGTAATCAAAGTTGAAAGTCACTGAAACCGTTGGTTTGAAATGCTTTTTAGTTTATCTTAAAAAGCAGCAAAGCATAGACGTGTATCAAGGCGAAAAGAGATCCTCTTTGCTATTTACTACCCCATTGGTCGGAGTAAAGGCTAACACTACATACTTGGCCCACTAATTGTGGCATTTAACCGGCTAAAAAGTCTGTTCGCGGGAATCGCGTTACATGCATCTAGTTGCGTTGTGATTGGCAGTGTTTCTCCAAAGTGACATTAGGATACGAAGCATACTAACATGAATTTCTGTCCAACGGCAATGCCTTACATTAATAGTTTGACAGTGGATCGCTCCACTTTGATTGGCCACATTTTCGCGAGCCTCATTAGTTAGAGTGAACCAATCAAATTGGAATGCCGTGCACGCCACCTGTAGAAACACCATTGGCCTGTTGGTTTATCGATTAGTCCTTCCAAAAAATAACGCGGTTGAATTATATCCTCCCCAAATTTAATGTTTTTTGCTCCTCTTCTCAATAGGGATTGCTCAATCATGTAATCCTGACACAACAGTGATCACTGACTTGACGGCCTTATGAATGGCTTATTTGCGAGACCACTTTTTCGTCAATCATTTAATATTTACTGATGTCAATTTCGCGCTGAGCTAGAAACGCATCTCCTACATGAATTGTTCAGCTGTTAGACATTCTCAACCGAATAAATGTCTCGATCAGGGTGAATTCGTATCACGTGGACTTCAGGGGCTGCGCGTTAGGATTAGTTGCTGATTCCAATCGTACTTGCATGAGGACTTTACATTTTTGTTTGGTAAAGACACGTGACTTGTTGGCGATCTGAATTGTAATTAGGGGTTAATTTACCACTTGGGCTTTGGAATTACCAAGTAATAAAAGCATTTGTTAGTTTCCTGGCCATGTAGATTTCACAATTTGAACTTGTGCTTATTTGTTTAAAAACTGTCTATGAGGAAATATGAATTGTTCATAAATCCCCTTTTTGATATCATCATAGAATGTGTTTCCACTGCACCAACTTCCCTGTCAAAAAAATCTGCTTTCCCTAAGGCCAAGCCAGCTGTTCGGATATTCTTGATTCCAAACCAGGGCAATTCATTTAAAACGCGATTTCCAATTGTTTTAAAATTTGGTAGTGAATAATGATGTGAATAAAATTGATAACTCTAAATACTGTAAAATATGTCGGAGTGTTCGATGTGTGTTTACCATCCCCTAGAGAATAGGGTATGAGTACGCTTTTTATTTTTCTAAACAGCTATTCTGCTACCTAATAGAGAAGCACATTTTGATAACTCATTTCAAGCGCTAGGTGAATTCGATACCCTGGGATCCTGTGGTTTTTTTCAAAGGCAGTAACCAATGTAGGGTTTGAGTTATCTCTCAAGGTGTGTGGAAGTAGCCGGAGAACTAATAACCTAAACGGTGTGTGCAATTCGACATGCCACCAAAATAAGTGCTCTACCATAGAGAGTAAATGCAGTTAAAATCTCTATCATTCTACAGAACAACTTCCTTCCTGTTTTGAGCCACGTTCCCAACACTCCCCAAGGTCAATCATTTTAATTCAATCGTAAAAAGTCGCTCAGTGAAATTGTGATCATCTGCGGGATGAGAAGGAGGATTGGGCAACAGCTTTGCATCATGGATATAATACCCATCATCAGCAATGCATTTGCAAATTTTGATGAAATTCCTAAGTGTCATATTCTCTGCCGAAAAGTAATGCTCAAGGCTGGAATTCATTTATATGTGAGCGTACTGTAGAAAGCGATTGGTTTTTGCAGAATCATTTACAAAAGCAGTAGGGATTAGATCATAATCACACACAATTATGCCCATGTCGATATCTGCAGCAATTCTTGAAAGATGAAAGATGGCACTAATGTCAGAAACCATCCTTTTGTGACGTTTTGGGATACAGCCAGCAATAAGTCGTGTTTCCTTTTAAGAATGAGTGGACCATTACTGGCGGCAGAATATTGAGGCGTGAGTCGCGCGTACCCGGAAGTAACTTTATTGTAATCGTATTGGAAGGTTAGAAAACTAGCACTACAAGTAATATAATGTGCGTCATGCCATCTATTGTGAAAAATGAGGACTCCAATGGTGGAATCTAGTAAAAAAAGGAGTTTTAACATTGTTAAGTAAACACGCATAAATTAACACGGTCATGTACTGTGAGATGAGTGTTAGAAGCACAGAAAAGCGTAACGGAGTTATTTGCATCTTCTTCCAATGATATACACAACCAAGGCAAATGGCTTCATGCGGCATTGCATCCATCTCGGTTTTTAGGTGCCATTTTGTTGCACTGTGGTATTTATCATTTCGGTAGCCAGCGAGAGTACTCTAAAGCGCTGTCAGAGATAAACAAGAGTAGAATGATCAATTATCTTGAAAAGTAGAAGGTTTTCAGTTCAGAATTTGCAAGGCATTTCAATGCGACGCAGCCAGTTGCGTCCACTGACTGATGAAAGGCTTTCATTGGGGAGCAGAGCTAAAGACAGGGCGATAGCTTGCGGTAAGAAAAATATGAATGAATTTTGGAGATGTCTAGCCATTTTTGCGGCAAATTTGTGACCTCCGACAACTCCTAACGATTCAATTTCCCCTCTTTTTTACTCTTCCGGTGTTAACATGACAATGAAGTTTAATCCGTTGGATTCAGATCAGGCTCCAATGGACTCGGATGCGAGATAAGCTCAAAAAAACGAGAGTTTTTAGCAGTAACAATTCCTTTTTATTTTCCTTGCGAATTCGCATGGCTTTGTATGACCGCTCTAACATTTTGCTTCAAGTCTCATCCAACTTGTATCCAGTTCGCCATACGTGAATTTTTCTCAAATCCTTCGGATAGGAGACAAATGACGTCAATCACAGTCCATTGCGCTGCCATCTTCCCAGCCTGCAGGAAAGACAACGCAGGACACTTGGTTCATAAATTACAGCTACATGGGAACTATGCAGAAGCTGAATAGACTGAATAGGAGATATGACTTGAATACTGACGCTTTCAATTTCTTTAAGTGCATCAAATGATCGTCTTAGATTTTCAGTCCTCAACAAGTCTGAGATTCAACCATTGCATCTCCTTAAGGTTTATTACTAAAGTGGTGTTTTTTGCTCAGTTAAATTATCCCTGTCAGAACACTTTTCAAGTAATTTTAATGGCATATACAAAGTTTTGTAGTTAATAAAGTATTATGCCTCTGGCAGCGCTACCACTTTCTTCAAAAACGCAATCACATTCCGCTTTGAAGGCACGAGTCTACGGTTAGCGTCACATTGGGAGCAAAAAGCAGCTTCGGGATTTTTGTCCACCAACAGCAAATTTACACCAAATTTTCAAACAAATAGTTAAAAAAAATGAATACTGACTGTTCTTTTTTCCGGAAACCAAAAAAGCGACTTGGTTGGGGATTAGTAAATAACCAATAATGCTGCAAAGAATCGCATAATTACACAAAAGCGAAAAATTGAGTTGAAAGCAGATGCTTTTCATACTTCAGGCTCAAAATCTACTCCCAGTCTTATTTTGCAAATGTGAGTCACAGAGAAGACTCTACCACCACAGCTCAGAGTATTTACTGCTTTAATTTGACACCCGTTTTGAGCAATATCTATGGCAAGAGCTGAGAGAATATGAGTATCCTCAGGTCTGTTTTATTGTTTTAAGCTCACATAAACTTTCTGTGGCACATGGTTTGGTGCAATAAGTTATCCTGAACTGAGTCAGTTATTGAAAATGGGGCGTAGTATTTTTGCAACGCTGATGGGTTCGCCTCTGTCCATTAATGCCTAAACAAACAATAGAGTAACCACAAGTCCGGATATGTTGCTTTTATTTGATTTGCCATCGGTGTAATACTAACCATTTTCGCAAGACCTCTTAGGCCAAAAACTGTTTACGTTAATAGCAAGCAAAAGTTAGGTTTTCGTCTTGTTTTCGCGGGAACTGAGGCTCCGCCTTTGTACTTCCGATGGGTGGCACGGCCTAGAGGCACGTCAATGGTCCCGCCCCTCCAGCACTTTTGTATACCGACAATACATATTCTGCCCGAGGATTGTGTCCTCTTTCGTCTTCAGCGAAGTCCCAGGGAGCTACAATGTATCCAATGATCAGGCGGAATGTAAAACAAATAAATTAGCATAAAACACGTTTTTAGGAATAAAATCTGGCACTTGTCAAAAATTGCATAATGAGAAATTTCACTTTGCATACTTGTAGTAACTACTTGGAAGAGTTTCACCAAACTTGTGAAATTTTCATATTATTAACAATTTTAAAGTTCTCTTTTGTGGACTTTCGTGACTAATTTTTTTGTTGAACAAAATATTAGGACAGATTAGTTAGTCAACGAAACATTCGACTTCGATGGTTTCAAGTACCTGAAAGTTTTGGTGGAGGTATTTGCGTAAGTCATCTGTTTTCGCCCTTTCAATCCAAGGGCAGCTAGTGCGTGAAATTCCTGGGACGCAGGGACCTGGCCCTGAGATGGATCATCATTTTTGCATAGATCTTATGTCCCCGTCTACGTTTCTCTTCAAGAGCTCTGAGTGTATTTTAGGGAAGTTTTGTTTTGTTGACTTTATCCTCTGCTTCGCTGACTTCGGGTTTCAACTACTACTTCTGAAGAACTCACCGACCTATTTTGTTGACAACCCAGAAAAGTGTCCCATTGGTCTCTAAATGAATTGAAGATGAGTTCACACTAAATTTAAAAATAAAACCTATTCTTAAATCACACAGAAGTGTTTTGTGTGCCTATGCAGCTTCAGCGTGGAAGATTGTGCCTACCGTTTATCATGAGGTATTCTTCTAACTAAACACGGTTTTCAAGACAGGAACGACTTCGTTTTGGGGCTAAGTGTGGCTGAATAACTCCTAAAATTCTAGCGCTCTGAGACTACCCTGAAGACGAAAGAAGACATAATACTCGGGCAGAATATGTATTGGCGACGTGCAGCAGGGCCTAGGGCTACTGGCCTGGCCCACAGGCCAGCACACCCGGCGAAGATACAACGGTGGAGCACTTAAGTGGCTCCTTCATAAAAAAAAATCAAGAGCTAGGCAAACAACCGACGCATTACAAAATATCCATTAAAAGCTACTCAAGTACCAATGAATTTTTTAACAGGTAGTTAAATACCTTTTCGGAAAAATTAATCTCCAAATAAAAAGTGGAGGAACAATTGGCTTTTCAAATCGCAAATTGCACCCAAATTCCACATTTGGATATAATGCATTCGTAAGCCGCGGAGTTACACTTTCGAAAACAAGAAGTGAAGTGGCGAAACTCTTGGGTGAATTTTCAAAATCTTCAACCAATTTTCAAAGTTTCTTGCCAAAAGCAGTACTCATTAATTCTTAACTGACTTGTTTGAATTCCCATTGGTGAATGAAGGCTCTCGACATTTGATAAATTTCTTTGCCAAAATGCAAAATTTAAAATTCCACCTACCTTTTTACCTGCGCAGAGCAAGAGTTCTAAATTTTTATTGAAATCATTTTTGCAACACTATAACTTCACATAAACAAAGATTCGAGCCAAGTTTACTGGTTTACTCAGAACATGGACGTTTTTGCAGTAGTGATCTACAAAGCTACAGATCTCATCAAAAAATACTGATTTCCACCGTGCTTAACCCCCCAATTTTTAAACACCGTCAATTTTCCAGATTTTTATTTTTCTACTCATTTGTACCGATGCTGATGTCTCTGGATGTGGCCATCCACCACCTGTGATGCAGGAGTTGGAAGTGTTCGTGCAGTTCATCTCCTAGGCAATCAAATTCTCCCCATTTTTACATATTTTTAATATATAAGAAGACTCAGTGATGCTATACTATAGCTTTACCTCTATTCAGCTAAGAGCAAACTTGAGTTCTTTTGGATACTAACTGCTAATATAACCTTGTAAACAGGATAAATGTAATCATATTTCTTACCAAGTTTTTTCTTCTCAAGATTGGCGCGAAAGAATTTTGACTTGAAGAAATGTTCTAAGATACAATTGGAGGAATTCGTATCAAAAAGAGTGTAAAGTGAAAGCTGGGCCAATGAATGAGTGACTTGACCCTAATGTTCAGTCGACGGATCACACGCTAGGATTTGGTACCATTTCAAAGAGACGGCGGTTAGCCCTACTGTTGATGCTGTTGTTTCTGTCACACTACCAGATAAACATGGATGCAACCGCACTGCATTCAACGTACTTTTAGCTTAGGGGCCATTAACCTTTGGTAATGCTGCCCTGTTACGGACGATATTGCAAGCAATCATGCTTTCAACAACAAAAATAACGACAGTTATAAATTTTTAAAAATGCCTATTGCTTAACAATTTTGGCCGATCAAGGCAAGTCGAGGCAATGCTGTTAGCTGGGAATCACTCGGGAGATTTAGCCGCCTTATTCTATGCTATGATCACTGGCTAAAAATATGTACCAGTGTGCTACCTACTCAAAGAACTGCCCATAAAAGTGGGGATGAGAAAACGGAGAAGGGTTGATTATTTTAATGTTTGAATTGTTTAAATTTCTTACGTTGGCTACACAGAAAAGACCGACGCGGTAAGCTGTTGCATGATTGTTAATGAAGTAGACACCATCATAATGGAATAATGATACAGTTCTTCCCTAACAGATCATTGACGTAGAGGCAAAATAAAAAAAATATGAATTGTCCTTGCACGTCTATGCTGAGAACTTTCACGGCATTAAATGGGAATGTGAGAATAACGCAATTCCTGAGGGCACTGTGCTTATTTTTTTTTTCCTGTCCAAATGATGATGTACTGCCCTGCGACTTCCCAGAAGACGAAAAAAGACATAGTACTTGGGCGAAATATGTATGCATATTTGACGTATAGTAGGGCTTGAGGTTTTTGACATGGGTCGAGGGCCGAAATACAATAGTGAAGACCCAAAGTGGCTTCTTTACCAAAACCGAGAGTCAAACAAACAACCAACGTATTACATAGCCCCTCTCTCCTTTTGAGTGTCGTAGCCGGCGCTCCCCTTGGTCAGCCAACAGAGCATAGTCGGTGCTCTAAAGAAAACATCCATAAGCTAACCTAACCGTTATCGGAATTCCATTCGACGGAAGGGATACGTGACTGCAACTTCACTGATCCCTCTCGACAACTTTACTAGATTTGGAGTTTCGCCCTGTTAGAGAACTGTATCGGGGGCGATGAATGGGCTGACCATCGCGCGTGTCCATTCCTAGTAGTACGAACACTGGCTTGAAAGTAGTCACGTAACAACAGATGGGGTTTTAACTTAGTTCCTGGGGAAAATCGGTTTCGCGTCTATTCCTCCTTGCCACTGTCTTCATTTCAGTTCTCCCCACCCATATGTCTACCCTAGTTCCATCCAACTAGTAGAGAAGTGGAGGAGGCATCGCGTGTTTTATTCGTTGGCATCAACATGCAGGTACGGTTCATGGCAAATGTCACCCGCTACAAGTTGTTAAGTAGCATTCCTGTAAAATATAAGACTGGGTCATTTTCCGAAGGTAGACGTAGTATTCAGCCCTTCTGTTAGGGGTCGCCACATTTTCACCCATCCACAGCATATGCCCCTCATCCTTCATGTAAAGATTTATCACCCAAGGTAGAAATCAGGGTAGCCGTCCTCTAAGACCGGGTTAGGAGTCCGTTGCCATCAATGCTGTACCCCGAGACTTACCTGAAGACGAATGATGATATAATACTCGGGCGGAATATGTACTGTCGACATACAGAAGGGATTGAAGCTACTGGCACGGCCCGGAGGCCAGACCGCTCAGCGAAGGCACAATGGTGGAGGCCCTAATTGGCCCGTTACTGCTTTCGAGAGTTAAACATGCAACTAAAGTATAGCAGATAACTCTATATTTGCAATTCACTTTTAACCTATTTGTTTTGTTTTATTTTAATATTGTTGTATAACAATGTGGTTTAAAGGGTGGTTCTCGTTTCAAATTGGTGGTCCAGTGATATTGCAACATTATGATCTGTTTTGATATTATGGGAATCCCAGGGAAAATATTATTGTTCAATTTTGAGGTACTCTTAGCTTTTAACTTTATAGTACCTTGAACCTAGTTAATTGAATGATTTTACCTCCAGTCATTAACGGACCTGAGAATATGTATAAGTAGCGAAGTAAAATAAGGTGCAAGTTATGTGACGCATCTCTTGCTGTCATTATTATTCGCTCTATATTAGTGAATTTGCCTGACTTCGGACATTTTCCCTCAAGATATTATCAATAACAGGCATAGCGTGTGCACCTCCCGTTTTTTATCCTCTCCACTCGGTATCGCATTTTCTGTTTTTACACACTACTTCACGAGATAATTAAGGAAACTACTTCTTTTACACTGACGATAGTAGGATCTAAAATACTATACCCCATGTCCATTTGGTAAGCATTTATTGACCATAAAATTCATATCTCAATGCAATTTAAAGCAATGTGTATATGTGATAATCAATGGCCGTGACACTTGGGAAATATTTTACACGAAATACGCAAACATTTCCACCACAAATGCGCCTTCACATCGGGGTTAAGCAGGCTCGGGTGAGGATGATGTTGGTCACCAACTAAGACGTCGCGTCGCCGTGCTTTGTGCATTCACCTCGCGCCATCCTCGCGGTGCCACGTGATGACTCAGCGGCCTGACCAATCAGGAATGAAAGCGTGGCAATGAAAAATCGATACTTAATTGGCCCCATGCGGTTATTGGAGGAAATTGTCACTGCAAACTTACTTGACTCGTGCCTAGGATTCATCATTTGGGCATTCGGAGTAGTCACAAGGCATGTTGTAGTCTTGTAATTCTTTGGTTTTGGGATATTTGGTACATCCGAATGCATAAACGGCAGTTTTAATTGAAAGAGGAAGAAAAGTAAATTTACAATCTAAGGTTACAAATTCAACAATTTTTTTATGTTTAGCCTGTTTTAACGGTAAGTGTGTTAAGAAAATGAGCCAAATATAGAAAGGTAGCCCTTTTCCCCCATCACGACACTCTTTCGAAGACGAAAGAAGCCATAGTACTCCAATCCGGGGGCCAGCCCATCCGGCGAAGGTGAAATAGCGGAGCAGCTAAGTGGCCTCTTTACCAAAATCGAGAGCTGACTAAACAACCAATGCGTTACATCTCCAAGCGAACAAAAGTGAGGGGATAAACTTTATTTTCATTACGTAAGTGTGAGGTGAAAGAGAAGGCATAAGGCGTTGTTTATTCCTAGTCGTGGAATTGTACCTGGGAAAGTTTGTTTCAAAGGGCCTAATCTCGCCCATTTCAAAATGGAGTTCCTCCACACAATGTCAACGCCCATATAAGCACAAAAAGGGTGGTTCAAAATCTTCCTCCCTCATTGAGGAGGTAAATAGCAAAGGCCTATTATCTGACACCCATAACCATGCTTAATAATAAAACGTATTTAAGGGAAATTCTTATTTTGGCATTGAAAGATTAACAGCACCAGAATTTGCAAAAGTGCCAGTAAGTAGTGCAGGAGAACTATTTCACAAGTGACAGACGCCCACATGACTTAGAAAACTTTAATTGAATAAAAGCCACAAGTCCTGGAATATACAATATCATGTTCATTCAAATCAAAATTGAAGACCTAACCTTCAAAGGCTAACAGGCACGCTTTATTTTCGAAACCCCAAATAACATTACGGTTCTGTGAGGTAATCAAGTTTTACCTCGGAACGGGAAAATCCATAAGCATTTGTGCCAGTAGAGGCAGCAGCACCAGAGATGCATTCCGAATGCACAAAACCCGGGGCATTAAGTGCTGTCCCGTCTATTGTAAGCGTTTCCACTTGTGCAGTTCATTCTTTTTTTTACTTTAAAATACTGACAGAAATGAAAGCTTAGTGCCATTTTACCGGATCATGAAGCATTAAAATATGACCTATGTGCTGGAAAATAAATAAAATGTGTTGCTGGAATGTTGATGCTACCTGCCCCATCTCTGCTTTTCGTACCAGGCTGACAAAATTTGCCTGAGAAATGTTTGTGTGTTTTTGTGTAATAAAAAGGCTGTAGGTTGGTTAAGATGTCAAAAAAGTATCATTGTTAGGAGACGGGTGAATTGCATCGATGAACAACAATGATGACCTTTTGTAGAGATTGAGTTTAACCGAATCGAAGATGCTGATGTTGCACTGATGTAGTTCACTGAAAACCAGTACGACCAATTAAACCCCAGTGGCCCCTTCATTTGTAGTCTTATGCATCGAGTAGATTGAATTTACACAATCCAAGCTTAAGGACCAAGTCTTGCATTGATCCAACAGCACCGCGTATACTTCGTCCAAAAAGTTCATGTTATGCTGAGGTTGACCATGAGTGCAACTGTACTGCTTGAATTATTTCTTTGGTTGGTGTTTTTCTTACAGCACCGAATACTTTGTGATGGTCAGCATGGAAGGTTGACTAAGGGCAGCGGAGGAGTTATTTGCTTAACTCTTCGGGCAATCGTACTTTCGCTCGGTAGGATGGCCCCAGGGCCAGGAGAGTAGCCTTAACCCTTCTGCATGTTGATAATACATATTCTGTCCTGATATTAAGTCTTCTTCCGTCTTTGGGAAAGTCTCTAGGTGCTACATAATTAATGTGAAGTCCTTTCGTTGGATTGACAATCAGTGAATGATTAACCAAATTCTATGCAACGAAAGAGGGAACAAATTGATATTTCCCGGCAATTGTCTTTCAACACAAAAATAATTATAGTTTATTCAAAAATCTAATTTGTAATTAAGAATACTCTCTTTTCTTTCAAAAAATTCGAGAATGTCTTGTTGGATGGATCTGCCGTATCTTGGAGACCATCGTCACTGCTCATAATGATAATTGCAGAGTTTAGTTTGACAATGAAAAATTTTTTTAATGTTGGCAAAAAATTAGGTAGATTTTTAGTTCAATTCTTTAGAAAGAACGGTTGCTGTTCGAAATTGTATTACCTCAAAATGCCTCCTTAATCAATCAGCACATCATTTAATTTTAGCAAAGCAATCGTAAAAATGACTTGGCTATGTCAAGCACCTTAATACCACTTAAATAAACGCAGTTCAGCAAATTCACCTCTCCCCTAGCCTTCCCGAGCCCGCAGCAGAGGCTTTCAAGCTGAAGCCGTTTGGTGATTTTAGAGGGCATAATTACCCGTGTAAGATGTGGGACCAATGGGGGTTATTGTGCCTCGGTGAAGGAAGGCCTTCTCACCCAGGTGCTAACGCAGGAGCAATCCAAAATTTCACCACAGGGATAAAACTGAGGGCACACTTGGCTGACGGTTGCCACAATTCCAGGCTTGGAGCCGCCATCGATTTTTGAATTGGGTGGTCTCGCTCGCGCGCCTGGGTGCCGTGCCATCACCTTTGCGGTCGAAATTGGGGTCAGTTTTCCCCTTCCCCCAACCCGAGTGACGAAGACGCCCTCTGCTTGGAGGTGGCTCGCGTTGCTATGTCCATCTTCCGTGTTGTGGGGTGTGATTTTTAGTAAAGGGTAAAAGGCAAATTTTTTTGGCCCTACGATCAACAATATTGGCAGATAAGCATTTAAACTGTCTCTCTCTCCCTTTCCACCATTCAACGGGGAACAGCTCTCCGTTCTATAAATCGCGTCGCTACATATATAACCTTCACGGCATGAATTGCGGTTAACGGAGAGATTTCTTGCCTTTCACGAAGATCAGATGTCTTCATTCAAACATCTTAAAGAAATGAAGATGGATTTGGCAACAAATGCTCATAGCTCACCAATGAGCTGGTAGAATGTTTTAAAGGCAACTTGTTCATCTCTAGCATCTACTGTGTGAATGCCTGCCAGCAGTGGGGTGGGCGCTGAACCCAGCGGATTCGTAGAATTAATTTAGTTTCTCCCATGGTCAAATTAATTCGTTTTAATTAGGGCTTGTGTCATTCAATGAATTCCACAGTCTGCTCCTAATTAATCCGGAAAAGTTGGCACAAATTGCAAAGTTTTGAGGCAGGCAAATGAAAGCCCGATGATAGAAAAATGCAGTCCTTAGTGGGTATTCTACTTGCTGCCCGCGAAGGGATGAATGAGCCTCGGTTGCTGCACACGGACGAAGGGGCTTGAGAGGACTGAGCACAAAATGCGTAAGCGTTGGAAACCATATTGCTGAAGGCATGTAATGTAAACGATTTTGACCTGTAGATTTCAAAGAAATTCGATTAGTAGTTGGGGTACCCTAGTTATCTCTGAATATTTTATAAGTTTCCGTAAGTACGATGATAAAGAGATGGAAATTTTTTGCTTTATTTCCTGTTTGCTACTCTACCTCTCAGACTACGTTAAATATTCAGCTTATTTGTTGAAAAAATCAAAAGAAAGATGTTTTTTACCACTTTGTCGATGTAATGACCGGCAGCTATAACGACTCAATTAGGTAGTTTTACTTGACATTATTACAAGTGACCTTTCAGCCCCGAACTCGTTAAAATACCATAGATTTCGATTGCCTGCCATTGACCACAGGCTCATGAAGACACACAGGTAAATAGATCATGGAACTGAATTTCTTTATTTTTGAAAATTACTTTTCAGAGAATAAAATTTAAATTGCAGCCTTTCCTCGAAAGCCATCAAATCACTTGCTTGCGCATGTCTAAAACGCCCCTCTGACTAAGGAGGGGCATTAACATTCAATACCATTACCTGGAGAATGAAATTTGCACTTGTCGTATGTAATTACAACTTAGGTACGCAAAAGCATGCATATTCTAGCCGTTGAAATTGAAAGTCAATGCTTGTCACTAGTGATAGTAAGCGACTGTGGTATATCCATGCCCACACACACACGCGAGTTTTCTCAAAGCTAGCAGTCCCTGTAAGGTGAGATTCAGGTTATGCCATTGGCCCCTAAAGCACTCTGTACGTTGAAAATTAATATTCTGCCCTAGTATCGTGTCTTTTTCTGTCTTCAGGAAAGTCTCGGAGCGCTACATTGGTGACAGCGGAAAGCGGGCCCGATCCTAAAGGCCAAATACCCGGATTTCTATAGCTAAGCGTGACGGGAGAAGGGAGTGTGCTGTGAATGGGAATTTCTGAGACGAACCCTAACTGAAGGGCTAAAAATGACATGTACCTTCGGCAACTACTCCAGTTCCGTGTTCTACAGGAATGCTATCAACAAATGAGTCGGCAACGGGAAAAGTTCGCTACAGAGCTGCCTGCAGTGCCTGCATGAAGGCGTTAATTACTTGAGCACGCGATGTTTCTTCCACTTCGCTACTGATTCACTACAACCCTGATAGATGCGACTGAGCAGCATTGAAGTTAGGAAAAAATGGCAAAGATGATTAGATGCAAAGCCCCATTTTTACGAAACGATTTCAAATTCAATCCTTTATTAAGTTACCTTGCCTTGAAGACAGTGTTCTTACAACTAGCCATGGATACGCTAGTCTGAATCCAGTTCCCAAACAGGGCGGATTTCGTGTGTTTTTTCCTACAGCACAGACTACGGGAGGTCGACCAAGGGGAGTGCCGGCGGCGGTGCTCAAAGAAGAAGAGGGCTGACTGCCTATTTAACTCCCTCGGGTTCTGGTTTAATGGGCGCCCAAGGCTCAGTTATTGTTAATCCGCCTGACGGCACGGCCTCTGAGCCATATTAGCGGCCTCTCGGCCTTTCTGTACGTCGAAAATATATATATTGCCCTGGTATTATATCATCTTTTGGATTTAGGAAAGTCTCAGAACGGCAAAATGCTATTCCTAGACTTGATTTAAATTTAGGTGAATCACTTACACGGAAGTAACAATATTTATTTAGCCACTTTCGTAAAAGGCAAATAACTTAACCTGCAATCAGTATGCAAAATATTTTCAAGTGTTATTGCTTTATTTTAATGTAAATGCGTTCTACATATCAAGTTGGAAAAAGAATTCCATTAACTAAATTAGTTCACTGAATAAAGATGACAGCAGATTTTGGAAGATACTGCACCTTAAATGGAGTAATTTGTTTGCATAAATAAGTTCTCCGCCAAAGTACCCACAAGAAATTAACATGATGAGGTGCGAGACGACTTTTTCAGGTCACTTCAGCGTCACGAAATATCGACTTTCTGTCACCCAGCTTGACTCCAGATCTCGTTTAGCATAAAAAAAGGGGTAAAGTTAGCCTGTTTTAGAGAGGAAGCAGATACTTACCTTGACAAAGGTTTTTTTTCACACAAAAACAAGTACTACAGAGCAGAGAGGAAGGAGTCCCATTCGAATGTCAAGTGGTGCTTGCGTTTCATACATCGTAGCACTGGAGATTTGCCGATTGTGATTCACGGCCTTCTAAGACTGTGCTTTATGCAAAAGAGGCTGCAACAAAAAAACCTGTCATCACCGCCTAATGTGGATACAATTTGAAATACTTCTCAGATCATTATTTTACCTAGCAGTGGTTCCACCTATGGCAAAATCACAGGAAAAGTAGTTTCAAGATGGTGCTGTTTTTTTATTCCCAAACACGACTGAGTGCCATTAACGAACTTACCTCAAGAGAGCACTTTTTGGTGGGATTTCCTCGTGAAATTTGAGCAAATCTAAATGATCGAAATGTTTTTTTTTACTACGAGAAAAGTTGGGTGCAAGTAGATAGACGAGTCAATACGCTGGTAGCGTAAGCACTCCATTCAACCGACACATCGTCAAGCAAAACGGAAATCGCTAATGTGACTAGCAACAGCACTACTCGCCAGGCGCATCGAACAGTAGGGCCTCTAGACTTCCCTGAGGATGGAAGAAGGCATGACACTCGGGCAGGATATGTACTGTCGACGTTGAGAGGGACTTGGGGGCTACTGACACGGCTCGAAGGCCAGGCTGCGTGGCGGAGGTACAACGGTGGAACCCTAAGTGCTCCGTTACCAAAACGGAGAGTCGAATAACCAATTAAACTATTACAAAATGTTTACTCATCATAAGCATAAAGGACTAAATTGTTGCAAACGGTCTGAGTCTTTACGACTTTGTCGTTGTCAGTAACGGTGCTTTGCCAGTTCGTACAAGGAACCTCCACAGCGATATTTAAAAGAAAAAAGAAATTGTGGACACATATTCCCATATAACACGCTTCTGCAATTGTTCTTTGTTTTAAATTGGTACTCCACAAAGTTTTGTCGTAAAAGTTAAACAATGACCAGAGGACACGCCCCAAGCGAATGACGGATAAGACGAGTGCATATCGTTTAAGGTTGGGTAACTTACATTCCATTGGCACCCGCTATTTCACCGTACTTTAGCACGGTTGTTTTTATGCTGACATAAACCAGATTTGTATTTCGTTTAAGCAATATTTATTTAAAAGTAGGAATAGAAACCACACAGAAGAAATGGACAATCATTAATCTGGCGTCATCCATCTACCCGTGGAAATGAGACATTAAGGTGGACTTAATGGAGCAGGGTAAAATTGAGCGTGGAAATGGCGACCCGGAACAGGCAATCCACACCAATAAGGCGCATTTTCATATGCGAACCCTCCTCATTATAGAAAATTGCTAAAATTTTACTTCATTTTTTAAGAATACTTCCAAGTATTAGTCAATGACCAATGGGGTAGTTACTTACCATAAAAAATGTCGAGGAAACAGACACACATCACGTGATGATGCTTGTGCTTGGACATGATATCAACTTAGGTCGGCAAAACAAGAAAATCCAAAAATCACATAGAGAAATAAGGTTATGAGGAGAAATAGATGGGGTGAGGGGACGGGGAGCGAGATGACAAGTAAGGATGCATTTGGGAGGGGTACTCACAAACACGCACACAAAAGCAACGTCAGTAGAAGAGAATATGTGACATCCCAGAGGTCCAGCGAATTTACTCCTGAAAAGGGAAAGGGAAGACATTGAAACGTAGTAAAAATAACTTATTATTAACTGATTAAGAAGTTGTAGGATTTCAATCCCCTCAAGCGCTGGCGTTGGAGGAGTCAATAGCCTTTGATCTTGGAGAAAAAACTTCACTAATGCAAAGACATGGGTGGTTATTTTATGCAAGTCCTTATGAGACATTGAATAAAACGGGGGTAGCCGGTGCTGTCCCCAGAGAAAAAGTCCTCCGAGGAGAGTGTCCACTGAGTTCAAAATGTCTGATGGCAGTAGGATGCAACACAATTGCGCTGCAACATCTCGGATACCTTGAATATTCCCGAAAATACAGTTACTGCCTTAATGTCGTGCTGTTCCCGAAAATTGATTTAGTAATAGATCCACTTTGTCAGAACAGACAGCTTGAGGCATGAACGAATGAATGAATGGATGCGGAGCAAACACACCGATTGCTTGAAAAGCCTCGTTCCAAAAGGATAATCCAGTGTAGTCCACAAAGGAGTCATGTAGAATGCGGAAGTATGTAGATAAGCCGCAGCACGGTTTCAATGACTTTAAAACTATAGCATTCGAAACAGTGACAGAAGGGTGAAGAATTTCAATCTGATGAAAAATTTGGTGCATAAGCGACCGCCAACTTTAGGACCTCTAAGTCGAAGGTGATTCTAGACTTACCTACTTGAAAGATACCGTCTTTCCGGTCAATTTAAACACACAAAACAGGTTTTACCTTAAGGTCAAGGAGTCATTTTAGGCCCCACACGGAGCCACTATGACAAAGCTTAGCGACTGCAGTGATTTTAAAAAAACTCAAACTTTTTACGCACAATGAAGAGGTGCACTACGAGGATCCCAGTGTACTAGTAACGAATCACTTCAGTGAAGTTTACACCTCTCACCAAAGCGCAGTCGTGTACCCTTTTTCTAATAATCCAATGCATCATTACATCACCTCCATAATGTTCAACATTTAACTTGTACGACATCGCCTACCTTTTGCCTTACTCATAACCACTCTTGGAGAGAAGTTATCACAACAGCACGTGAAAATTTGCTGTCTGCAATTCACGTGAAATTACACTCTATCCTCCTCCATTTCAAAGAGTTTCAAGTGCCAATTAACGGCAACAAAGCATCTTATACTAAATCTATCAGCAAATAAAACGACAAACGCATCATTTCATAGGGCATGCGACACTGAACAGCAAAAACTGTTTTTATGACCACGCCGATGCCAAGGCGCGTAGATTTTAAAAAGCGCAGTAAACCAGTGTACTTTACTGATCTAAGGTCAACTTCGCCTCCTCTCACCAAAGCACAATTTCGCGGTCAACTCCTCCTCAATCTACCTAACGTAAAAATAAAGCCAATTCTTACTTTTACGGGGAAAAGCTATGGTGACATTTTAAGGTGATGCCACCTTCCTTGTGGTCGAAGATCACGATGTACTTTTATCGCTATATTAAAAATATTAGAATTGCTTACATTCCTGATTACTGACGTAGCCTTCCAGTTTTGTAAGGGCATGAAAACTGCGGATAAATTTTATTTCCCACCCGTGATTACTTCTATTGAATTACTTCCTCACAACAGTGGAACAGAAATTTCCCAAACTTCATAACATGAGATGCGCTAGAAAGTCGGCACATTAGAAGGAGAGATGCAATTTCCCCTCCACCGTACCAGTGACAGCAACAAATGGGCCCAAAAGGGCGCCAGCGACAGTCGCACCCACCCCCACTCGGGCGGTTGGCTGACATTATGCTGAATAAAAAGTACGCTTCTGGATACCAGGCCCTACCAAGAATCTCAATAAATCTCCTCAACCTTGGATGTTAGAAAAGTTTGAGTCAATATTATAAAACCTACGTGCGAATGCAGAGAAGCGAGGGGAGGGTTAAACCCAGATCCATGCTATTCCTCAGGGCCTAGAAGGTAGAAGAAAAGTTGTATTGAGCAGACGGATATGAAAAAAAGAACAGGGCTAAACATTCTTTACCCGTTGTCGATTCCGTAGTAGGCTGGTTTTGTGATGCCTACGACCGAAAAAAAGAAGTAGAACTTTGAACACCCACTTTTGTTAAGTGTTGCAGGGTGGTTATAATCGGAGGGGGAATAAAAACTAGACGTACCTTGCCTTGATCGGAGGCGACGTCTGCAGCTAAAAGGGGGGACGCAACAACATTAGTGTATCTGTCCCAGTATGATTAATTAAGAGAGGCCCCGATTGCACACCACATGGGACTGTGAATTAGCATACCTGGCACGCTTTGATGCCCTGATTCTGTCTGTGCGATCTAGGAGGAATGAAAGGGGGTATGGAATAGAACCGAAAGCTAAGGCACTTACAAACCCAGGTATTTCCTTATTTCATGCAAGATGAACACTAGGGATACCATTCCTAACCAAAAAAATATGTAGCATGATATCCCAATTCGGTGAATGACTCCAGATGTCATATTTTACCTCATTATTGCATTTCATTGTCAGGTGATTGCGTTGGAGGGATTTATCTTAAACGGACAATTTGAGGTAAGAAAACACTTCTCGCGACTTTAACGTCTCTCATCAACCATTGTATGACAGGAATGGCTACCTATGTACTTATCAAGGGAGCAACTTCGATTCAAAATTGGCACAGCTAAATGACTGAAAGAAAGCTGAGAAAGTCATCCAAGACCAAGACCAAGGTCACAAAACAGGCAAAATACTATCCATAACACGCCTTACTCATGCACAACGGTGGTCAATATTACCCTGATGTGATCACGGCTTGGTGGATAGATAAGGCTGGACAACACCCAATATGACAACTCACTGACCCAGACTGAGAAATTAAACATGAGACTTCCAAACTTATGGCACCATTTTTGAAATATTACCTCCAGTGGCTGATCCTGAGGGGCTTCTGAAACTAAAAAAAGAGAAAAAGAAATAAAGCTAGCGAAGACCACTAACGGTGATGGTATTTTACCGTGGGTTCATCTGCATTGCCGGGAAGCATAATGTGAACTGTGCAAGTGGAATAATCCCCACGACAGAGCCTCGGTTTGTACACTACGGACTTCGGGGGTAACTCACCCTGAAGTGGAGACTGTTCCACAGTGCTGAGTGAGTTCCAATCGGAGAAACTCGTAATGTTTTCCATGATAGTGTCCTGTTTACAACAGAAGAAAAACCCACATTTAATGGTTGGTTCCACCCATAACAACAAACAGCCTTTGCTAATGAATTGTAACTGGAAGCATTGGTTAAGTAAAGAGGTTTGTGCTGCTGCAATTTACGTGGAATTTGACCGGAAATTGACTTAATATACTGAGTATGAACAAAAAAACCGAAAACAGAGAAATAGTACGTAGCGTAAAAAGGTCGGAGTCTCGGTCAAGTTTCATTCTCCTTTTCAGCTTCCTCAAATGAGAGCTTGGAAACCGAGGCGCACAAAGGACGAAATCACCAATCGCAGTGGAAATGCAACCACATTCTTTGTAATTTTCCATAGGGCCCTAGCACCTAACAGAAGTGTATCCACCCCTAAAAAATGCCCAAACATAATTTGCTCAACAAGAACGGTTTTCGAGTCCAAAATTCCAAATTGAAACACACCGTGGACCAACAAAAAAGCCATATTGATAGCTTTAGCCATAGCAACATCGGAAATACATTAACTCAAATTTGTCCAGCAGCCGAGGCGGTTTTAAAAAGGTGCGTTTTGTCACTTTTTCCAGAAATCTGATTGAAACAAACTTATCACATGTGGAATTCCCCCGTTGCCTTAGAAAATGACCTTTTAGAAGCAAACAAGACCATACTTTAGCTAAACTTTCTTTTTTTTCGCGTTTTGAAATGTGGAAACCTCAGATCTGGTACAGACTAAGAAAGTGACACATCGTTTTTTCCATCTACTTCACTAGTTGTCTTGAGAGTAGAGCAGTACTTTTTGCAACAGGTGCTTCCTTTTACGCCCCAAAAGGAGCTTCTAATCCCTACTTAAAATACCTGCAGTGTGACAAGAAAGGGAAGTTTCTGAAATAATTTATTTGCCTAACTGGAATACATTCCGAAAATTGTTTGTCAGAAAAAAATATTTAGAAATGTGAATTTTTATATAATCGGCATTACAAGCCTTGAATGAGATGCACCGCCTTTTCAACTCCAACACGGATACTTCGAACCTAACATAGACCACAAACAGGTACTTTCCTCCCCAAATCACTGTGTTCAAGACGTTGCTAAGATGACTATCAACAAGTCCGCTTACACAAGCTCTACCGCTCTAAAATGCGGCGTGTTTAATCTCTATTGGAAATGTCTTCGTTACGATGAGGAGGAAAAATCGGCAAACACAGTTTGCTCAAAACGGATAGAGTTTGTGGTTAGGGTTTCCAAAAAAAAAGCTTACCAGCCAATTAAGAACATGGTAAGCGAAAGATTTGAGTGAGTTCAATCTTCCATTCAGCTTCAAAAGGGCACCTTTGACGATGGAAGAACAGAATCCACTGATGACATATTGTGTTGAAATGTTGACAAGGGGGTTACCAGTAAGTCCGTCTTTCACCACCTTAACGCCCTTTGTCATGATGAAAGTCAAGACCGAATTGAATAAAACCCATCCGATGAATACAGCCAACTTTTTAAAGCCTTCCATGGAGGTAAGAATTGAGAGTAATGGACAAGTATCATTTTCAGCTTTAAATTATAACGCTGATTTTGAAGCCCAGACACAATAATGCATACACTAGAATCAAGTCAAACGCACGATTTTGGGCCCCACGACGGAGCAGAAGCGCTTAGGCAATTTCAGCTACAATACTAAAGACGTAAACCATCATTATTGAAAAAGTTAGGGCACATATCACAGGTTAAAGTTAATCCTTAAGGTCCTTTTGCCATTTGAATGCGTAAGTAGAGCAAAATAAACCCTTGAAGGAAAGTAGGTTTTTAAGCAAGTTCTCCCATTCACCCAGCAGAACCTCCAAAAGCTACATTCAACGCTAAAGATTTGTACCAAGCTGAATGGCATCCACAAAATCTTCACATAAATTCCAATTTACACGACAATGAGCAAACACGCTGTGAGATTTGTGGACATAAAACGTGCAGAAGTGTTACCATACTTCTAAATGTACAGTGAGCTAGATAGACAGATAATCACCAGCGGCATCTGCAATTATTAGGTAGGATAAAAATTCCTGATATGAGTTAGAGAAAGAGCAAACCTTTTCGGGTGAATCACCTTCCTCGTTGAGGGCGGCCAAACGTGTTAATTGGAGATTAAGAACCCGCTCGGCAAACTGTAAGGTAACAAACAGAGAAACAAAGCTGACTCCTGTCCTGAACTGCCATTCCCTCTTTTTTTAAAGACCCGACTGAACTAGAAAAAGCCAATAGCACAGTCTTTCTTTTCAATCCAACATGTCACCTTGCGAACTAAAAGGAATGCCTGACATTTTCAACTCTGAGGTCGAGTTTGTGGACGCTCGAAATGTGTTTGAAAAGCATATGAGGTAAACACCAGCTACTCTTTGCAAAAAGGCATTAAAATAAGACGGATTTTAAAGTCGTGTGCATGAAAACTCGTGTTTATTTGCAACCTTTTAGCAAAATGCACATCAATTACGGGCTTTATCACGCGGTGAGGGCAGTTTCACATTATCGTGGGGTAATCATGTCATCTAGATGCTTTGGGCGCTTCAATGACTGATACCTTACATTGAAATAAACTATTCAATGGAAAAGTGGCGAAAAAATTTAACAAGCAATTCCTTCAACTACTGCCATTTTTATAATGACCTTCTAATAACAAAAGTAGCTAATGATGTTCTAATTAGAATGTAGGTCAAGGGAACCATTGTGCCATAACTCAATACAAAAAAGCATCAAGTATCAAATGTAAACAAAGGAAAAGAATGGAGAGAAAGAAAAGTAACAGTCTAATTAAAACTAATTAATTACTTAGCAAATTACAGAAGCAAAAGTTTTAGATTGGTTAAAAAGTAATTCATTAAAATTTTGCCGACTTTTTTCCGGAAAGAGGAAGTAGGTGTATTGTGTTGATGCGCTTTGTAGCTAAAGACGGTGCAAAGCTACAATCCAGTCTGTTACGATACCATCACAGCACCATCAATATTTACAACTGATTACAGCCAACATCTATTTATCGGCTCGAAGCTTTTCATCGGCATCCATGTGTCCGCAAGAGTATATCAAGTATCGCACAGGACACTTACGGTCCACGCAGCCAAAAATAAGTGGATTGAGTGACCGCGCCTTCGAACATTTACATTATGTTAAGTCACAAAGTGTCACAAGAAACAAACCTCAGCCGGGTTGGCCGTCTCAAAGAAGTAGCACAAGTGCAGGTCACCAGCGATAGGATCACTTCGCTGTGGAGATTCCGATTCAAGGGTTAGCAGAAGGAGATAGCGGGAGCTAAAGTGGTCAAGGACGAGCAAATGAAACATTAAATCATCCAGATTTACCGCCAGCGTGTGCCCGCTAACTAGAACCCCATTAACTCGCTGCTGCACGTAAGAAATAAAATCTTTTTAAGTAGCACTCTAAAGGGCAGCAAGTGGGCAGGCGAATACATACAAATACACAGGAGGAAAGTGCTGTGATTAACTTCCGAATCGAAGCAAAACATCGAGGTGAAGTAAGACTTGCTTTACTACACAGAAAACACATTGCTGATAGAGATTGAAGTTAAAGCCAAATCACCTCTGAAGACGGGGCAAAAAGGTGGGTGCAGAAGGCCCGAGAAAATAGTAGCATTAGTGAGGCCCTAAGCGGGGCTTTGTGTCACCAGGTCGGAAACGGAACTGCAGAAAAATTGGAAAACTTAAGTAAGATGTTTTTTAACCGAGACTATTTACTGCTCACTGATTGGATAATAAAGTCAAATCAACAAACAAATCAGTTTTGAATAAAACTAAAGCGACTGCAATAAAATATCATTTGTTTTACTCAAAATACAAGGCTGCGAGAAGCCCTTCAGTCTCCCGATCTTCTGACAACGGTAGTGACGCGGCGATCCGCACCTGCCATACATGCTATTAATCTCCCAATTCTTCCTCATTCTTATGATAAAGCCACTTCTAGAATCGTGGGTCTCCTGACGTCTTCAGGGGAAACTCGTCCACTACAGAATTACAATTTGCAACAGATTTTTAAAAGTGAAATTTATAAACGACAGTTTGGTAAAAGACAGTTAAAAAGGTTTATCGAAACTACCCTTCTTCAATACTACAGAAATTACAGTGAAGTGGATAAAGCGATCGTTTGGGAGAACAATATGGAAGTTAACGTTTAGTTGGAAGAGGCATGAAAACGGTTTTGAAATTGAAAGTCTGCGATGGCTATTTATCTTCGCCGAAAGTGTACAAAGCGTTTGCTTTAATTATTTTTTCCAAAATTCTGCTCAACACATCTAACACCTCCACCTTTGTGCCATAGTCAAAAAAGAGGAAATATGTAACATAATCAGAGAGGAAATATACAAAAACACAAAAAAACTATTAGCAGGGAGAAAAATAAACAGGAGTACTTCAAATTCATTAATAAGGGAAAACATTTAACAATCATGCGCAGTTCACATAAATCATCTCCAGTCGAAATCAACTGCAGCAGCGTTTTAAAACGACTTTGGATTTTCGTCCAAAGGCAAACTAAAAGCAGCCCTTGATGCGCTTGCTCCCATAAGATGTTCGAAAAATTCCTGGAAGCTTAAAACGCAGAGACACAAACACGCCTGCATTAAAACACAGCAAGACGCACTTATCGTGGTTAGTTTGTTACCAAAGCAACGCGAGTCAAACATTGCTTGCTAATGGGCAGACACGGCTGGCCACAGTGAGAGCCATTTAATTCTTTAAAAAGGGCATACACTTTAGCAACCTACTTAGGGGAATACGGAGCAAAGCGATCTTGACGCGGACTCATCAACTACGCCGGAATACAAAGGGAATTTCTATTATTATGGTGTTTTTAACAAAGTTGACCTGTAAGACAGGTTGGGAAGGAGGAATTCTTGAAAAAAAAACATCGAAACTAAAAAGAGGATGTTTAGAAGTGAAAGCTGAGATACCAATGAGGATAGTAACGCTATCATTTCTATCAACAAATAAAATTACAAAGTGAATCACAAGAGAATTCCTTAATCTGGTACATTTACAATCAACGCTAATTTCTTAATACCGGTAGCAAAAACAACCTGTTGATTCACACAAAACTGTAACCTTATTACGATAGCGGTAAATTAACACACGGGTCGCCGTTGACTCAGCAATCCAAATAAGCTAGATTACTAAAACCACTCAAGACTGGTTGTTCGATGTTTAAAGAGCCAATTGGATTTGAGGCTAAGCATTAAGGCCCACGTTCCAGGTCACGATGGGGCGTTGGCACTTTTAAAGCATTTGCGCCAACCAGATTGAAAAGGCCAATAATTAATACAGGTTACATAAAAGCAAGGTGGCAATATCGGTAAAAAAGCAGGTGACACGGTCATCATCAGTGGCGGCGGCACGCAAACACATAAAGCAGACCAATAATGATCTAAGAAAACATATCAATGAGACCTACAGTGCCTAGAAGAGTTAGTCGGAACCAAGAGTACTCAACCAAGCACCTAGACACGATCCAACCCACCCATGAAGAACACATTAAAAAATAGATCATTGTAAATATTTGGACTGGGAACAAGATGACTTGTGTGTGACCACATTCTGTTTACAATCATCTGCAAATCGGCCTCCACACTGGCGGCGTGGAAAGCGTTTGCCCTATTTTAGTAAGCCTACGTAGACTCACAACAGAATAACTACACAAACTGCTTCGACTTTTGACACCTACCCCGATCTCAGGCTTTAAAGGTTAATAATGAAGCGAGACGAATAATCCTATTTTACTCCTAGGAAAATGCTTCTATAAAAGGTTACCGCCATGTACAATGTGCTCACTGTGAAGCTTCCCCAATGAACTCCATCCCGATGCACCTCGCCTGGGAGAGGTGTCGATATTCATGAACCTCAACAAAAATGACAGCAATGGACTACTATCAACAAAGTATATAGACAATTTGAAGACGATTTGTGTAGAGCGAAGCAGAAGAGTGACAACTACAAGCGACTAGGACAACGCTCAAAGAAGCTAACGATTCATGGGTCCGTCTGTGCACGTAATGTGGCTATTTTCAGAATTCTACGACTTATAATGGCTTCAGAGCCAACCTAGGCGCTAAAGGATACTAATGACAGCAATAGGACAGAGGGTGAATAGAGAGTAATAATAGTAATAATGATCAGACAACTTACCCAGGCTTAACAGCATCGACATTCACCTCAGCGCAGTGGACAATTTGGGAGGGCCTGAAGTGACCGAGAACGGCAGGAGGGGAGGAGGAGGAGACGAGGAAGATGGCATTCGGCGTGAAGCGGGCTACACAAGCCTGTCCGGTTGACGCTTCACTCGTTGCCCGCTTGGCTAGTATATGACTCGCTACCTCCTCCACTGACAGCCGATTCACTAGAAACGGAAAAAATAAGAAGGAAGAAGTTATTAGCGTTCTTCGTATCAAATTCAATTATGGGGGCAGATGGAACTGGGATGGCTTCTTCTGTACGCCATAATAAGTTCAAGGAACCCTGC